TTTCACTACGACTACTACGGAAACTGCCTCACACGGCGGTACCGACACTGTCGTCATTGATGTTCCTACAAGCTCAGAATCAAGTTTGAGCTCTACTTTCAGTAGCACCCCTACTGATGTCAGCTCATCTGAAGTTGAAACCAACTCGCAGACTACGGAGACTTCTACTTGGACTGGAACTTTCACTACGACTACTACGGAAACTGCCTCACACGGCGGTACCGACACTGTCGTCATTGATGTTCCTACAAGCTCAGGATCAAGTTTGAGCTCTACTTTCAGTAGCACCCCTACTGATGGCAGCTCATCTGAAGTTGAAACCAACTCACAGACTACGGAGACTTCCACTTGGACTGGAACTTTCACTACGACTACCACGGAAACTGCCTCACACGGCGGTACCGACACTGTCGTCATTGATGTTCCTACAAGCTCAGGATCAACTTTGAGTACCACTTCTAGTAGCACCCCTACTGCAGTAGGCTGTCCTTCAGTTAATCCTTCCGCTGTTGGGTTTATTGGATACTTTTATGATTACACCACTTCAGAATCGTTATCTTCGTATCTTGAGGGTGAGTATAAGTCTAATGAATTGGAAGATACCGTGGAAGCTATTGTTGATGTTGAGATTGTGTACGAAAGTGTATTCACCTTAGATTTAGAAGGTTATTTCCTTCCTCCTTTAAGTGGTAACTATACATTTGAATTGAGTAATATTGCAGATGGTGCTGCACTCTCTATTGGAGCTGATGTTGCATTCTCTTGTGGAAGTACAAAATCAAAGAGAGCTGCCGCTGCCCCATTGATTATAGAAGGACCATCCGGTACTGGTGAATTGACTGTGGAATTAGTAGCTGGTACTTATTATCCAATTAGTATTGTGAATAATTACATTGCAAGCGGTGAACATATTGAATTTGTTATTACAGGTCCAAGTGGAGTTCTTACTGTTGAACAGACTATATTTTACATAGAGCAAGGTGAAACTGGAACTTCATCCACTGGTGTTTCCATTGCATCGTCCACATCTACTGTTTCTGTAACTACTCCTGTTACCACTATCACATCCACTTGGACTGGAACTGACACTATCACAACTACTTTGCCATTCAGCTCTGGTGGAACCGAAACCGTTGTCGTTGATGTTCCAACTCCAACTGTTACTGTGACGACTACCTGGACTGGTACTACCACCGCAACCACTACATTACCAGCAAGTTCTGGTGGTACTGTTACTGTTGAGATTGAAATCCCAACCTCTTTTAGTTCTAAATTTTCACTGGTTGTTTACTGGAATAGTAGTACTGTATTGTCATCAGTATCACCATCATCAAGTTATGTTAGTAGTACAGTTTTGACTTCAACTGCGGTGAGCTCAGTCCCTACTTCCAGCCCTATAGTCAGTACATTCCCAACAATCGCTCCATCCTCATCTTCGTCAATCGGTAGTTCTAGAATAAGTTCTTCTATTCCTGCCACTAGTGATTCAACTGTTTGTCCAACATGCATTCCAACATCTATCCAGTCGACTCTGTCAGGCAATTCTGAAGTTACCACTTCTCGAATTTACTCTATATCTTCAACCATCACGGAAAGCTCCAGCTTAAGTTCGAACAGTGGAACATCTGATCAAGTATCATCTTCAACGCATAAACCATCAAGTAGTACAGTGATAGTGGAAACTAGCTCAGTTACTAGTAAATCAACTGGATCATCAGGATCTTCAAGCACAAAAACAGTGGAAACTAACACAGCTACTAGCACATCAACTGGATCATCAGGATCATCAAACACAAAAACAGTGGAAACTAACACAGCTACTAGCACACCAACTGGATCATCAGGATCATCAAACACAAAAACAGTGGAAACTAACCCAGCTACTAGTACATCAACTGGATCATCAGGATCATCAAACACAAAAACAGTGGAAACTAACCCAGCTACTAGTACACCAACTGGATCCTCGGGATCGTCAAACACGAAAACGGTGGAAACTAACCCCGCTGATAACACACCAACTGGATCCTCAGGATCGCCAAACACGAAAACGGTGGAAACTAACCCTGCATCAACAGCAACCTTAGAATCCCCAAGTGGTACTGATTCAAATGTTAGAATTCCAACCAGCTCCTCAGCTACTTCAGAAGAGACCAATACTTCTTCTGACTCCCTTGGAATTCCAAGTGCTTCTGTAACCTCAACTAGTGTAACAGCAACCACTCAAGATACTGACAATACGGCTCCAGTGGCTTCTTCAGTTCTGCTGATGACTACAATAGTTTCATCTTCGTCATCAAGTCCAATGCCTAGCGCTAGCGCAACCGTCGAACAAGCAAATAGTGCTTCTAAGCGTGGATTATCATTTATTTTATTCTTGGCAACTTTAGCAATTCATTTTGTTTAATTAGCATTTCCTGTTGATATTCGAATTTAAGTAAAGTTTCACCTTTACGTGAATTCGCCAATTTTTCATTTGGTGAATTCGTTTAAATTTGGAGAAAAAACCTTTAGAGCAACTTTTTACCAGATGCTAGCTCATTTTCGATTTTATAGACATTATTATGTCGACAATTCTATTAGATTCACATAATTTCAATTTTATTTCAGACTTTCATATATTTTGGAATTCATTCCAACTTTAGTATAATTCATACACTTCGAGAGAATTTTATATTCCCATTAATTACAATACATAAATAATTATTATATTTATATTAATCTTGTAACTTTAGCGTATCACTAAAAGACTACAGACTGGTGTCGCTTTCTAAATTTAGATGTATAGATCTACTAAAAAAACATTCCAATAATTCTCAGAGATATTGCTACCATTTTGACTTTGTTATTCTACTTTATAAGCTATTTGAATCATTTATTCGATTTTGGTAGCCATATCTACGCACTCATATCTCTGTGCTTTTTACCTCTCTACTGCATCAATTTCTTAAATATAATGGAAGTCCGTAAACTATAGGAGCACATCCATTCAAATGCTTTAAAACACAAATGTCTCTACTTTGGTCCACTGCTTGGCATATATTAATAGCACTCGAATTTTCGTCCTTATCTTTGCCAAATAAACCCCATTTTTCGAAAACAGAGCTACTAAAAGCATCTATATCTTTGTCGGTAACATCCCACAAATTGCACATCACCATTGGAGCACCGCCAATCATCCAGTCATAAACATTAGCATGAGGCTCCAAGAGGCCATTCTTGTTGATGGCTCCCGAAGAACAGCCAATTAACAAACTCGGCAGCAAATGTTTCTTTGAATCTTTTGAATTAGTTAATTTTAGTAATTCTGAAGTTTTAATGTATTGTTCACATCCACCATGACCCAAATAAATAAATAGGTCAGATTGCAACAAGTCAATAATTAGTTGGCCATCATCTGGTTTTTCTCCGACTAGTCCTTTCCATGAAGTGCCGAGGGTCTTGAATTTCGTCGCAAATGTTGATTCAGTTCTTTTCAAATCTCCTTCTGGATTGATAAGATAGCATACTTTAGGACTCTGGTTTGAGTTATCAAAAACGCAAGTTGTATTGGGTTGCATTTTTAGCACTCTTAGTAATCCTTGAACGGATGGCATTCGAGAAACTGACTTGTATTTCATGAATGAAAGTGACTCCCAAGGGATAAATGAACAATTGCTACTAGGAATGATCACATAATGGGTTTCGTTCTCTCCTTGGGAAATATCTTTAGCATAGTTGCTCAATATGTTGTTCAATCCAATGGTGAGCCTTTCAATTTCATTGTTAGATAGTGAATTAAAATTCTTCATCGAATTTCTGAGCACATCGCCCACTAATTCAAGCGATGTACTTCCGGAATTGGCTATTTGCAAAAGGTGAACAAATTCTTCGTTAGTATTCAAGATCATACCTTCGTAGTCTTTATGTAAAACTTCCTGAAATAGTTCACCCACATTCTTGGAAAGTTTCGCAAAGTAAGAAGCGTTTGGAGTCGAATCAAAGATTCCTTTAAACCCCCCTAACCAATACAACTCAATAACTCTTAACAAATTTTTTAACTTTAAATCTAAGTGGAATCGATTTTTCCACCAGTTTTGCCTTTGTTCTTTTGATTTTACATTCAAGGTTACTTCTTTCTTTGTTGATAAACTACTGAGTCTAATAATTTCATTAAACTCTTCACAAAGCTTCTGAAAGCTAAGGCACCCCTCAGAACCTGCCCACCTATCTGGTGATAGCCGAAAATAATTCAGTATTCCTCTCTGATGCTTAAAGAAGACGATATCACCGGTCGATTCACAAGCGTCAATACTTACAATTATCCAAGATTTTGGTAAATGTTTAGTCAAATCATCCACTATGTTCACAGAGCCATTAAGCGACATCTCCATTAGAGTAGGTCTGCTTCCGTTCGAAATTTCTGTTTTTGGTACAATTCCTTTTGAATATTCTCTATAAATTTCTCTTTCAAAAGCAAAAGGGAGATCCCTTGAAAATTCTTGCAAGCAAAAGAGCATTTTCGTTAGGGAAGTAGATGTAGCCATTTCATGCTTCATCACTACTGCACTTGATGAAGAAAGTAACAGACTAGAAAGTAACAAAGACTTTACTAAATCCTTCACCTCATAAGTAGATAGATGTTCTAATTTAGACAAAGAACTAGCTAGGTCTGTAAAGAAGTCAAAAGCTGTAACTAACGTCTTGTAAGAAGGGGAATCCTTTATACCAGTTGTCGATTTCTCAATTAATTCTTTGTAATGCAATACCCATTTTAGAATTAGGTAATACTCAATACTAATTTCTTCAGTGGGGTAGTTCTTGTAGCATCTTTTAGGTCTAAGAAATAGACTATGAATGTAGTCACTTATAATGAGCAGCTCTTTGAATTTCACTTGATCTCTAGAAAATACAGACTTAGTCACTTTGTTGGAATCTATTAATAGTATATTATTCAATTCCTCCTCCAAACTTGATTTCGACTCTCCCCAAGAGTTATAATTCGAAGCTTTCGCCGAAAATTTAAGAAAATTATCCTGATTATCGAGAAGATAATAGAAATTTGAAATCTTATACCAATTTAATTTGTTTATTTTAGGTGATAAATTGGCCAGATCCAAGAATGATTCGCATGATTCTAGGTAGAACTTCAAATCATTTGATACACCCAATTTTATTAATGCATTTATCGTCCCAAAATAGGAATTTATAAGAAGGCCATTTATTTCCCATTTAATCGTGAAATAACTTTGCATTGGTGAATTATTGCCAATTCTTTTTATCACGGAGTGAATTATCTTCACAACCATTCTGAAATTTTCGTATGATTTTAGATAGTTTAACTTTTGATGAAAATACTTTCCACTTAAATACCTGAACCTGGCAACCATCATTAAATTTTGGAATTTATTTTGTATTGGAATACTACTATCTTCAAAATCGAGCTTTGAAGATATGAATTTCTCTATTGACAAAATTTTTGAAGAAGAATCTTTATCATTAAGGGTTATGCAGTAGTCTAATTGAACTAACTTCCAATTAAGAACATCTTGTATGCTAATGTCTACCAACCTCATAGCTTTAAATTGGTCACCTGTAGATTTGAGTAAGTACAACGAAGATGGCTTTATTTCAATTCTTGCTTCCATTAAATTTAGATGTACTTTATCCAACGGAGAAAGATTTAAGTTAGAGCTTAGTTGACATATTTCCATGGCCTCTTGCTTCATTTCATTGCAACCCAAAAATATCAAAATTCTTTTCATAATGCCAACACCAAATTCGACTTCAATGTTAGCCAATTGATCTTGAAGCAACCATGATTGCAAGTAACTTATAAATCTATAAACAAAGTCGCTGCTCCAGCCATCTCTTAAAACAATTTGAAAATAAACTGCGCTTCGAAAAAGTTGTAGCGTAGAAATCCCACATTCCTCCAAACGGAGAGAGTTCACAGGTAAATATTCTGCTAAACCAGTAATGCTCAAATAGTAGTAGGAGGCCACTAGTTGATTAAGTTCATTCTTCAAATATAACTCTCCAGTGATGTGATTTATCATACTTGTTTTTTCATGAATGTTATTTGATTTCTCTAGAAACTGTATTACCTTTACATATAAAGTAGATCTTAAAGTTTCAGATATTCTAGAGTTCTCACTCCATAAGTGGCTAGATAATGTGGAATTAGACGAGAGGCATTTGGCAATCAATTGAATAATCAATGGCTTTTGGAAGTCCTGTACTGATTCTAAAATATTCTTGGACTCCTCTTCCACGGAAAGCAATTCCAAATAATCCAACATAAGTTGATTTGATGCTAAAAATTCTTCAGATTCGTAAAAGAAATTTACGATTTTCTCTAGTTTATGTTGAAGATTATGCTCATTTTCAGTAGTTGATACTCTTTTGTACAAGAACACTTCACATTTGATACATAGTTTCCAGCACTGCAAGGAGAATGAACTTCGAATTGGTGTCACACTACCAAGCTTATAGAGAAGATTCGAAACATTTCGAAGTCTCGTAAGTTTTTGGTTATTGGAAAGTACATTAAAGGCGATGGAAAGTATTCTGAAAGTAGTTATTGGTGATGTGAGTTTCTGGTTTGAGGTAATAACAGTCTTTAATTGAATTATAATTAGGTCCAAAAAATTAAGCTGGCATTTACCAAAAATTGGTGAGATTTCGATGTAAATCAGAATTATTTCCAAGATTTGCAAGTTCATTGAAGCAGGCAGGTTCAAAAGCGATTCAATAGATTGGAATGTGTGACTTTGGAAATGTTCATCGATAATGTTTAGAATTGATTCTGGAGAAGGGTTTTGTTTAATACAGCTAATTATATGACTAGGAAGAAGTTCCTCCGATGCAATTTCGGTCTGCAAGATAGGTTCATTTAGAAGCGGATAGATCTTGCAATCTTTAGGTAAGCATTGCTTTAAGTCGAGAACACATTGACTGGTCAAGTTATTCTCGAAATTAAGTGAATTAATGATTTCCAATACTTTCTTATCGTCGGCGAGAGCTTGGTTTCCAATGCTGAACTGATACTCTATTTCTTTCAAAGATAGGAAATTTTTCAAGTCAGAAATATCATCTTCATCCCAATACTTTTTGGCAATGATATGATCAACAATCTTCACCAACCCATTCATTAGCTTTAACAAGTTTGTATAGTGCTTTAACTTTGAATTACTCAAAGATAACCATTTGGAAAAATTGCTGGTTGAAAGTAAAACTGCAACTATCGATTTCAAGTTATTTAAGTTTTCAGATCGAATCCTCCTACTAAAATATTGTAAAGTGAACTGAAGATAAAGGAAATTGAAAGCAATAACAAGGTTCGTAGGGATTTCGGACGGTAAAGGGATCCCATCCGACAACCAACTGGTATTATCCAGAATTTTGGTATTATTTTCGCCTCTGTAAAAGTCCTTCAGTATAATTAAATAAACATACTCTAACTCATCTTTGCACTCTTTGAAAAACTTCTGTTCAAGTAGGGTAACAATGAAGAGCTGATGCTTTTTGAATGTTTCAATTTTCTGGCTACAGCTTAGACTAGAAGAAGGTGATTTATATATGCATTTGAATGCTTTTGATGTTATACCTATAGTATCTTTATTTATTTGGTGCTTTTTGATAAACTCTTCTGCGTGATCCACAACGCTACTTGAGTTTCGAGACAGATACTGTTTCTGGGTGGTTGAACTCGATATATTTACTTGAGTTTCCCGCAAAGGATTTAAATATGAACTGAATAAACACTCCAAATTAGCTAAATCGTCTGTCATGGGCAAATAGCAGCAATACTCTATATAAAAGTGCCTATGTGAAGCTACTGATTTAAAACAACCTCTCTTGTTTGTAATTTCTCTCAGTGGAGTAAGGTAAACAAAAACAATGACAAAAGCACTATGCGCGATTCTGCCAAAATTGTGAAGAGAGATGATGCCCTGAATTTAAGGTGAAAAGGGAACAATAATTTCACGATCCAGGCTTCTGGAACGGAAATCACTCTCTTGGATATGAAATTGTGAAGAAAAAGGCTACTAAAATGCTATCAACATACTGTTAACACGCTTAACAGACGCTAAGCACTTGTAATGTGTAGTTTTATCTTCTGACTAACTGTCTACTTGCAGTTTTATAATTGCTTCCGTGATAGTTTAGTGGCTAGAATTACCGCTTGTCGCGTGGTAGACCGGGGTTCAATTCCCCGTCGCGGAGTCTTTTTTTGCTACCCCATCGAACTTTTTCACATTACTCTTCTAACAATTGTATAGCAATAAGTTCAACTACTTTTTTATTTATATTTTTCTATGCATCGCTAGTAGATCCAAAATTCCTAAGCTTCACCTACGAATGATATCTAGTCTAAGGAAATATTCTACATCGACTCTCAATGATGTCTTTAAATCGTCAATGTCTCGAATATCATGTCAAGCCATGATTCTCACCGCTGGACAAGCTAAGGTGCAAGCTGGCTCTTCACACACTACATCCTTACATGGTATGACTTTATCGTCAACTTGTTCGCTATCTGTATACCCCACTCCTCTATTGCAATTTAATCTTCATCTTCCCTCATATACGTCGCAAACCTTGCATGACCTGAAACATTTGGCATTACACTTGCTCCCACCTAACCACAATACCGCGAATTTGGCAAGGCTATTTGCTAATGGTATCAAGGCACCTCCCGCCAAAGATGATGGGGACATATTTCACGAGAAAACTACCCCCTTTGATACTCTAGAGCATGGTAAAGACTGGAAATTCCATACCGTAGCCGTGGATGACTTGAAGTTTGACATCCCAATACTAACTGCTGCAGAGGAAGTGTTTATATGTAAAAAGCGCCTGGTTTTTGAAATAGATCTGCATGAAATTTGGGTAGTTGAAGTACTAGAAATTTTGTCGACTCCTAATGATGAACCTACAGGAGGATTATTGTATTTCAATAGGAACTTCCATAAGATCGGAGGAACTTTAAGACTAGATTAGAAATTATGAGCTCGAAGATAGAGGCTCCACTTTGTTACTGTAAAACTCTTTTGCTTATCTACATACACACACTCTGCACAATAGCACCAATATTATATATACATAGATCGATAGATAGGTCATACATACTCTTATACATACACATATTCATATTTACATACATACGTACATATATACAAGAGAATGAAATTTATATTGCTTATATTTTGTTTGTTGACAAATTGATTAGTCCACCTTTCACCTATCAATTCCTTTGCTACTGGAACTAGATCCTGAGACAGAATTCGAATTAAGAATTTCCTCAAGCTCTCTCTGTAATTCTGCAATCGCATGGGACAAATTGGGTAAAATAACCTCATATCTCTCCTGGTACCTCTTATTTCTCTTGGAGCTCTTTTGCATCAATTCATTTTTCTTTGTATTTTTAATCTCTACTTGAACCTTATTCAACTCTTCCAATTTCAAATCCATTTTCATTTTCAATCTTTCATTCTTACTTTGGAGTTGTAAGAATTCAAAGTTCAAATTTTTCAAATCCTTTTTAAATTTGTTAATTGAATTTTCAAACTCAGAATTTCCTTCGGTAAGTCCGTTGATCTTATTTTTGAGTTTGGCTTCCTCACTTTGAAATCTTATTTCAGTCCTAGTCAGTTGATCCTCTTCAACTTCCACACTTTTCTTCAATTCTTCAATCTCGCCTTCAAGCTGTAACACAGAGTGCTTCAAACCTTTCAATTTTCCTGACACTCTCGATTCAATATTTTGTTTAGTATTATATTTAGAAATCTTGTTACGCAAATTTTCAATATCCTTCTTCAACTCAGAGTGCTTTTTATTTTCATCCCTTTTGAATTTTTTAAGCTTTGATTTTGATTGATTGAGTTTATCAATAGTAGAATTAAGTGATAGCTGAAGAGTAAGGAGTGAGCTAGTAGTTTCAGGAGATTGATTCAACACACCAGAAGATGATATAGTATTGAAAATACAATGACTCAACAATATGCAACTATCTGATTCAGGTTCAGTCACTTTATAAACTTCCAATTCGTATTGAAATAATGGCGTCAAACCATATATACAGATAAAGTATTCATCCTCTTTAGTTTTTAAAAACTTTTTATGTATCCAATCCACCTCATTAAGTTTTATTTTGATTGACGAAATTTCTCCCAACGAAACAAATTTAGCTACGTTAGCAACATCCAATATCTTGAATACTGCCTTGGTATCATCAATGTAGACTGTGGAAATTGAAATGTAACTTGGGTGATTAATTTTAGTGACAAACTTCCCTCCATTATTCTTATACTTGGTCATTTTCCCACTGAAGTACGCTGGCTTACTGACAATTGTTTTGATTGCAGCCAAAAGGGACCACAAGGGTTGTGTTGTCACAACGGATGTCAATACTTTGTTAACTATAGTAGTTGAATTACCAAGAGTTCCTGATCGGGACCTACCTCCGCCACCATTAACCGCAATTCCACTATTCCCATTTGCTCCAGAACCGTTAGCTTTAGGAGGCAACAAACTCGTAGTATGAGAGGTAGTTTCGTTAAGTGGATGATGGTGTTGCGCTTTGTCAAATAAAGACGAAGATGACGAAGAAACGGCCTTCCCTCCAATTGGAGAAGAACAGAATATTTCAAAGTTATTCGCAACAACTGAGCTTGACATATTATTTAACCCGAAGCTGGAATATTTCCCATCTTCATTCCAGATGTCCTCGACATTTACATCCACTATTTTGTTCTTTTCCATTTCAGGTTCTACGTTTATCGTTGGGGCTGCAGAAGCTGCCAAGTTTAATGCACTACTACTATTCATATTCATAGGAAAACTCAAAGGTATCCTATGATTATTCTTCAAAAGTGGCACATTAGGTGCAATTATCGACAAGCTATCCAATGTGCTAGCCTGATCCTCGAACACAAAGTATTTTTTGAGCGCTGGAGAGACATTGATTATGATAACATGGATACTTAGATATAAGTAGATATAGCTGAGCAAATACGACCAATACTTTACGTAAGGTGCTGCCCACCAGTTATTCAAAGGTAGTACCAAAAGCTGATTCCTCTGAGGCAAAGAGAGCGTCAATGCCAAATCTGATGTGCTGAGCCATTCTCTTACAAAGTAGTTGATGTTAATCACGGTGAGGAAACAAAGTGAAGCATTGATGAACTTATTGTTTCTCAAGATGGAATCATGGGACGACGAAGGTGAATGCTGTTGCTGCTGCTGTTGATGTTGTGGAGCCGACGACTTCTTACTAATGGCAGAAGTTGCAGGGCTTCCTCCCAGCGATACAGAATTAGATGTAGATGTTTGATTTGTGATAGAAGGAGATGCCGACGATGAAGTAGATGTAGTTGTGGTAGTGGTGGTCACTCCACTCGCTGTCACTGTTGTAATTGACGTAACTGTGGTGGAAGTGACGCTCGATGATCCAATTAACTCGGACGCAAGCACCGTCTTAGCAAACAAGATGATGTAGTTGCTCAAGTGCTTTGGAACGGTACAGAAGACCACCAAGACCACCAAGCTATTGATTAGGATAATCAACCAAGTCGAGTAGAATCTTGATGAGCCTGCGCTGGCCGATTTTGAGGCCAATGAAGGTGTTTGGCTATGGAGTAAGGCATTGTCAAGTTGACTGGGTGTGGGGCCCGTGCAATTGTAGTCTCTCGAAAGACGCTTGGAGAGAAGCTTATTTATCAAATACTTTCCACCCCAAGATTTTGATGAACCCGAGAGAATATATAATGCCAATACTAAGCATGAAAGAGACGAAGGGAGTGCCAGTAAGAGAAAGATGATGGCTGTAATATCTCTCACCGAAGAGAGAGGTACTACAACTTTGTCCATATAAGAAGAAAGATACTATAAGTCTTGTATGCTGATTTCTTTCTACTTTTATCTTCTTTTTTTGCTTCTATTTCTTTTTTGTTTACACTATTTGTACTTCTCCTTCAACTTCTGCTTCCTCTGGTCTTGTATAGCTCAATTACTGGGTATGTATTCAGGTATCTCTGCTGTACCTTTGTGACTAAACAAACTGCAAAGTTTTTCTCTCTGTGAGTGAATAGGAGTCCTGCACACAGATCGAAAAAATGGTAAAAAAGATTTCGCAACCAAACTTCTGCCCCAACACAAGAACATTAGTGTGGGAATCAAATCTCGTGGGTGGGCCGGAAGGAAGAGAGCAGGGAACTAATGATGGGACTCCGGCAGAAATGGAATTTGTGTGAGATCGAATATGGTTTGGATCAAATATGATGGAAACATTCATCTCCATCCACATTGGGGGTCCCTTGGGGGCTCCAGCATCAAATACATGTATATTTTGTATGCCTTTCCCCTTACCAACCGTACAGAGCACTTTTCGTTCGGCCCTTTTTTTATTTTTCCCCCATTTTGCAACCGTTTATGCGAGAGCCCCCCACCCATCAGTGAGGGCCTGGCTAGCGCGAGCGCCAATACGCTGCTACTTAGAGAACAGACGATTCATCTTGCTGAGAGGCAGTATGCTGTTACCAAGAGAACAGACAAGCTACATTGATATATCGTACACTGTAGAAAAGGAAAAAAGGCTAATACATACTACATATTCTCTTCCTCAGCGTCTTATCAGGCTAAGATATTCTTCTTGTTGAGAGGCAGTATGCTGCTACTAAGAGAACAGAGGAGCTACATCAATATCTTCTACACTGTAGAAAACGAAAAATGTCAAATACATACTAGATATGTTCTTCCTTAGCGTCTTAAGAGTAAACTAGCAGGTGAAGATATTCTTCTTGCTGAGAGACAGGGATATGTACTATCTTGATCATCATGTGAGAGGAATCGTGTACAATAAAGGACCTGTATGCACCACCTTCCAGCGCCCTATTCTATACATGGAACAACACCATTCGCCAAATACCTTGCATGAACGCAAGGTAAAAGAAATAATGTCCAAAAAATGATCGCTAATCGGCAGAGCTACTTAATTTACTTAATCGGGAAGCTTCGATAAGGGTCGATATTTCTGATTCAACTTCACACAATAACTTCTGCTTCAACTGCATTCTCTTTCGTGCTGATTCTCTTGTTCAATCTGGTCCATACATACACTGCCCTAAACCTCATCTTGGTCTTCATTTCCATGACATATTTCTTCCCAGCAGGGCTTTTCCCTGTGAATTCGCGTTTATGAAGTCAGTAGCGCCAAAATGAGCACCGTTAGAAGGCGCAAAATGTTCCCGCTGCTCGCTGGCCAATACGGCGGCATTACGATGGCATAGCCTTTGATCTCTGAAAAATCACGCATTTAAGGTACAGTGGAAACTAATTTAAGATTTTGCTATCTATTACCGACCCGATGCGACACCTGTATCTACGCGAAGAGCACAAGGTCTCTTCAATAGGGGAAGTATTCACCCATTTCCAATCTTTTTTCAATGGTGTGATATCGCACTGTTGGTAGCCACCTTATAGTTTGCACACAAGGAGTCTCCTTTGCCGTATCCGCCCACTTTGATAGCACCATTACCATGGAGGCTGGGTCAAATTCCAGTTAACTATTGATGAAAAAAGGTTAAAAAAAAAAAAAAAAAATAAAAAAAAAATCCGGGAATCGAAACCAGGCTGAATGAAAACTTCCTAAAATTCCCTAAAAATAAACAACTTTCTTGCTCATTCTATAAAAGCATTCAAATAGAACTTGTTTTTCTTTGGATTTTGTCGGCCATCTTGAAAATTCAGCCTTTCGCTTTAACTAATCCACAATGAAGTTCTTAACATCAGCTCTTGCAAGTATCGCCGCTGTGCAGGCTGCTTCATCATCCTATGGGGTGATCGAATTCGAAAATCTCGGTTATTCCGGTACATATAAAGAAGTTGCAAAGATCTCCGATGTCTATACCGATGACTGTACTTGTAAGCTCTCGGACTCCACCACGTCATTTTCCGGTTCCAATGCTCCATTGAACGAAGAGTTATCTGTACACTTCAGAGGTCCTTTGATCTTGTCGAAGTTCGCTTACTACGTTGCTGAATCTTTCACCCATGGTGAGAGTGGCACCGACGACTGGTCCAGATTGGCCTACTACGATGCCTCATCGGCCACAGCAACGAACGTCACCTTCTTGAACCTTCAAGGTAAAAATTCCACATGTTTGGGAATGGGTGTTACATATGCAAGTTCCAACGGTACTGGTGCAGCTGACTCTCCTACCGTGTTGGACGAAGGTGTTCAATTACTCTCCGGTGAAGAATATATCATTATGTCCAACATATCATGTGAACTGTCTGGTTCGTCAAAAGATTGTGGTATTTACCGTACTGATAACGAGGCCTACCATGGATTTTATGGAACTACTAAAATGTTCCTTTTCGAGTTCCAAATGCCTACTGAATCAACCCTCACCAAGGAAGAAGTCAGTGCCTACAATATGCCAGCCATTTGGTTACTTAACGCACAAATTCCAAGAACCTCTCAATATCCAACTAACTCCTATTGTTCATGTTGGTCATCTGGTTGTGGTGAATTTGATATCTTTGAAGTTATGAACACAACCGAAACTTCTCATTTATACTCCACAGTCCACGATTTCCAAGGTACTGGTGACATCAGTGATGGTTTAATGGCTTACGGATACCTTCCAAGAGATTCCGAGGGAACTATGAGAGGTGGTGTCGTGTTTGACCTGGCTGGAACTGCTGTGGTCTTTATGTCCAACTCCACTTCCATTGACGCCAACATCTCAGCTTCAGACATTAATTCTTGGATTTCCGATGCTGGTACTGTTCTCACTGACACTTTGAGTTCAGTTGCTGCTGCATCTTCATCTAAGTCTAGTTCAAATGGTGTTTCCATCACCACTGCATCATTCTGGTCCAACATTGTCATTAGTGCCTTCACTATGCTTTACACCATGTTTGGTTAGACATGGAAAATCTTGGGACATATTTCAAGAGATAATTATCAATGTTATGATTCTGTACTATAGTCGAAAAGAACCGAAATGTGTGCTTCTTTGCTTTACGCTAGCTATTTTTTTTTTTAGATGTTTGTTAATAGAGTTTATTTATTAATTTTTTGTTGGCTCCGTAGAGTCTTCTCATTTGTAGCGGAAGTAGTTATTAAGAGTTACTAAATTCTTCAAGATCTTTTGGTTTTCTTCACAGTATGGAAGAAATACTCGTTGTTGTCCACCAAACTTTACTTTCAAGCTATTTAAGAATACTCCATGCACCGAAAGATGCCCAGAACCGAATTTAGCATTGTGAAAATCCAACCAAACACCATCACTAGGCAGCCTGTGTTCCACCGTTGCTTCCCTTTCGACTTTCAAGGTACCCTCCACTATATTGCGGAGGTAAATCTTCGGTATCACATCTTCGATATCGGGCAATATCTTGGTGTGGGCATTTATACTGGGGTTGTTCTTGGTTCGGAATTTTAGTGGGACATACTTTTTCCAAGTATCTCTCACATTCGCAATCAATGAAACAAAGAGCCAGTTGTTAAGGATGTAGCTTCTCGGGAACAACGTATGTGGGTCATATGGCGAGTTGATAGCAGGAACTAAGTAGTAGTTGTCGTTCAGATTTCCATCATTATCCATCGTCAATCGTACCATGGATCCCTTTGAGTATATATCTCTGGTGCCAGTATTCATCGCCGTGCCACTCGAAAGGAGCTGGGCTTGCGGGTTATACCGAATGGAATCTGTATTGTAGAAGGATGTAGCATACTCTTCCGGAGTGATATATTTTCTTTTGGCTAGCCACTTGAGCGGATTGCGTATTAGCGGATGATTCAAGTACCCTTTTGACATAGCTACTTCTGTCAGCGTAAAGAGAAAGAGGCAATGGTCCATAGAAAATCGTCTTAACGTTCCATGAAAAATTGAGAACCATATCGAGCAGAATTGGAACCCGATTTGGAACCCGATTTGGAACCTGATTTAGAACTCCATACTAACAATATTACACAGGGACCTAAAATTCAAGATAGAGGTATATTAGGCATTAAGGTAGTTACATATTTCATACTGTGGAAGATATTTTTATACATTTTGCTAAGTAGGCGTTCACATATTTAGTCTACAATTTGGTCTTAATAACTTCATCGGCCTTAATCAAGCCAGGTTCTGCAGCAATCTTTTTACTCCACGCATTGAGATGAGGATACAACTTAGTTATATCCTGGCCAACCCTCTCCAGAGCAGCCTTGTGGTCCGAGAAAAGGTTATGGTATATAGGGAAACTAAGTATAATATCTGCAGCCGATAATTTATCCCCAGCAAAATACCCACCAGGCTGCCTGGATAACTGCTCTTCTAAGAAATCTAAGTTCGATTTTGCTTCTGGCAAGTAGTATCCCTTTGCAATACCCTTAGCCACAAGACCTGCTAAGGTTCTAGTACCCCATGGTGCTCTTTCAGATGTTTTGCTTAAAACCAAAAGAGACACCAAAAGTCCTTGTAAAGAACCTTCAGTGTAGTATAAGTAGTATTTAACTAGTTCCTGGTTCTTTTTACTTGCTGGGACCAATTTTCCCTCGGGGTTATAATTTTCCAAAATGTAGCTCATAATGTAACCAGTTTCAGCCACAATGACTGGTTCTTCTGTATCAGAACCATCTGGATAAATCTCTAAAACTGGAGACCTACCTAAGGGGTGAATTTTCCTCAATTCTGGAGGAGCTCGGTACTCTTTATCACGAACATAAAGCTTTAATTCATATGGAACGTTCAACTCTTCAAGAAGCCAAAGAACTCTGTGCGAACGAGAGAATTTGAGCCAGTGAAGAATAATTTTGTCTTTTGTCATTTTTAATTTATCAAATAGATATAATTATCGGAGAATAGAATAAGAAGCTACAGGTGAGGAAAATGGCATCTTTTATATCAACTCAATGGGTTCTCCAGACAATGGTGAGGCAATGATGGCCATGACATAATCCGACAGTGCGTTCTACAGATATTTTCTGGGGCTGGTTGCGATTTAAGGTTTAAATTGCTGTTAAAGGGTAAACAAATATCAGATGAAAGTGCAGGGACTGTAGATCCCGAGGAGGGTTCCAAAGTATAATGAGGGGATCTCTAGTATTCGTTTTGGGTCCAAACTAAATTGCAGCAAGATGCGTGTTTCAGTAAGCATAACAATGAAGTACAACTTATTGGTATCAGTACTATTCAGACTGTATGCGGTTATATGCAAAATTGCAGCATTATCGTATAAAAGAGCAATGTTATTACTTACATGCAATACTACTCTTGTCATGAGTAGTTTTCATACCTTACTGTTCTTATATGTATACATGCTATAAACTAAATCTCAATTATGTTAAACCGCTTTCTGGCCTCCTCCAAGTTAAATTTGCTTTCTGCCTGGTGCCATCTCTCGTGCAATCTACCATATAACAAAACCAAGTTTGGTTCATCTCCTGGAGAATCATTGACAGCCTTTTTACCAAATAACCTTCCCTTTTCTTCATCCCACTCCTTGAAAGTAATCTTATCCCACTCACCGGGCTTTCCAATTCCCAATCTCTGTAATTTAGGAGAATTCAAAGGCTCCGGGTCTAATACCGCAGGGTACTTCGGATTACAAAAGTATATTAACACTAACCTCCTATACCCTCTTTGATCCTCAGGTGGAGAAACCACTCGGTGAATGGAAGATTTGAAATAGCCACCTGTGATAAATTCCATCGAATCTCCAATATTTACAATTAATCCTCCAGGCTTATGGCCCACGTACTTCCACTTACCAGTGAAGTAGTCTCTAATTTGAAGCGATAAAATTGGCTGCGAAGTGATGAATGTAAAGCCGGTACTATCTGAATGTCCTCTGAGCCAATTTTTGTCAACTTTCTTTTCATCTTCTTTGTTTAATTCATCGTAGAACATAAACCTTCCAAAACCATGTCCAGAATTGACATAATCGTCCTCAACTACTTTAAAATAGTTCTCCCACAAGAAACCTTTAGGCAATTCTAACACAATATCGCATAAGATGGTCAACTTCCGCAACACCTCATTATGTAATTTCCTAAAATAGGTTGCAATCTCAGGCAAATGATGCAATACTAGCTCAGGATAGTTGTTGTGATCGGTATCAAAGAACTTGGGTTGTTGCATCTCTCTGAAATTGTATAAAACGATAGAATCTTCTACACCATTTTTCATGGACCAATACTTGCGAGGCTTGAACCCTGCTCCTCTTTCACCACCTAGAGATTTAGACCGATCCTCTAAATCGGACTTCATTGCACCAGCCAAATGTTTCTTCTGAATTTCCTCAGGGAGTTCACATGTGGATTGGGCAATTGAACGCAAATGGTCAAACTCTTCAATCGAAATGCCATGGTTTTCAAGGGCAATGAACCCATACGTTGATAAGGACTTTTCAACTTTCGCAGCCAATTCCTTCCTCGCTGAAAGGTTCTCAGGGCCATCTTTAAATAACGAAAGGTCGATCGTATCCAAGTCTATCAAGTCAACATCTTGAGCTGATTTGGATAATGGGGCCTCCTTGAAATGTCTTACGTTGTACTTAAGATCTACTTTCTCGACATCCTCCTGGCCAATGGGGAATGACCTTGATCCTTTCAAACCGACGATATCTGTTTTAGTCATGGTTGCTGTGTGCCAACTTGTAACAATATAATTCTCAATCCTGAGCGAAAAGAGACTATCTCTTGTAACTGATCACTTAAATATGGTTTCAACCCTTTCATTTAAGCTTCAGCCCTCGTCCGTGGGTCCTCTTCGTTCCATTGGCTGTAGATCCGAGTTATATTGCTCTACTAACGTGATTTGAGTGCCACAGTTTGCAGCATCGTTTTTTCCTATTGCGTTTGATATCACTTTAGTACCTAATCCACAGTTTTAAAGCCATCAACTAAAAAATAGCTGTAGCACCTCTTAAAGATAGTCTTGAGTACCAGCTGAACCAAGAATAGTGACTGTTAGTAACATAATTATTTGAAGACGGCTAAAAATCTTTTTGCAAATGTACTGTGTGCTTTACTTCCCACAGACCTTGAAATGAAGAGACATATACACTGCAATTTTTTCTGTCTTCTTACCTACATTCCATAGATAGTTGAACCATCTCTTCAATGGTTTGTAGTTTTCAGTGGATTTAGTCTAGATCATCTGTTGGAACTTAATATGGTTCGAAATTCCATATTATCGGCTTTCCCATGATAATTCGCAATCACTAGCGCTAAGCTCGATCCATTAACTACCTCATTGGTATCGGAAGAAAAAAAAAAATACCTAGATATAGTGACAATGCAATTCTAGTACATTAAAACTGTGGATGTTGCTGCTTAAGGCCAAAGGGGGAATGCGCTTACCACTGTTCAGCGGAAAAACGGAACAAGTATTGAACAATGAATTAGAGAAGAGGCATTGTTGCAGAGTGTACTTATAGATACCCGGGGAGCTGTCAAATATCAATGTTTGAGCTGAATCAAATCTATCAATTTTTCACACTAGTTTAAATTTCAATATGGAACCAAGTCTTCCTCAAGGTGTTGGCTATGGTATAGTGATTGGTATGGGGGCATTCTTTGCAGCCCTCTTGAATGGTGTTACATTTGTTCAAAATAGATTTACTAAGTACAACTCAAACAAGGTTGATGAGTTCACGTCCGCTTCGAGAAACATTCCATTCGGGTTGATGGTGTGTTCTATTCTTTCATCTTGGACTTGGAGTTTGACCTTGCTACAATCTGCCACAGAGTCTTACTCTATGGGATTCTGCGGTTCATATTGGTATGCTGTAGGTGGGTTACTACAAGTGTCGGTATTTTCCATTGTTGCTTCGAAAGTTAAACAAAATGCAAATTTAGTTACTACATTCCCTGAAATGAGTTATTTCCGCCATGGTACTCCAGGACATTTGGCTTTCTTATGGTGTGGAATAGTTTGCAATGCAATCGTTTCTGCCTGTATACTTTTAGGTGGTGCGGCTGTAGTCACTGCGATAACCGGCATGAACCCTTATGCGGCTCTTATGCTCATACCTATCGGGGTTGCAGTTTATGTCTCGTTTGGTGGACTCAGAGCCACCTTCATCTCAGATGCAACCCATACCTTGGTTTTGATTATCTTCATTATTGTTTTTGTATTCGAAGTCTATACCAGGGGCGATAAAATCGGGTCCCCTCAAAAAATGTGGGATTTATTGCAGGAATTAGAGCCGGTTGCAGATAATTATCACGGTTCGTATTTGACCTTTAGATCGAGACAGGGTGCAATTTTTGCAGTTCAGTCAATTATAACCGGATTTGGGTTGGTGACGTGTGACCAAGCATACTGGTCAAGAGCTATAGCGTCTGAGCCTAAAAGGACTTCGCAAGCTTACTTCTTTGCAGCTGGAGCATGGTTTGTAATCCCATTTGCAATGGGTGCAAGTTTAGGATTGGCTGCAAGAGCATTATCAAACTACTCAGATTTCCCAGTATTGCTGGCAGATGAGGTCTCAGCTGGCTTGGTGAGTGTCGCTTCAGCAACCTACCTAATGGGAAAGACTGGCTCCGCAATGATATTGGTTATGGTATTTCTTTCAGTGACTTCGTCGTTTTCAGGTGAACTTATTGCAACATCAACTTTACTTTCCTACGATGTCTACAAAAGGTACATTAAGCCAAGTGCCTCACCTCAAGAAGTTGTTTTCGTTGCAAAGGTTTCAGTATTTCTTTGGGCACTTTTTGCAGGAGGGCTTGCATGTATATTCAAAGGGCCAGCAAAGATTTCAATGGGATGGTTATTCAATTTCCTTGGAGTTGCTACTGCTTCTGGTGTATTTCCAATAGTGTTGACCTTCACTTGGAAGGATTTGAACAAATGGGGAGCTGTGGGTGGCTCAATTGGAGGGATGCTTTTAGCTTTAATTGTATGGTTGGTTACTTGTAAAGCCTATATAGGAGAGATTAATGTGACTAATCTTTCTAATCAGTGGGTATCATTTGCAGGAAATGTAGCTGCGTTAATTTTAGGAGGAATTATTTCAATAGTAATTTCTCTCATATGGCCTGCCGACTTTAATTGGGATAAAACAAGAAATAGAACTATATTAATTGACCAAAAAATTGATGACCAGCAATTAACCTCAGCTCCAGAATTTGAAGATTCAGGTTTTAGCAAGAACGAGATTGATAATGACCACTCCGATCAGAATAAGATAGATCCACAAGCCATATCTACCAGTATTCTGGGGTCTTCTGAGTCTGAAGATGACTCTAGCGAAAACTTAAATGAAATTGATCATGTATACTTGGAGCATCAATTCAAGAAGTACACTATTTTAGTACTTATCGTGACTGCTATTACTGCTTTCATCTTACCTATTGCCTTAGGTGCGTCACCGTATGTGTTTTCTCCCAAATTTTTCACTGCCTTTATCTCTGTAATCATCATTTGGCTTTTCTATACATTTGCACTAGTGATTATATTGCCAATTTGGGAAGCAAGGTTAGACATTTGGAGAATAACTAAAGCGATATTTGGTAAATAGGCATATGTACATACCTATAATAGACACTTTAAATACTACACAAGCTGGCTAATGAAGAAAATGTAAATAAATACATATATAATTATGTATATACAATGCTAAATTACATAGATATAATGCTAAAGTTTGAATCCACTTGATCCCTTTGGACCTTCCTTCTTCTTAAGATGTCCCTTGACATCAGTTAAATCACCCTTTTTACCAATAACTGTAACATTCTTAGCCTTGGACAAAGTGCTAATGACTTCACCCACTCTTGCCCTCTTCCTGTTACCGTGTACATCCTCAGTTTTGCTTGGGTTCTGCTTCTCTCTTTGTTCACGTATCTCCTTCCTTTGGTTAAATTCCTTAGATCTCTTCCTTTTAGAAGCTCTTCTGAGTCTTTGCTTATCGTCTCTTGATAACTCATCTTTAGAGTATGACAAACCAGACTTCAATTGAACTTCTTTCTTGCCTTCTCTACCAGCGGCAGCTGGCTTGTCATCACCAATCTTATAAACCTCTTGTGGAGCTAATGCAGTATCACCTTCTACGTGTAATGGTTGAGAATCTTCCATATTAATGGAAGCTGATGCAGATGCACCACTGTCAGTAACCTTGATTTCGACTTGTTTAAATTGGTTTGGTTTCGGTATGAAATGAGCTGAGCAAAGGGAATCAAGCTTATGTGTAACACTGGAAAATAATTCACTGATTTCATCGTGTTGCTTTTGTAATTCTTCACTAATTTCACAACTAGCGGCTTGACTGTCTCCAGTTCCCTTGTATTCATCTTCGTATATATCAGCCAAAGATTTCGAGGACTTCGTTTCACTCAATTCGTATTTTTGTCTGTTGTGAAATGATGCTACGTTAGCAAGTAACCTCTTAGGCAAGTCGTCGAAGTTCTCCTCTTTTATTCTTCTTCTAATCATATCTTCTAAAGATTCGGTAACATCCTGAGTTATTACTGGAACAGGTTTGGCAGTTCTTTCAAACTCCAAGTTGTGAGATTCAGTATCATCCAACAATGAATCTTGAGGGCGATCTTTTGCCGAAACTTCACCTTTCATGTTCCATTTCTTTTCCGCGACCAATTCTGCTTCCAAGCCAGCTATTTCGTCTTGAATTTGGCGCTGTTGTTTCTCAAATGAGGAGAGGTTCTCCGGATTACTACTGTTGTTCTTAGACTTTGGAATATCGTCCTCGTCATCAAACAAATCAAGCATAGCTGATCCCATAGCTTTGTCATATTCGTTGTCATCAAACTCAAAGTCTTCTTCATCTTCTTCTGTTTTGTGCTGAGCATTTTTCTTTGGCCCACTGCTGGACTGAGGTTTGCCTGGCTTTTCATAGAAATCATCAAAATATGCCATGTTCTCCTCTTCATCATCTTCATCATTTTCACTTAAATCAGCAAAGAAATCTATTTCTTCTTCATCGTCATTATCGTCCTCGTCATCTCCATTTTCCAACGCTAAAGACTGTCTATTGAATTCGTCAATGTCAAAAAACCCATCGTTCAAACCAAATACATCCTTTTCAGGTTCGAAGGAACCTTTGTCGTCGTCAGAAGCAACTTTAGTAGCTTCATCTGAATCTTCAGCAGCCGATTCGTAGTTTTCTTCAGCAGATTGGAAGTCTTCCAGACCATCCAGTATGTTGGCTTCGTTTTCCTCCTGATCTTCACTTTCGAACTCATTTTCTTGGCCATCGACTTCTGACTCTTCTTCGTAATCTTCGTTTTCTAGGACATCCTCATTTACAGCATCTTCACTTTCTTCTTCATCTTCTTCATCTTCATCATCCTCATCTTCATCTTCGTCTTGATCACTCTCCGCCTTAAACCCATACTTTTCTTTGAGCTCTGGTATCTTTTCGAATAACAAACTTTCTCCTACTCCTTCAAGAACCATTTTGCTTTGTCCATATACTTGTGAAGCATCCAAACCTTCTACATAAATTTCATCAAGTACTGAATGATCTTTGGTTATAGGATCCAACAAGCTCTTTACGAGTTGGTTGAATTGATTTGAAGTATCTTCATCTTCACTCAATTTAAAGACTACTTCCGGATGCTGGGTCAATAACTCAACAATTTTACTCATTTTCAAGCTTCACCTAGAAGTAATCTATAAAGTATCAATGTTGTTTCAAGGCAACCTGTTCCTCTTCAGGTCGTAAAAGTTCGAAAAGAAAAAAATTACAGAGACATGAGATGAGTACTGTATGCAGGAACATCAAATAGTTCGAGATGAGTGAAATTTGGGACAATCACAAATGCATTGGTTGCAGGTTTTAGGTTGATCATAGAAGATAACTGCGAAGGCACGTGTGTTGAGTGTGATGGTTACAGTATGAAGATCGCTCTCCAACCCAATCCTCTTCTCATTAGGCACTCGTCCACTTCCTCAAAAAAATGGTTGAATAGGCAAATGAATGATAAATTTACCAAAGATGCAAAAGCTTCCAACTACAGATCGAGAGCAGCATTTAAATTGATAGAATTGGACAAAAAGTTCTCCTTGTTCAGCAAGACTACAAAAAATATAATAGATTTGGGGTTCGCACCTGGTGCCTGGTCCCAAGTGGCTCTTGAAAGAAGTCGGTCTATTGGTATAGTCAACCCAAATATCCTTGGAATAGACCTAATTAAGTGCAATCCGCCAGAAGGAGTGCATTTTGTTCAGGGTGATGTGTTTACGAGGGAGACTCAAGATAAAATAAGAGAACACTTTTCAAATCAGGTGACAAGCGGCGTTACTAGTAAAGAACCAGAATCAGAATCAGAACCAGAGCTGGTAAACAAGAACAGACTTCTCCCAGTAAATCTCATACTTAGTGACATGATGGCGAATACTTCCGGTGTTAAGAATAGCGATCACTTTGCCAGTATGGACTTGTGTACCGAAGCTTTAAAGCTAGCCATTCAACTACTACAACCCAAAGGAAATTTAGTGATGAAGTTCTATACAGGAAAGGAAGAGAGTTTATTAAAAGAAGAATTGGATCGAATATTTTCCAAAGTGTATAGATTTAAACCGCAGGCTTGCCGAAAGGAGCTGAAAGAGATGTATTTTATAGGAATGAAAAAGAAAATATAGGGATTAATAGTAACCTAATGAGCTTGAACAGAGGTGAAAAATATGTAAGAAGGTTAAATAAAAAAAGAGCTTCCCCACCAGGAGTCGAACCTGGAATCTTCTGGTTCCAACCGGAAGTGGTTACGTAATCGTAGCCAGACGCCTTGACCATTGGGCCATGAGGAACGAAGCACTGCTTAAAGAGCCCGCATGATCGGTGATCTCAAGCTGCTGTATTATGAACTATACAGAAAATATGGAATGTGCCATTAGCTAGAAGTATAAGGATGAAGAGCATACAGATGGGAGGTTCCTAAGGAAGAATAGGAGCTATAGCAGGACGAGAAATAGAAAAAAAAATCCGAAAAGAGTATGAAATAAAATGAAATTGCTGTTACACTATAATTCACCAAGATTCGTAAACTATTGGAGAATATCTAGTGGAAATACGAAAATAACTAATGTAACACGATTGACACGCTATCTTGAAAGTATCTGAATTGCAGCTTAAAATTCTCTCAGATTTCCTAGCTGACTACATTTGAGACTTCTGTGCCTTAGCTTTCGGAATTAACTCCTCACATCCTCGCACTAAAGCTATGGGCGGTGCTTTCAATAAGTTGGCTCAAAATCATCAAAAATAAATCTTATACTGCACAAGGGCTCAAAGTGTTACCTTGCGAAAAAGTCAACACAGGCGGAACACTGTGATCAGATAGAAAGCTAGCTAGAAAGAAGGGTTCTAGGCCAGCTATCTCGGTATCGCTGATGATGCACAATACACAATTGATACTTTTCACGTGATCTGAGATCAGATTAAACGCTCAACAGTAAATTTGGTCCATCATCATCCTACAGAAGTGATTACGTACAGGACATAAAGCTGCGGCATGTCAAGAAGAAGCATTAGCGAAGGAATAGAAAACACATCGCTTGTTATTCGTAACCAGGTATGTCCCTGACAAAGTAAGCAAGCCATTAGTTGTGAGGTATTTTAATTGAAATCCTGATTGAAGATTATTTATAAATTGGAGCCACCTTGGCTGGTTGTGATTCAATCTTCAAAACATCATAAGCCTATATATATAGGCTTTGACAAGGCTTAGAGAAAATTTTTAGGGAAAATCAACTTTCTTCCTACTAACAGTTTATTCCTCAGTAGAGATCATGGGTACTTGAGATTATTGAGGGATACAGTCAATACCTTCAATACCGAGAAAATTACATAGTACTGATCAATACCAATTATGAGCGATATTGAGAATCACGCCTGAAGCCTGAAGGTCTTTGCACCCAAGGGAATGGATTAAAGTAACACAAGTAGCACCTCAGATTAGGGACAAGTTAAAATCGTAGTGCACCCGCTCGATCCAATAGATATTGGACATTTAAGAGTTGCTCCTGACAGAGCTCTCCCAAATCGGGATTAGTATTTTTTTTGATTCCTCGAGAAAAGTGGCGATATCCGAAGGTTGCGGAGATGGGGGGTCACCTGCAACATTTTGAGTTTGGGTAGCGTTGCTAACGAAGGGAAACAATGTATATGACAGTAGTTACTTTGTAGCCTATAATAATGAAGCAATATTACCATACTATGAGATCTCAATTGAAGATCTCAGTGTACTATGCCCAACCCATATATTAACCTAAAGCTCCAACTTGATGTTCTCCGATAAAATTCCGATTTAATTTTTATTATTATGAGAACTTGAGAGGTGCCCCGGTGACTGGTAAATTACCTGCAGCAAACTTCTCTTCCATTTCCGCTTAATTTGCGAGTGCTACCTAGTAACACATAACTCCACACCCACACCGGAAATGCGTTCATATTCCTGTTGGTTAAAAAAGCGGGCGAGAATAACAAAAATACCAGCCTTTTTTTAAGCATCTGATGGCTCCCCAAGCTAGGATCCTCCATCACAATGCCTATTAGTGAAGCCATGTGTTGTTGTCATTGACTCTTGCGCACAGATTTTACCTGTTAGTGGCTGTTTCTAAGCCAAAAAAAACAAAAAAAACTCACCAGGCAAAAAAAATTCAAGTCATTGAAATTACTATTTTTAGCTTAAATTAAGTGCATAAGATTTTTGTTAGGAAAGGTGAAAGGGGGAGTCTATACGAAAGGGGCATGCTAATTGATTTGTAACGATAACTCTTCATACTCTAACAAAAAGAGTACCCAACTTCATCTTGGCTAGATATTCAGAATTCATTGGAAAAGTAAATTGAAACTTTCGACATCATTTCATATGACTTTTATATATTTTATTTCCTTATTCAAACTTCTTTGGCATCTTTCCTTAAATGGTAATTTTTCGTTAGACCTTTTTCCGGTATATGAACAAAAATTGCACAAACTTAATTTACCGTTTTTAGACAGCCTGCATCGATTATGGTTGCATAATGATGCGAATTCCTGATTTAACAGGTTGCGGTGGACCCCAAGGCTGCTTTCGTTTTGTCAAATGGTAAAGTTAAATTAGGTGCTTTTTATCACACTATGCCTCGACGAAACGATATCTTTTGCGTTCCCTCGTGTACTATATAAGTAGGCAGCATCTTTCCCTGAATAGGAAGTTTTTTTTTTTAAAATATCTTTATTCAAATATTAGAGTTTGACACAACAAACAGTTCTTCATACACCTTCCCCCACATTTTTTGTTTACACTTTCGTTGAAACATAAAAACAATAGCTAATACTTAAACACGTACAAGTTTATTTATTTTATATTCAACTTCTTTTTGTTCAAGCAAACCAAATTTATTTAACACACACTCGCTATGAAGACCAATACTCTTTTAACCACATTAGCATTAGCTCTTGTTTCCAATGCAGCAACCATTCCAACTTCTGCATCAACTTGGACCACACTTACTGCTACTGACTCCGTTCCATCATCAGTTGGTGCTTTGACTACTTTCAGTGGTTCATTTGCCATCTCACTTATCTACCTTTCATCAGCATCCGAAACCGCTTCAGCTAATGCAAAGAGAGATGTTCTTGCTCAAATCAGTGATGGTCAAGTTCAAGCCCAATCAACCACCGCAGCTGCTGAAAGCACTGCTTCTGTTCTTGCACAAATCAGTGACGGTCAAGTTCAGGCCCAATCTACCGCTTCCGTTCTTGCACAAATCAGTGATGGTCAAGTCCAAGAACAAACTACTGCTGCTGTCCTTGCACAAATCGGTGACGGTCAAGTTCAGGAACAAACTACTACTGCTGCCGCTGAAACAACCGCTGCTGTCCTTGCTCAAATTGGTGATGGTCAAGTCCAACAACAAACCACTGCTGCTGCTGAAACAACCGCTTCAGTTGTTGCTCAAATCTCTGATGGTCAAGTTCAAGAACAAACCACTGCTGCTGCTGAAACCACTGCCGAAGTTGTTTCTCAAATCTCTGATGGTCAAGTTCAAGCCACCTCCGCTGCTGAAACCACTGCTGCAGTTGTTTCTCAAATCTCTGATGGTCAAATCCAAGCTACTTCTGCAACCACTGCCGCAGTTGTTTCTCAAATTTCCGATGGTCAAGCTCAAGCCACCAGCTCTGCTTCTTCTTCATCTTCTTCCTCCGACGATGATGATTTCGATGAAACCTGTTCTGCTTCCAACTCCTTAGTATTAAAGTTAGCTGATGGTATCTTAACTGACTCTGCCGGAAGAATCGGTGCTATCGTTGCCAACCGTCAATTCCAATTCGATGGTCCACCACCTCAAGCTGGTACCATCTACGCTAAGGGTTGGTCCATTGTCCCACTTTCTTACTACGGTTCAGATGATTCCGAATCATCTTCCAAGAGATCTGCCACTTGGGGTAAGTTAGCCCTTGGTGACAAGACCACCTTCTACAGATGTTTATCTGGTGACTTCTACAACTTGTACGACGAAAGCATCGGTGGTCAATGTTCTGAAGTTGAATTTGCTGTCTTAAGAATCGTTGACTGTTAAATTCAGCTACAGTACACTTAAAAGTTTCAAAAGCAAAGACAATTTCAACAAAACAAAAACAACAAAATAATGGAAATAGTAAACTCAGATAATGCAACTATCTTCAGTTACTGACTTCTTTATTTTCAATTTCAAAGCATTCCGATTATTTTATTTTCTTCCAGTGCCTTTAGTACTGGTTATTTTAGGAGAGCAATAGAACCTGCTCTCTCCTCGTCATACAAACTTATATAGTTAAATTAAAAGCAATAAATGGTATTTTATTAATATGTCAGTAGTAGGAACAATCCATTCGGAACAAGCAAAGAATGAAGTAAATGAATGACTTACATCAAACAACAATTACGTGGACATCACATATGCCCATTGAGCTATCGAGTCCATTGCCCTTGTCCAGATACTATCCGAAATCCAAGCAGAAATAACCTAGAATATTCTCTACTGAATTAAGTTTCTCCTATAAGGTTCCATCCCTAAGCATGGGCCATCCGAGGTAGCATAGCGCCATGTCCTTCTATCAGAGCACAAAAATCTACCAACCAATAGAGGCTCTTTGGCCGAGTGGTTAAGGCGGTAGACTCAAGTTCTACTATCGTAAAGATGCACGCGTTCGAACCGCGTAGGAGTCACTATTTCTTTTTTTTTTTGATTTTTCTCATCCAACTTTTTTCTCAATACAGCGATTTCTACAATGGGAATATTGCAACATCGTCACATGTGTATTAACAAATAGAGATATATGTAGATACCAACTCGTGAAACAAGACCAAAAAATAAAAAAAACCATAACGTAATAGTCCCCACTCCACAAATTATACCCATCCTTTTTTGAAGAGGATTGGGAAACCTGTCTTAACAGTCTACGCTGAGTTACCTGAATAGTTAAAGTCTAGAATATGGGGCTGTGGGCCCTGTTGAGGGTAAGTCTGTGCTATGTTTCCGGCCCTGATGATTTGCTTTGTCACAGTTGCTCTAAGACTCTCTAGTGATGTCATTTGAGAGTTAAGCAAGCTTAATTTTGATGAAAGTAGCTGCGCTTCAACATTGTTTCCAACAAGGTTGGGGTCAGTCTTTCCTAGGCTCGTAATTTCCTCCACTTTGTTAGATAAATGTGTAATTAAATTTTGCAACTTCAGGTAGGTTGCGTAGGATTCGTCACTAGCAAAAGAAGAAGAGGACGAAGGTACAAGGATGTTCTCTTGCACATACTTCAAAATCTTTTCCACTCTTTTCGTTAGTTGATCAACTGACCCAGATAGTATCTTATAATGGTCAGCCAACCGTGTGGAAGTAGATACTGCCTCCTTTGGCCCACCCGCATGAGTTGAGCCTGTATATTGGGAGTGGTTGGCAATAGTGAATGTTGAGATTTTCTCAATCTCATCATTAGCCAAGATGTTCAACTGAATCTTTTGCGCGGTGTTTAGTATATTCTCACCATTATATGGATATGCAGATAATGACTTTTCTCCATTATAGAATAGCACTACGAATTCTGGATTAGGTATGTGGGCACTTATTTGATTCAATATACTATTAGTGATGTATGTCGGCTCCAATGTATTCATTTGATACACTCCAACTACATGGTAATTAGGCAATACTATTTGGAATTGTTCGTATCTTTTTTGTAGGAAACTCAAATCCACTACAACCTCATTTCCATTTTGGCTACTTCTATTAATTAATATTTCAAATGATGTATGGATAGATGTCACATTATCGTCAGTTTTTGTTCCGAGAAGTATTCCAAATTCACTGGAATTCCTGGAAAGTTGGTCTGCAAGATTGAAAAGGAGCACTGAATGTAAATTGACCGCCATTATCGGTGCATCGAGGTCCTTTGTTAGAAGTAGAACGTTCGCCTAGTTTAGATTTCCTGTCTCTTTCCCTCAGAATTGATTTGTCCTACACCTCGAGTACTGCACACGACAAGATAGAAAAGTGCGGCTGTTCTCTCCTGCATATACTGTTTTTATTTTTCGTTTTCTTTTTTTTTTCCTTTTGAGAAGAGAAGGTAAATTTTCAGTCCTTTATCCTTAAACACCAACTTGATCTCCCAATCACAGATATGATGGTTTCAGTACAAGAACCAGCGGGCAGAAAGCGACTGCTACCTTCCGAGGGAACAAGAACAGCGAAAAAATTGCGAAATAATGAAGATCAGGAGGCTATTAATATCGCTGACAAACCAGCTGCATCATCAGGCTCATTCAATGAGGTAATGTACCTGAAATACGTCAAATCTGCATTGGACGCTTTAGATATCGTATGTAAACCCAGCATGGATGATAACTGGTAGTGGTTTAGCACAGTGACAGGCTTAGGAGGCAATATGGGAAGTTTCTGGTACCTCCAAGTGCCCCAGTACTACCCCTTGATACCTTTGTGGCGCGATGACCTCCCCCGGCTACAGTGTACTACCTTCAATGTTGCGCCACCGGCCTCTTAACTGTCCAGCCATACTCTATCATCCCAGTATATTTCTACTATACCTATTCCTATTTGCTTCAGCTTTACTAACATCCTTTTAGAATGATTCTCTTCAAATTGACACCCTTGCATCAAAGATAAGGCTACCCCTTGCTCATAAGGAAGCCATAACAGTGCCCAACTTCAATATAACTCTTAAGTTGTTAATATCCAACATATCCAAGCTCGATAACAAATCGTGCAACAACCTTATAACGTCGGTTTTGGAATACCAGTGGCTTTCAGTCGCTGAATCTTTAAACGAGACGTCCGCCCCTCATTCTGCATCATTCATTGACCTTTACTCCCATTTCCTTTCCATCCTTGTGTCATCCTTCCCCAAGTACCTCCATGAAGTCACCACTAAGTTGATCAAAGAATTCACTCAGAATACATCTAAATTAGCGCATCATAACATCTTAAGCAAAATCATAAAGTATATCCCTACATCTGTGAACACCCTCCCAAGGAACTTGCAAAAGCAGTTCCCACATCATTTGGGTTCATCTACGAACAGTTTAACTAACTACGTTGAAAATTTACTAAAGATCTTGACGTACTGTCCGGAACTTCAATATGACATCTGGCAGATGATTATTGAATGTTGCATTAAACTAGATGTTGAGTTACAGAATGAGTTAGATGACTTAGATGACGATGAGATCGAAGAGATCATCAATGGAGATGACGAGGAGATTGTTTCCGGCAATAAAGAGGATGAGAAGGTAGATGGAGCAGGGAACGAAGACGAGGATGCTGAGGAAGATGACGAAGATGAAGACGACGAACGTGTGGGCCAAGTGGAATACCTAATGGAATCGACCAGGTCTACAGCGACTATTAAGAAGACCCTGACTAAACTTGACTCTATCATCTTCCTTCTTCTTAAAACTACCGAGAATTCATTCACCACTGAGGAATTGAACCACGGAAACGGTGTGTATCTTTTTAATACGCTTACGTCATTATTCAAGTCCCATATTTTGCCCACACATTTCACCAAGCTGATTCAATTCACTTTGTTTCACGTTTCACAATATCAACCTGAGTTGGCAGATTCATTTTTGGTTCTTTTGATTGACGTCGCATTTAATACCAGTGAAATACTAGAAAAAAGATTGAAAGCAATGCAGTATCTTTCTTCGTACATCGCAAGGGCTAAGAATCTTTCCAGGCATCAAATCGTGTTTGTCGTTAGTTACCTAATTGGGTGGCTTAATAAATACGTTATTGAAAGAGAATGCGAGGTATTCGAAAGTGATAACGATAATAAGGGAAGAACTAAAGGAGGTAATAATAATGGAGGTATGGAAAGGTTTAAATTATTCTATGCAGCCTTCCAAGCCTTATTGTACATTTTCTGTTTCAGATACAATATGCTCTACAAGGTAGAACAAGGTGCTACTGCTATTGCCAGCTCAACTTCCAATGTGAGTGCCAGTACAAGTTCGGGCCCTTCTAGCGAAAACGAACAGTGGGAATGTGAATTGGATAAATTCTTCCAAAGGGCTATGATTTCGAAGTTCAACCCATTGAAATATTGTGATGAAACGGTGGTGTATATCTTTGCCAAAATTGCAACCAAATTGAACGTATGTTATTGTTACTCAATAATTGAACACAACAAAAGAGAAAGAATGATTCAAACAAATGGTGGCTCTAGTTCTTTACCATCTGCAGTTAGTAATTTTAAGGCAAAGCAAGAGTTTTTGGACTTAGAGGCGTACTTCCCTTTTGATCCATTAGTGTTGCCAACATGCAAAAAGTTAATTACTACTAACTATGTGGAATGGTCAGATGTTAATCCAAGTAATGACGACGAAGATGACGAGGACAGTGGAAGTCATCAAGATGACATGGAAAGCGACGATGAAGAGATAACTAGTGAAAGTGATAATGAATGATTTGTGGACAGAAACAATCAGATGTATAGATAGACGGTTAGTTATAATTTATAGAATAATGAAGAAAAATGACCAATAATATAATCCAGTCGGATTTAAATCCGTTATGTAGATATATCTTGAGATCTAGAGACAATCGTGGATGCACCCACTAAAGTCTGGGCTTACATGTTGAAGATGGAAAAAAAAAAGAAACTGATTCCATCGAGGATCGAACTCGAGACCTTTTCTGAGTGAAAGAAACGTCATACCGCTAGACCATAGAACCCTGTTCCTTAACAAAAATAGTATTTGCGATAATAAGAGGCGTGATCGGAAAAAACAAAATATTTCCGACCAGAATCACTTCGTAGGTAGACGAATAGATACTTCTTCATGATTAGTTATGTCTTAGCATATTGCTTCTGACATAAGTTGTCAATTAGAAAAAAATCCACAGTGCTCTCAAAATAAAGTGAGTCTTGCATCGAATCTAAGGTGGAACACTAATAAAAAATAAGTTCAATATGCTATGGAGCTCTTTCCACAAAATAAATATATTTTGCTTAGCTTTATGAAAAGCTTTTGTCAAATACTCTATACATATACCAAATACGACTACTAGCAGAGTAAATCTACAAAAAACACTGAGGTAACTAAAGAGTATTTCAGTGGATATATATAAAAACAAATTCTTTTATTAAGATACTTTTGGAATAATTTTTATGAAACATACTAGAGAGATACTACCACCATGAGCGAAATTACCATCAATGCGAATGGGGTAACTAAGGAATACTGCAATGGAACTGAAACACCGGAGGCTTTGATTGGAGAAGAGGATGCTTTTCCAGTTTGGCTTGTACTCAGTTCTTCTGTTTCAGAGTAATAAGATGTACCAGGACGACTAATAGTCAGATTTGGGTTGAATATTCCACTACTAATATAAGCTATGTCAGGTGGGGTGAAGCTTGCTGTTTCGTAAGAGATTATGTATGTGGCTGACGATTCAGCAACGCTATCAATGAATTCTGTCGAAGAATACAAAGGAGCATCTTTGGCACCTGGGATTGATCCGGAAAGAATCTCAATATCAGTTTCATCAGTGTAATTAGCTTGAGCAATGGAAATGGTCAAGTCTTCGAGATCGTATACGAAATAACCAGAGACTAATACATTATCACCAAATACTGTGTAGCTTTCTGAGCTATTTTGAGTTCCCAAAAAGCAGGTGCTAGTTGGGGCATAATCTACATCCCCACTCATGATTAAATTAGAGTACGGAACAGTAAGTATGGCACCACTAAAATTAAGAACCAAGTTAATTTCTTCATCTCCGCTAGGACAAGGAACTTTATAATAGCCATACTCATCTGAATAATTTCCTCCTACAAGTTCCCCAAACCTTTCATATAAAGAAGATGGTAAAACAGTCAATGATGTTCCAGAGTCGAATATTGCTGTGTACTTATTATCAGTGAGTGAATGGGATTCGTTTCCAACATCGACGCCAATACTGTCAACTAAAAAGTGCATTTGACCTGGATCATAACTGAGATTGGTAAGGAGAGGTACAGTAACAAGCGGGCCAGTATACTTGGCATGATCAACTGCTCCAAACAAAATTGAGCCAGTTGTAGCATTCTCATCGTTTAAAAAGAGTGAATATGCAATTTTTTCAATGTAACCTTGACTCTTTAAAGCTACTGGTAAGTTTTCGTAAGTGTAAGAGATAGAATCATTTTGTAAATCTACTGTTGATTCCAAATTCTGCAAGCCAATTCCTAATATACCAATATTGGTACTTGTTTGGTTGGCAATACCGAATGAAAGAGAATCAACGGCGGCATCTCCAATAACAACTGTATCCTGACCCCAAACTCCGAATGCACCTGTTAAATCTCCATACACAATATAGAAGTCTGGGACTGTTTCATTAACCTTAAAAGAAGATGAAGAACCAGTTGCAAAAGAACCATATGCAATGCATGTGTTTGTTTCTGCGATATCACCGGCTTCAGTACCGGTTGGCACGGAACTGAATTGTGGTTCGAAGTATTCTATTTCAGTTGTAGAAGGTGCTTCAGAGGAGCTGGCACTTTTGGACTTTTTGTCGTCACGTCTTTCGAGAATTAATTCATCATCGTCTCTTTTGTAGTTTGAAATTGGAACAAAACATTCAACATCACTGGCCATGACCCATAAATCTGATGATCCAGTATCGATTTGCACGGTTACTTCGTCTTCTTCAGACCCGATTTTGATAGTTGCGAGGTACAAATTAACTGAATTTGCAAGAGTGAGGCCTACTTCACCATCTCTCTTATACAAATAAGGTTTCTTATCGACTGACAAGTCAGAAAGACTGTTTCCTCTTTGGATCTCGAAGTCAACTTTAAGAGGACTGGTTGCAGTGACCACACTGGCAACTAGCGTGCTAATGCACAACGTACTGTGAAATCTCATTTATGAACAGGATATTGCACAATATGTGAAGTGCACAAGAATCTACATGAAATCATAAATTTTCAGGATGTACCATTATACTTAAGTAATTCCTAATGAATCCTTCAAGGGTACGACTATCCAATTGGGGAATTTTTCGTATCCTGTTCTATTCGGATGTTAAGATGTACTCATTTTCGAGCCGTGCATTAATTGCATGTTAAACGTGGAAACCGACGACGTGAGTTTTGACATATTCTCTAAATTTTAAGCCTCCAGTACATAAATCTCGAGGGCTGTTCATACAAAAGGAGCTATAGCTCACAATACAATGTGCATATGCTTCAGAAATCTAATCCTCTTGGGCCGCTTGGGTATGGGAATTCAAAGTGGTTGTGAAATCGGAGCCGCACAAGATAAGATCTACAGTTGTAAATTTCAAGTTGGGAATTTTCATGTCAAGAATTCATAACCAGAGAAAAGGGGGATAGGATACAAATAAGAGAAAGATCAGTAGCCTTACCGTGATAATTAACTATCTTCTTTCCATTTATTCTAGTTACTAAATAGAACGCTCTCTTCCAATAGAACAAATAAGAAAATGGCTCAGTTGTTTATTCTTAAAAAAGATTCGTAAATTTAAGGCTCATGCCATTTACGTCAAAAATATCCCACCATTTGGGGTGCCAAAATCGTGGAGGAAGAAATCCCTCATCGATAGACGGATAGGAGATGAAATTTCGTTATTAGTTGCTGCTTTGCTTTCATAATATTTCAAGATTGTATTTCCAAAGCAGGTATCGTTGCTAGTTTGAATACATTGAATCGGGAGTGTTCCAATTTTAGATTGGAGCCAATGCAACATGTAAGAATTCCTAATGCTACATCACATTGCGACAAATGAGTATTAAATTACCTCACTGAAATCAACTTAAGAGTAATTGATTCAATTGGTCTTCAAATGGGGCCGTTCATAAATGCAGATATGTCGATATAAAGTAATTGGCATAAATCGATTTATTCAACTACTGTCCGTCTTCTTTAAGGTTGCTTTTGAAAACTGTAGTACTGTAAATCGCGATTTTAGAATTAATACAGATAGATGTATTTGTAAGCCGAACCTACCCGTTATAGGTCATGGCCTAAGGGATGATTTTAGTAATGACCCTGGAAATTATCAGGAAATTGCTGATAATCGTTTGATATATGGTTCATGAGCTGCAAACGCCAACATAATCAACATAGAATTCGGATAAATACCACTATCGACTTTTTCCGTACACCAACGCATGGCTCAAAACCCATTCTTAATTCGTGGGGTAGTTGACTCGAGGGGAGAGCTCCAGAGCCCGCAGTGTAGTGCCAGAGATGAGCTCAGTACAAGCATACTAGTAGCTGCTTAATGACTGTATGCACATAAAAACGAGTGAAGAGTGATTAAGTGCACTCTCATATTCACATTTGTCCATTAAATATACAATTGTAAATAATGAGATAACTTGGAAATAGAACCATTCTGCTTTCTTGGTCCAGGCGATCCAGGTGCGCTCCACTTAAAGAAATGGTTTACATTAAAGAGCCCATGAGAGCCACAATTATTACTATAGAAAGTATACCCAAAAAGAAACACTATACAGCGAGTGTCTTTTGACTAATTGTCCCTCAACTAGCTTTCCCTTTGCGAAAGGGGTGTAGGACGAGCCAGAATTGAATAAGCTTTTTCAAAGTAGAACCTTCATTCTTGATTAGATCTTCAATTTTACCCAATTGGGACTTGGTAAAGCTCGAAAGATTCAATTTAGCATTTCATCATTGTTTAAGCGTTAGTCAGAGAAGATTCAACATTCCTGAGGAGCCCGTAACCCAAACCTACCCCTCCATTTATAGAGGAAACCTTGCTCAAGTAGAGAAGCAAAGCAAAACATAAGAAGAAAGCAAAAGAACAAAAGAATATAGGAACAAAAGAACAAAAAGAACAAGAGGCTACCTTAGACCCTGCCTAAATTAAAAAATTTCCCCTACATTTCCAAGCAAAAACCTTGGACGAGTACCAGTCGAAGATAGCAAATTTTCCACAGAAGCTATAGTATCAGATTATAGAATACAATTTCAACGAAGGGTGTACATAGTAAGCATACTATCACTATGCGAAAAAGAAGTCAAATGTAAGGCTCGAGAAACGGCCCACCTGTGACTAGTGACGTAGGCGAAAAGTTTAAAGTATTGCGACATTCTTTTTTTACGAGAGTCACCCCGGCGGGATTCGGGAGAATGGAGAATGGGTGAAAGTGAGTTGTAGCATAATTTATTATTTTCTCCCTCTTTCTCCTTTTCTGGGGTGACTACGAGATGACTCGTTGCATCTATCTAACAGACGACCCCCCAGGTAGATCCCGGGTCCATGCGAGGGCCGCTTCTACCTACATGACCCTTCTACTTTGTTTGACAGTGCACTTAGCACCGGGGAGAAGAATTTGGCATGCATCATTGCATCGCTGCACACCGTATCGGAAAAATAACCCCGGCAGAAGGGAGAGGGAGAGAGAGCGTAAAAAAAAAAAAAAAGATCTCACAACTCGAAGCGTGGGGAAGCAGAAACTTAGAATGGCGCCAAAGAATGTGAGAGCACTCAGTAGACATGGGATACGTGTTGCCGTTTCAATCTTAAACCTTAAGCCTAAATCTTGATTCCGAAGGTTCCAAACCCAGCCTTTTCCTCGGATGGCGACATTCGCTTACTAAAATAGGGTATTGTCTGGTTTGCTCTGTTCTCCCCATATTTGAAGCGATTGGACAAAACCGGAAACCGAAAGTGGAATAAGGACCCAAAGGAAAAAAAAGAAAATAAAATGAAATATGTGGAGAAAAAAAAAAAAAAAATGAAGAATCATTAGCGCTACAGGCACAAAAAAAAAAAACGAATAGTAGAAAAAGCAAACCAAAAACCAAAAACCAAAAAAAAAAAAAAAAAAAAAAAAATTAAGCACTAGACTCTGAGTCTGACCGAATCTTCACCTCACCCAAATTAGCTAGTCAAGCCCAGGGCAGCACACATAGCACTAGTACACCAACTCTACTATCTCAACAGTAACCCTATAATTTTCGCTTCGCGATCACTCCTCTCTGCTCCAACCCCCCAACGCCCCCGTCCTCGACCCTTTCTAGCCTCTTCTGCTCCCCAATTCACTGTCCCCCCACGTTGTTCCAGTCTCTTATCAAGGTAGAGTATGGTAAAAAAGGAAAAAACCAAAAAAAGAATCCTTCCGCACTCACCAATTCTCGTCCACTGACTCGGTTACACAAAGAATTAATTTACCAGCTCCGAACCACGCCAAAATCCCCGTAGTGCGAAACCGAGTGGGAAATTGATGATTAAAAAAATTGGTGCGCAGTAAGCGTAGGAAATTGAGCGGTAGAGAAAAAAAGCACCGAGCACCGCTAAACACACATCCTTCTTTCTAGTACCACTCTTTCCTCCTCTAATTTACCGGACGAAATAGGATACACAAAGCTCGTATATTTCTTCACTTGGATATATCTTCGCACAGCTCTACCAACTCCCCGTTCCTGTTCTATCACTCTAGGTAAAACGAACGTCGCGTTACACTGGGAAGGAAAAAAATTTTGTGGAGTCATTCAAAAAGAGTCGACGGAAAAACTCAAGCTAGGGATATTCCAAGAAGACCAAAGTATCGGCACACCACACACGCCAGTTACTACAGCAGACACCTTGACTTCTAACCGACTGAAAGAGGAAGGACAACTCAACACCCCAGGAAAGAAAATTACGAAAAAAACAGCAATAGTTGGATAAAGGAAAAAAAAGGAGAAACACAGAGGAAAGGAATATTATGAGTAGCACTTCAGGAGAAGTATTTACAGGAGGCGCCACCACGTCGCAGCACGTCGATGCTGAGAACGAGGACCATTTCGAGAATACGACTTTCAAGCTCAAGAGAACGAGGTCTTTGGGGTTGTTGGATGAGTTTATTCAGCCTACAACGCCGGCCGATGGGGGAGACAAGAGCGAGGAGCCCCAGCACGAGGAGCTCCCATCATCAATCCAGGCGCAACTCCTCGGCCATGGACACGATGAGTCTCATTCATACGACCATGCTCCCGCAGCAGAAGCAGCTGACGTTGATTTCGACGCTTCCAAGAACGAAAATGAAAAATGTGTTGATGCCATCATTGAAGCCCCCATGCATATAAAGTCTCCAGAAATGTTGCCCCACGACGACACCGATATTAAGGAGGAGCCATCACAACACGTGGATTACCTTTCACATCAGTGGGATGTGTCGGACATATCGAAGTCTTGGAGGTATATCATCCAGAAAAGGAGGGACGTTGCTGATTCTGCCAGGTTAGAAAATGCTTCGTGGAGAACGTGGGCCCAGAGACGATCGAACTTAAAGACTATATCGCCTGAAGCGGTGAATTGGTCCAAGGAGAGCGACGTTACATGGCTATATGGACCTATATTGAAGGATGACGAACATCATTCGCACGACGACGACTTGGATTCGCATAAGAGAGTGACTACGGCGACTAGTGCTGTTGCTGGGGATATATCTTTACCTTCTTCTAAGAAGCGTGGCCCTAAGCCTATCTTAAAACGTAGGACCGTTCAAGATATGATTATCAGTCATTCTAACCTTTTAAAATTACAATTGGCCACGCAAAGGCTAAACCAACAAAAGGAGCAGAAGAGAGAGTTACAGCGGAAACTCTTAGAACAACAACAGTATGAAAAGTCCCATCAGAGGAAGAACCTGGATAATCAGGCACCAGATTTTGATGACTATGAGGCTATTTCTGCAAAGTTGAACTCCCAGTATACCAATTCGAGAAACAATCTGAGTGTTAGTTTAAAAGGCTTGAATACATCCCCAAAGAAAGTAGATTCACCAAGTACTATTTTGAATTCCGACAAGATAGAAGAAGTGAATGACAACGGAGGCTCAAGCATACATGATTCCACTCAGTCCACTGAAGCCATTCCTACTACCACCACCACCTATACCGATAAAATTGACAATGATAATGATAATGATAATACAAAGGAAACTAGTAGCATAGTCGAGGAACCCCAGGCGACGCCGATGTCTGAAACATCCAGCAAAGAAAACAGACACATTCATTTTAGTGATGTAGTTCAGCAATGTATCTCGATTGAACCATACAGCGAAGACGAAGATGATGATTATTATGAAGATGACTCCGATGCATATGAATACGACGAAGATGCTGGTGAGGACTACATATACGAAGAAGGGCCACATCAGGGGAAACGAGATGATGACGATGATGACGAAGACGATGATGACGATGACGATGACGAAGGGGGATTCTTCTTAAGAGTTCCATCATCCGCAAGCTTGTCGGCGGGTCTTCCTGGAATTTCTATGTCTTCAGGGGAATCATCTGGAACAACAGAAAATTCAGTTGGCGGTGAATCGACACAAGCAGCATCAGCAACTTCATTAAATGACAACGCCTCAGTTTCCTCTGGGGACAGTGTTAGAACAATCCATATGTTGCCCCCAACCACATTGAATCATGGCTCCTCAGATGAAGAAAGTGACGATGATAATCCATACACCTCTAGTGTATCGCACTATGTTAACAATGACAGTAGCAGAGGTTATGATTACCACTATGATTATAACACCGTGTATACCGTGGATCCAAACCATGCCATATTGGGTACTCAGAATCAAAGAGCACCAGATGTAGTTGATGTGCCAGAGGATATTGCATTGGGTTCCAATTTTGATTATGAACAAATTGAACATCAAGAAAATTCATTACCTATAATTGATCCAAATCTCATAAACAACAGTAATTTGAATAGAGTAGCGGGAAATGAAAATCCGAACACATTGTTTTCAACAGAGGACGATTATTCAGGTTCAGACTCAGACTCAGACTCAGATGATGGATTATCCATTGGGACCAAAAATTCAAGTCATTCGTTAGCTCAACTGGTATTTGGGGGAGGAATGACCAACCATTTCAATAATAATGCAACAACTGATAATAAAGATAACTCAATTAATGCAACTAATGATAATAATAATACTAATAATACTAATAATAATAATGCCAACTTCAATTCAAATAATAATGAAAATCAAGGAATCAACAAACAACCTACGTCATCAAGTTCACTCTCTGAACTGTTTTTCGGAGGGACAACCGGATTCACCAAGCTGAAGGGATCTCAGAGTGCACTTTCTGATCAATTTTTCAATCTCAGCAACAACCACAATAACAACAGCAGTAACAATAACTACAACAATTACAGCACAACCTCCAACTACAATAATGTCGCTAGGAGCAGTAATTCTCCAAATTACAGCAATGAACAAATTGCCCCAACACAACGCAAGGCATCCCCGCTACCACCACAGACGACATCTGCGAATGCGTTTCTGGGGAACACCACTCCACCTCAAATAATTCCTAGTAATAACAGTAGGAATACATTTTTGTTTGATTCTGATAGTGACTCTGAAGACGAATTTATCGAAGATGTCACTCCGCAGAATACTAACAGCGGTGCTGAAAGCTATGCAGCATTGTCCCATGTAGCAGGTGTAAATGGGATTAGAAGTCCGTCGCCAGATGTAGGAGGAGGTGCTACCAATGATCAAGTCAGCCATGGCGGGAAGCTCGTGGGACAAGCCAAGGGTCTAGCAAATCACTTTCTTGGATCATGGAAGGGTAATGGAGGAAGTGTTGACGAACAGTAATGAATGCAAATAGGTTTATACAAAGAAAGATAAAGGTAATGTGACTACACACGTGCTTACACTACCCTTCTTTTGTTTATAATTGCTGAAGTGGGAAAGTAGGAGAGAAGAAAAGGTGGAGAAAGAAAAAATGAACATCAAAAGTAGTACCATACACATATGGGGCTTCAGCAATAGTTTATGGGGAAGTATGCCAAAGATTTGAATAAACCCAAAGTTCAAAAAAAAAAAATTACATAAAATCAAGTAAATAAAAGCAAATATAAAGCCATGCGTAGAATGTAAGATAGAGGGGGGAGTCAACACTACGGAGCATCAAGCATGCTTCTCGAAAATATTAATCACGATTTTCTTATTTCTTGCCTCCACAAACCTTGCCTTCTACACAGCTTGGTCCCTGTGGCAATTATTCCTGGTGCTCCATCCCATTACCATCACTGGCTTACCCTTTTGGGCCCTATTGGTCTTGGTCATCAAATGCCTAGGAACCCCAGGAGTCTATATGCAGGACCGAACAGAGCTTGCTATGCGCCGCCCCAAACCAAAGAGAATAAAAGCAAAGGAATAGAGGGAAAGGTGCAAGCAGAACAAGCAAGAGAAGACATAAGCTCGCTGGTTGACTGAAGCAGCAAAGCTAGTGTACATATCAATCAGAAACTTCCCTCACACGAACTCCTTTCGTACCCCATACCGGTGAAATTTCTTATCTTATAGAGGATGACGGGCATCGTGAACTACATACCGAGCATCCTATTATCTGCGGTACTTCCCTCAGCGGTGTGCCAGGCCTACACAGGCGGGAAACATAAGAACCCACCTCCCAGCGATAACAAGTGTGAGCTTATTTCCACGTTCTCGCTCCTCACACAGGCATCTCTCGGTTTGCTATGCTTGTCGTGCTTAATTGTCAAGAGGTTCTATGAGTACCCTCTGCGAAGATCGTGGCCCGTGTGGAGCTTCGATGTGCTGAAGCAACTTATCGGTGCTATGGGGTTGCACGTGTGCAACGTCGTGCTTTCTATAATGAAAGGAGCACCAGACTCTGGAATATTCGCCGGCGACGATACCCCTGATGACAGTGGTGAACAGGACCCCTGTGACTGGTACTTCTTGAACATAGTGTTTGACTGTACCATTGGAGTGTTCATATTGTACTTGGTATTTGAGGGCGTCAACAAGATATTGCAAGAGAAGTTTCATTTTAACAATCTAGAGACTGGTCAGTACGGCCCTGACCCCAACAAGCCTTCCTTCCGAGCATTTCTCAAGCAATTGTCCGTGTACTTCGGGTCGCTCATGCTCACCAAGGTGGTGCTCTACTACATTATGGAGTACTTTTCCACACCCTTACTCTGGTTCACTAGCCATGTGCTACTTGTGTGGCTCAACGAGTATCCCGACGAGTTTGAAATCTTCATAATCATGTTCGTGGTGCCTATATTCATGAACTGCTTGCAGTTGATATTGGTGGACACAATCATCCAAAACCAACTCCTCTTGAAGCAGAACACTACTTACACGCACCTCCATCCAAGGGACAGGGAGGCCGTCGAGCAGGAGGAAGCTGTGATAGACCCAACCAAGTCGAGCACATACGGAGCCTTGGAAGATACTGCATAGCTTTCTGTTGCACGGGTGGTATGAAGACCGGTTAGCTAAAGAAACGAATTCTGCAGCGGAGCTTTGCTCGTGTACTGCAGTGGAGCTTTGCACGATTTGACTATCACTATTATAGAACCATAGAAGTGAGATCAGGAAGGGTATGATGGGACGGGCTGTCCCAGGATAAAACAAACTCATGGTGTAAATGATAGAATACATAGCTACAGTGTTGTAGCATAATACAAGATTACTATTTAAAGCTATGCTTTCCCTTTTCTTTATTGTCAATTTATTTATATTCTTCTAGTAGTTGCTATTTGCTATGTACAAGTTTTTCCCATCTTCTCTATTTAGCTAGGCTCCAGCACCTCCAATATCTTCAGCGAGTGTGTACCGAGACTTCACCTTCGACGAGTTCTCGAAGGATCCCCAACAAGTTCCCAAATGCTCATTAACGAGTTTCAAACCCGAATCCCTTCATGCATTCCTTGTACTTGCCGATCAACTCATTGCATTTTCCTCCCTCTTGTCCATTAAAGAGTAAACACTCATCTCTCAACTTTTTTTCGTCTAAGCACACACAACATGGCTTTGGCTTGACAGGACATTCTTTCTTTTCAACTTCTGACATCTTTGGCTTCGTTTTTGGCTTAATACAACGGAAAAGACACACCTGGTGGAATAGGGCCATAATTTTTCAGTTTTCTGGTCTGCCTTACTAATGTCTACTCGATACTGCACATAGTAAACATCTCAGCATACTGCACACAGCACTGCCCCAGCCATAGTAATGCCTACACGCAACACGCTTCCACTGAGTGCTACTCAGGATTGATTAACCACCGTGCAGACTGGTCACACTATTCGATACCGAAGCCAATTCAGGTCTATTTGGTACGCTACGACAGATCGATGTTCCGTCGTATCGTACCATTGACCGCTTTTCCATATCTTTGTCTCCGTCTCTCTCTCTCAAACACACGCTTCCATATCTCTGCATATAACGTCCATTGCCATCAATGTTCCTTCATAATGACCTGCATATAACATCCAATTTGTCCTGTACCTTATCACATATCAACTTTCACTTTTGTGTCACGCCCATACAGAGGAAATGAAAAAACCACTGGAAAGAACCGTAAGCCTTGGTTCATTTCACGAATCAGCAAAGGAGCGTAGCAAGGATGGTTTCTGCTTCCTCTTCCATTGAAGGAAACGGCGACATAAGTCCTCGGATATCAATTGACTCGGTCAATTTGAACGACGACTTGGCTGTAGATGCCGGATCAGAAATCTCATCATCATCGGTTTCGGTTATCCACAATAGCAATCACAACAACAGTAACAGCAACAAGAGGAAATCCGGATCGGTTGTATCGTTTCGAAACAGTATAGATGCTGATTCATCCTTCCTGTCGTCGGCGTACTTTTTTGCCAATTCTCCACACAATGTAAGGCAACAGCAACAGCAGCTGCAACTAAGTAACCGAGATCAGAGCTTGAAGTACCAGCTTCACCAGCAACAACAACAACAGTACCATGCACAACAACTACAGAATAGACAATTGGACTCTCTTTCACCCTTGGGGCCCAATTCCATATATAAACTTACTGTAGCATCAGATTTGTCTCGAAAGCAAAAGAACAGATCACCCAAGAACCATGTCACCATCAACGGTGGGCTAACCACGGTTTATAATCTTCATTCGCCAACAGTGGCCGCTATCCCCCAAATACAGCTACTGTCATTAAAAACCAGGGTATCTAATGAAGATTTGAAGCAGAAGTACGTTGACGGTGGCCTTGAATCTGAATTTAAGAAGTTTGATTCTCAGGAGAGTAAGTTGACAGAGGGCACTTTACAGAAGCTCCAACAACAGCAATTGCATGAACTGGGTAAAGGAAACGACAATGAAAACAATATAGAGAGAGTTACAGAAATACAGGATCAAAATGATTATCTGGACTATAAAGTACTGTCTTCAATCCCACCCATATTCTCAGATCCTTCATTCAGACTTGATGATCCTAGAACGTTCAAAAAAGTTATTGAAAACTCGAAGATTATATCTACTAACGATGATGATGCCGGCTTGAACCCTCTGGATTACCTTGTAAATAACACACAGCTCCAGGAGAAGCTCTCTCATTATCTTGACTTGGTTGAAATCTCCCTTGTAGAGGAGATTTCCAAGTCCTCCAATTCATTTTTCAACACCATTGATGAAATCCAAGAAATAGAAAACCAATCTGGGCTATGTATGTCACAGTTTAACTCCATAACTTCGCAGCTTGAATCAATCGAAACCGAAGAATGTATGAAGGGTTTAAACATCCTTAATAAAATCAAGCTCCGCAAGAACGTAGATCAGTTGGAAAATTCGTTGCTTCAGATACAACAGATTTTGGGCTTATTTGAGATTTGCCAAGCACTTTTTCAAGAATCCAAATACACTGCATGTTTGGAGCTGATTGTAGAGTTGGAAATCTTGATAAACGATAATGGGATGTTAAAACTCCCTGCGTTATATGATTTACAAAATGACTTGCACAAATTGAAAGTAAACTGTACAAACCAGTACATTAAAGATTTTATCAACCAGTTGGTTAATGATTTGCATTCGCATTACCAATCTATCCCAGTGCAAGATTCCTTGAGCAGAATGAGCGGCAAGAAATCTGTAGTGACCACTACTGGAATTAATAAATTCCAAGCAGTTGATGAAGAAACGAAAAATGTTCTCCGAGAATATGTCTCGAATTTAGCTAGTTTGGGAATGCTTGGACAAGCGTATCTGGCATACCAAGAAAGAATAGTAAATGAAGTTAAAGAAATTATCAAAGTAAACTTACCAAGAAGAGATAGTGGTACACCATCAAGAAGTAATTCAGTTCCACCTCCACAGGATTTACAACCAGAAGCCAAGAAATCGCCAGAACCTCCAACTGGAAATACATTGATGGTACCATCATCGTCCAACAATGGGAGCGCAACTTTATCAACAAACCTTAAATCAATGTCGTCGACAGAGTTCTTAGAGATGCTCACAAGAACATTCACAAATCTTTCAGAATGCCTTCGTAGACTCACTACACATCAAAAGATTCTCCTTGATCTTGCACTAACTTCCATTCCACCTTCCGAAAATATCGATGTTATGACATTCGATATTACCCTTTCGATAAATAAGGCCATAGAGATTACTCAAATCAGATTAGCCAAAGTGATTAATGTGAGACTGGAGTTGATAGCTGATTTGCCTGTGGAACAGTATTTGAGGTTTTATTCAATTTCACTGGCATATTTACAGGAGTGTGAGCTAATAAACCCAGGATTCATAGCTAGTGAAGGAGGGAACTCGTTAAACGATTGGTTAAGAAATCATATTAACTATTTTATCCATAGATTACACCTGAATTCCTTAAAATCTTTAATCCAAGAATGTGACAAGGAAGTTTGGAAGGAAGTTACACTGGAAGAAATTTTGAAAAATTGCCAAAGTATCGTCAACGAATTGGTAACATATGCCGAATTTGTGGAAAGTAAGGGGAAAAGTGGATACTCTGGTGATCAGTGGACCAAGGCTATGGACCTACAGAAGGATATGGATGAAATCAAGCAGGAGCACGACTCGATTGTTGCAAGAATTCATATACTGCCTGACAGTAGACTTCGCATAGGGCATAAACAATTTTTAATTCCATCATTTATGTTCAAAAGTTTACGATCTGTCAAGGATTATATAATTTTAAGTAAGATTTTCCCAAGCAGAACTTCTACTATTGAAAATGATTTACTCAACTATTTTAAGCTTTTAAATTCCAGAACATCACAAGCAATCTTGGGAGCTGGTGCAACCAGAACTGCGGGATTAAAACACATATTCCCTAAGCATATGGCTCTCTGCATCCAGTTAATCGGTTTCAATACTGAATTATTAGAAAGTATACAAATCATATTCAAGAATGAAAACAATGGCAATGCTAATAATTCTACTAATGGCCAACAAGGTGGGGCTAATAATGCTAGCGACGATTTAAATTTTACCAGAATTATCAGTAACTACAAGGATCATGAGAATGAGCTTTTTGGTAAACTTATTTCAATGATGTATGAACGTACTTTGAACCACTGCAATACCATTAAAACTATAGATTGGTCAGAACCAATTAAATCCCCTCACCAATGCCACCAGTACATGGAGACTTTAGTAAAAGATACAACAACAATTACAAAAGTGCTTTTGAAGTATTTGCCTGAAATCCAATGTCAATTAATTTTACTGCAAGTCTTTGATAACTACAAGAAACTTTTCGTAGAATGTTACTGTACACAAATACCCCAGTTTAAAGATTTCAATGAGAAACATTCGTTGTTAAGAGACATTGATTATTTTAGAGTTAAACTAGGGGAAATACCAGGATATGGAAATTCAGGACAGGTAATTTGGGAAAATATTAACAGCATGCCAACAATTGAAGATGCAAAGATGGAAGAAGTTATGAGAAAGAACATCGAGAGAGAAAGAGGAATTGAGGAACGCAAATCGCTTGAGAATGCTAGAAAGTCAGTTGAGGCTGAAAACAATTCCAAGGACGAGGATCATAAAGTAGCGTCAAAGAACGAAGGGGATAATGGTTCAGATGAAGTTCTCTTTGATATAAGTAAGGCCACTTCTGATGATAATTATGAAAATGGAACCAGCCAGGTAACACTGGTGCTATCTCAAATAGAGGACATTGGAAGCAAAATTTCTAAAAATGAAGAAGAAAGTCTTCCAATTGAACCTGAAGTTGTTGTTACACCGATGGAATCTCAAGTAGACGAGAATGAAAATAACAACAAAATGTCAGTTAATGAGGGACAAAGTCTTCCAATTGAACTTGAAGCTAGCGAGTCTGTTAATGGAGATCCCGATACTAAGACCAAGCTGACTCTTAATAATCATGAAATTGACCAGGACGCCTTGACAGAAGACTTTTTGGGTGAATCCCCTTCAGAAAATGGCAATAATGGAGCCGCCACTGAAAGTAACGAAGGTAATGAAGATTCTAAAGGAGAAGATGCTACCATTCCAGAAATAGTAGAGCAAAATGTTGAAATTAAAGAAGAAGCGGCTAGTATAGATGAACCTAAAGAAGATAATACAAAGGTGAATGAAGACGAGGCAAGCGAACTCAAGTTGAAGGAACCCAAAAATTGCCAGGTTGAAGAAGAAGAAAAAGAAGAAGAAGTAGCCGATCTAAAGGTAAACAATCTTGAAGATAAAACCAAGGAGGAAGATTCTAAAGATGAAGAGGCCAATGTTGAAGAAGTTAATGTTGAAGTAGCTCGGGCAAAAGAACCTAGGATAGAACAACGCAGCATAGAAGAAGATGCGTCTGAAGGACCTAAAGAAGCTGAAACCAAACCAGTCGTTCATGATGAAGAAACCAAGGAAGATGGAATCAATCCAGTCGCTAAAATTGAAGAAACCAAAGAAAATGAAACAAATTCTGTAGCGAAAGTTGAAGAAACAAAAGAAGATGAAACCGAAGAAGTAGTCCCTATGGTTGATGAAACTAACGATGAAGGAGCCAATAAGGTAGAAGAATCCAATGAAGAAGAGAAAAAGGCTGAAGGAGAAGTAACTGAAGCAGGGGAAGCCAAAAATGAAGCGACTTCCAAGAAGAACGCTAAGAAGAAGAAGAAGTCGAAGAAGAAGAAGTAGAGTGGACTTGGACAGCCAGATAAACTACTGCATCAAATCTGAAAATAAGCATCAACGCTCAAAGAGTAAATACAGTGTATTCTGACTATAATGAAAAACTTGAAGTCAAGAATCATAACGAAAACTCTTTCCTCATTATCTTTACCAATTTAATAACTTTCATATTCTATATAAATAAATCATAGACATACACACTACTTATCTAAATTAAACTCTCCTTCAGAATTCTTTACGTACACAGTAGAATCTTCAGTAACTATACTATCAATAAACTCATGTGGAGTAACGTCAAAGGCCGGGTTCCAAACCTCAATGCCTGGTGTGGCTATCCCAACAGTAATCTTTTCTCCTACAGTACCATCAGACGAAAGGATTGGACCATTCAAAGTGGTCAACTCATTGCTAGGTCTTTCTTCAATTACAATATCCTCTCCAGAGGCGGTGTTTAAGTCGATAGTTGTTCTAGGAGCAGCTACGATGAACTTTATTGGTTGCTTTGTTCTTCTGTTGAAGAAATTTGCAAGCGCCGAAAGCTGGAACGTACCAATCTTGTTGGCAGCATCACCGTTCTTAACAACCCTATCAGCACCTACAATAATAAATTTCACTGGAGCCGCCACAGACTTGCTGCCCTTAATTGACTTGCCCTTATTGTTTAAAGTCTCTATTAAAGATGAAGCCATATTATCACAAATAAGCGTAAATGGGATTTTCTCATAGTTCAATTCATAGGTAGTCAACTTGGCACCTTGGTTGTATGGTCTAGTCTCACATGGGTAGACCTGGTTTAGCCAAAACCCATCAGCTCCCTCAGGGTCCGACAACTTCGAATGGACAGTTCTGATTATACCCAATGCAGTACCATGCCCTGAAGTAGCTAAAGAGCCGGTGTTACAAATGGTAATTATTGAGAACGGACCTTTAAATGATTCCGCCTTTAACGACTCACGAATGTAGTTCAAACCGTTTTCTCCAATCTTGAAATTGTTGCTCAAATCGTCTTCATACAAGGCGACCGCATACTGGAGGATGGTGTCAAAAACAAAAGAGTCCGTTTCGGTGTGGTTTGGGAGCTTCGATTTGATCAAGTTCTTGATATCGTTACAAGCATTTGAAAGGTTCACAGCTGTCGGTCTAGACGACACCAAGTAGTCTATCTGGGAAATAAGATTTTCAACAGTTAAGGCACCTACTTTATCCTTGAGCTCAACAACTATAGCAAATGCACCTACAATGGCAATTGCAGGGGCTCCTCTAACCTGCATCTTCTTTATAGCTTGGTAGGCATCTTCGATGGAGTTGATCTGAATGTACGCAGTTGAATAAGGAAGAAGCAACTGGTCTAGGATTTCCAAAGAGTTGGAACTTTTGTCAAATTTAATTGCTTGAAGGGACATGATATCGAATTCAAGAAACCCAAGAGTCTTAGGACACTAGAAAAGGGTGTATTTATTGCAGTTCGGTGATGAACACAGAGCACGTTTATCCAACAGGAATTTTTCATTACATGTAGTGAGTTGCTATATACAGGAAGAACACCAGATCAGAAGTTGTGGGGTTGCATGTGCAATTACGATATCACGACAGTGGTGGAAGATATCAGATAGTTCAATGCTCCAGTTCAGGTTCAAGGAATGGACGAGTAAGAAGCTCTCTTACTGTAGCTAGAATATCAATCTCCTGATCCCTTCGATATCCCATTCTTGCTTCAATTCATTCCATTTACACCCTAACAATTTCTTTCCTGTGACTGGACAACGACCTCCCCTAAATATGTCAATTTTCACGGCATCTGCATCAGCATCTGCATCAGCATCTCTTTCAGCATCTCTTTCAGCACTCTTATCTTCTACCTCTCCCTCCACACCTCCATCGAAGTCTTCCTCGTCCAGCTCTGCAAGCTCCTGTTCCTTGGGGCTTATCCTATGACTCTGAGAAAGGTAGTTATAGATACACGAATAGCAGAAGACATAACCGGTCTCGATTATTGCTGGGTTGGTGATTTCCTCTTTGCAAATTGGACAGAGCTTGCTAGAATGGTATACTTTCTTTGGTAGTTCCTTCTTTTCCTTTTCAAGTGAAGCCCTATACTTTGAGAGAATGGCTGGTGATGGTAACATCACATCCAAGATATTACCCAGTGATTTGGCGATTTTCAGAGTGAAATCACTGTTGTTCCACCATTCCAAAAACTTCAATGAGAAAATGGCAATTGGAAAGAATGTTCCCAAAATGAATCGTATAACCTTCCAAGATGGTTTAGTGATATTATTCGAAAGCACTCTTAGAATGGTTTCCAAATTTGTAGGCGGGTTAACTCTAAACAGGTTTATTTTACTCTGGTTTAACTTCTCCTTGATTGCTTCCGGGTCATTCTTGTCGTAGTCATACAGGTTGAGCCTAGAGTAGTTAATCTTAAATAAGTATGTCAAGAGCGACGGAGACTTGGTGGCTCCACTTAAGTACATTAATATAGCAGCGAAGTTACCGCTTCTTACCAAACTTTGTACGTAGGGATATATTTCCACAAACTTCTTCTTGAACTCAGTGGTAAACTGGTCATATTTGGAATTTGGGTCGTTTGGTTTCAACTGCTTGGTCAAGTACTTGGGGTACCACACTTCATAGCAATAGTTAAGCTTTTCCAGTATATAACTGGTACCACAGATTTCAAATATGCTTACAGCTATTTGGAAGTTGGTCAATTTTCTCCTTTCTTCCACCTTTGCCGGGGTCAACTGGGTCAACTTGGCGTCCTGATACCTCCCGCCACTGTTAGAGAGCCTGGTCTGGCTCACTCTTTTCAATCCGTAGAAGTTCTCAGTAAACAGGCCCAGCCAGTACTTCAAGAAGTACCACTCTACCAACACCCTCAACGAGAGATTCAATTCATCAAATCTGTTGGCGATTCTCAAGAGGTACTTGGGGTACTTGGCGGTATAATGCACTAGAACAAATCTAAGGGACGGAGAGAGTAACGCTTCCAACTGATTGGACGAGATAAGCTCGAATAACGTGGGTGTTTCTGCATCTAACTGCGATGCGTCCAAGGACGAATAGTACTCCATGCTATATAAGTATACACAGCAAATATAATAGCTAAAGTGCAAGTGTATTCTGTTCACTAAGTGCTTGCTTCCATTTATAATTTTCATCTGCTGCTTGTGTCTCAGCTGCCCCGCAAAATTGCGATGGTGCCAAAATTTAGCGTCTCTTTGGCGCGGTTTGAAAATTGCTACCGCGGCTTTGCTCTAAGTATGGGGGAAAAATGAGGGCAGGCACAGGGCCCTGGGGGAGGTGGTGAGTAGAGGTGGTCGTCTCCTAGATAACAGTTCAATTGGCCAGATGAATTCTTCCAACAGAGGTGAAAGAGTCATCACCTCAATTAGAGCAGAATTGAAATCCAGAAAAATCAAAAAGTTTGCTTTGGGCTTGTTCACCAAGGTGCTCTCTCTAGACTATGAAGATGTACAGATTTGCAGCCAGCTGAACACATTGATAACGGAGATTGTTACTCCCAATCATCGATTCGTGCTAAGACCGAACATGAATTACGAAAGAAATAAGCAGAGCTCAGCGAACTTATTGACTTCGGTACCTGAATATCCAACAGGGTCCTCGGAGACCATAATGACCTCGGGCGCTTCCTTGGGCGGTTCCGCACTGGTGACTGTTGGTGCAACGGGTGCAACAATACCATGCGCAACAATAACTTATCAACTGAAAGGATTGCCACAGAGGCTGACAATACAAGACATGTTCCCTCCTCTGACTTCTAGTGACCTTGAAGGCAGCCAGAGCAATGAAAGCGCACTGGCCTTGAATGCGGATATTTCCAGCGTAGGAATATTTCCAGTCTCGAGCCAAGACGTCAACTTGGGGTTGAACACAGAAGAGCCGACCAACTAGCGTTGGCCAGGACCTGCACTTTAATAACTAATTACTACAACTAACAAGGTATGAAGTGGGTACAATAATGGCCTTTGAATAAGAATTAGTTAGGGCAATTCAACAGTATGCTACAAATCCTACAGCTGGTCATATAAACGGCTTATATTGTAAAAAAAATGTTAATCAAACAACAACAATAACTTCAACTTGAAACAAAACCCCATAACTTACTATATTTTAGCAGATGGTTCATTCTGGCATAAGCTAGGATCAAACTTGAAATTCGTCTTCACGTAGATTTCCCACGCCAACAAATCAAACACTTGGTAATCACCGAATTCAAATCCACTGAGTCCAATTGCACTGGAATGCACCTTAACTGGCTTGAACCAATGGTAATAATTCCTTGACACTTCTTCATTCAAGTTAGTGATCTCCTTGGTCTTGTACGGCTTCCAGCCTAATTGGAATAAGCAAAGCTCAGCAATGGAGTTTTCTAACGGTACAACCCCATAATAATAACCGTAAAATAACACCATGGTCAATTCATTGGCAATTGTGAGGTTCTCAGGAACCGTTTCAGGAGTAGACAACGACAAATTCTGTATTTGCTGTAAATACATATCGTAATTTGAAGTAGACGTACGAATATTATTCCAGTATGATTGAAGCTTGAGCAAATTGGGAGGAGGCTTCAAGGTTTGCTGAGATGGTTTCTTAATAATATCTGACGATGTTAAGTACGGATAGAAAGAAGATCTCAAAAGCTTTGGCAAGAACGGCTTCTCAACTGGTGAGTAGTATTGATTGTACGCAGCCAAATTTAACGATGATGGGTGGATTAGAACCTTGGACGCACCAACTGTTGGAGTCTTTCTACTGGCTGTAAAGGACAAGATAAGATCTTGTATTCCTGGAGGCAATTTTGTTAAACTTAAATCTGAGAATAGATCTTGTTCAACGTCTGAAAGTGATGAAAGTACAGAGTCAAGCGGGTAAGTCTTACCTAGGAGAGTCACCGAAGTTGTAGCTGACAGATTCATACCTGTAATCGACGATTGTGGACTAGACTGCTGCTCAGGTATCACAGGATTGGCTTGCTGCTTCATCAGTTGCTGCTGCTCACTTTGGCTTCCCACAGATTGTAACTGTTGTTCATCTTGTTGCTGTGGAAGTTGCTGTGGAAGTTGCTGTTGCTGTAATTGTTGTAATTGTGGGTGGGTTGGTTGTTTATCTTTGAGTTCTAACGACCCAGCTGCTGCGGTTGCCCACTTCAAGGCACCGACTGGTTTACTTGGAGCAGTAGCAGGCTTCAACGTCTTAATGATAGCCGGACTCGTAAATTCAGGACTTCCTGGGATAACATGAGGAACCATAATGGGGGTTGATGTAGTGTTATGTTTGTGAGGAGATGGCGATTGCGTCGTAGGGTTTGAAGATGACGAATTACTATGAGACACAGCAGAACCAGCTGAAGAGATTGGAGCACCAGAGGAAGATGGAAGTGAACCTGAAACTGATTCCATTTGTGTACCGTTACCAGCGACGGCTGTTTGCGACGGTACTACATCAAATTCTACACCTCCGTTTAATACACTATCACTTTGTGGTGGTGTTGGTGGCTGCACCAGGTCTGGGTCTTCCTTTACCTTGGCGGCTTCCTTGAATATTTCGTCATATAAAGTCTCATCGTCAATAAAATCGGGTTCTTGGTTCAGTTCAATGTAAAAGCTAATGTCATCTTTTATGAACTCCACCAACTCTGCTTGAATCCTACCTCGTTTCAAAAACTGTATACAGTGCTCCATCTTTTCCACATGGAAGTTATTCTTAGCAGTAAAGGTATCAATATCTGCCTTCCTTTCATCAAGATGCGACGAGTTTTTCTTCGAAGTCTTCTTCTGGCTCAACTTTTCATATTCCAGTTCCAATTCTTCATTTTGCTCAGTCAATTCCTCAATGCAAGTCTCCAAAAACTCCACACACTCCAAACCTAGTGGAGTTAGATTCCGGTTCTCATCATGCTCTAACGCTGCCAACATTATGGATTGATTAGAATACGACTTCATTTTAGAAGATTTTTCTACATCCTTATAGCGTTCCATCGCTTCCTCCACTAGCCTCCTATGCTCCTGTAGTCTCGATGGAACAATGGCTGCTTCGATGGAGTCGTTCAGTTGCCATGTTTTAATCTGATCTCGGAATTTCTGAAGTTTTTTGATTTCCTTTTTCAAGTCACCTTCCAATTTATCTCGTTGAGAGTCATTATTTGAGGCCTCATGTCGCGTGTAGTAATAGTTGAATAAATCTATACCTTCATTAATTTTTTTGAAAATGGCATCGACTTCCCTAAAGTGAAATAGTTAGTATATTGTTTAATCGAAAGAAGATTGAGAATATTGGGCTACAAATTTTACGGTCCTGTACCTATACACAGAAAATACAACCCCACAAACTATTCAACGATCCGTTACATACTTCTGAAGTTTTCTATGTGACATGGTATATGCTTGCCGTTACCGATGAGATAGTCCATATTACTCTTTACTCCACTTATTAAGAACTTTTTTCTTACAGGTCGATGTTGAAAATTTTTGAAATCCGAGCGATCACGTGAAACTTGACCGGAACTATGATAACGAAGAGACTACAAGGAAGCTTTCAATGGTACTAGGCACAATTCACGATTGAAGTCGAATATACTCGTGTTTTGTAGCAAAATGATTTTTTGGTCGACGTATCATACTTAGTAATGGGTGCTGTTGGTATGTTATTGCCAAATATGGCATGGGTGCTCGCCCCAAATAAATAACCACCACATTCCCTCTTGCTTCTTCTACATTTCGTTCTTTACAACTTTTCACGTGAGCGTTCAAGCAGGTCTATCTATGCGAGAGCTTTCAGATGAAAGGGCCCGAATCTAGAAACCATATCTCTTACAAAATTCATATCTTATTCTGTCGTGTCGTGGTATTTATAAATACAATACATACATATCCTCTACTCTATTACCAGATATATACATCTACAATTCATCATGATCAAATTCATCGTCTGAATCATCATCACCAAACTTAGCATCTGCACCACCTGCACCAGCTGCACCACCGTATAACTTAGAAGTGATTGGGTTGGCAACATCAATTAATTTTTGCTTCTGTTCTTCAAATTCTTCTGAAGTGGCGGTATCAAAGTTGTCTTCCAAGAATTCTAAGGTTTCCTTAACGGCATCATCCAAAGTTTCCTTGTCTTCGTCATCCAACTTAGATCCTAAACCAGTTTCAGAGTCATCGTTTAATTGACCCTTCAATAAGTGGGCGTAGTTTTCTAAGGAGTTTCTTGATTCAATCTTTGCCTTTAATTCAGCATCTTGTTCAGCGTATTTTTCAGCTTCTTCAACCATTCTGTCAATATCTTCCTTGGACAATCTACCCTTATCGTTAGTAATAGTGATAGATTCGGACTTACCAGTACCCTTGTCCATGGCTTCAACCTTCAAAATACCATTGGCATCAAGACTGAAGGTAACTTCAATTTGTGGGACACCTCTTGGTGCTGGTGGGATACCAGTCAATTCGAACTTACCCAACTTGTTGTTATCCTTGGCCAAGGCTCTTTCACCTTCAAAGACTTGAATTAAAACAGTTGGTTGGTTGTCAGCAGCAGTAGAGAAAATTTGAGACTTCTTGGTTGGGATAGCAGTGTTTCTGTTAATTAAAGTAGTCATAACACCACCAGTGGTTTCAATACCTAAAGTTAATGGATTAACATCCAACAAGACAATGTCATCAACACCTTCTTCACCAGATAAAACACCAGCTTGGACAGCTGCACCGTAAGCAACAGCTTCATCTGGGTTAATACCCTTGGAGGCCTTCTTACCGTCGAAGAATTTTTCTAATAATTCTTGAACCTTTGGAATTCTGGTAGAACCACCAACTAAGACGATATCATCAATTTCAGACTTCTTGGCACCAGCATCCTTCAAAACTTGTTCAACAGGCTTTAAGGTTCTCTTGAAGGCAGCAATGTTTAATTCTTCAAACTTAGCTCTAGATAAAGTTTCAGAGAAATCGATACCATCAACAAAGGAGTCAATTTCAACACGAGTTGACATTTGAGAAGACAAGGTTCTCTTGGCCTTTTCAGCTTCTCTCTTCAACTTGGAGATGGCTTTAGCGTTACTGGAAATATCAATGTTGTGCTTCTTCTTGAATAACTTGGAAAGGTAGTTGACAACCTTGAAATCGAAATCTTCACCACCCAAGTGAGTGTCACCAGCAGTAGCCAAAACTTCAAAGACACCACCTTCAATAGAAAGTAAAGAGACATCGAAGGTACCTCCACCCAAATCGTATACAATGATTTGCTTTTCACCGTCAGTCTTATCCAAACCGTAGGCAATAGCAGCGGCAGTTGGTTCATTGACAATTCTTAAAACGTTTAAACCAGCAATGGTACCGGCATCCTTTGTGGCCTGTCTTTGAGCATCGTTGAAGTAAGCTGGGACAGTGACAACCGCGTGAGTAACCTTCTTTCCTAAGTAGTCTTCAGCAATGTTCTTCATCTTGGTCAAGATCATACCGGAGATTTCTTCTGGAGAAAAGGTCTTTTCTTCACCATTGAATTCAACCTTTACAACTGGCTTACCATCTTTCTTGGCAATGTTGTATGGCAAGTGCTTTAATTCCTTTTGAACGGTATCATCGGAATACTTTAAACCAATCAATCTCTTGATATCGAAAACAGTGTTTTCAACGTTAGAGGGAGCCTGATTCTTAGCAGCGTCACCAATCAATCTTTCGTTGTCTTCAGTAAAGGCAACGTAAGAAGGAGTGATTCTGTTACCTTGATCATTAGCAAGGATTTCAACCTTACCATTCTTCATAACACCCACACAAGAGTAGGTGGTACCCAAATCGATACCAATAACTGTACCGTATGAGTCAGTGTCATTTTCTTCAGCGTTGGCTAAACCAACACCGTTACCATTACTAGCCAATAACGGTAAAATGACTGCCAAGAGAACATATAATAATGTTGCTCCGGAGAGTAAAAAGCGATTATTCTTCCACATAATTCCCTGTTAGAAAATGTATATGTTCCAAAAAATAAGACTAAATGTTTGCAGAAGAAGTTTTCAAAAATTAACTACCAAACTTTATCGAAATTTTTCAACGCTTATATATTTTTTCGTTTGTGTGCACGAAGCGAAAAGTTGGAAGACGTGGCATTTTGTCACGTTCTTGACACGTTAGAGTAAGGAAAAAAGAAAACTATGGAAAGCGCAAGAAACAAATTGGTTGCAGCAGTGGGAAAAAAAAAGACTTCCCATGGTCCCAAAAGAGTAAGAAGGCGAGCTGAGAGAAGGTGAGAAGACAGAAGAGGAAATAAATGGAAAGCGAAAGAAAGAAGTGCTTGTTGGTGTGATCCAGTAGTCATTTCAATTGCTGCTAACTGATACAAGGTAGAGGAGGCTAGGTAGAGGGTTGGCAGAGAGTATGGTAGAGGGTTTTTGTCTTGTTTTGGTTACTCTGGGGTGGTTGTTCTTGATGGTGATTATAGTTTTGGTTTTGGTTAAGGTCAGGTGCAAGATGAAATAATTGGCATGAAAATGAGAATATGGAAGTCTGAAACTCCGGACTGTATACTGCATAAGGACTCTACTATGGTTTGCTCCATCTAACCTCTCTCTTCAGTTCTCTCTTCGATTCTCGTCTACTACACAATGCGACCTTAGTTAGCTTATTCAAATCTTTCTTTCACTTTCTGGCCTGTCATTACGTGCGTTCAGGGAGTAGTAGGGTCCGTATACTGTGTTGCGGTCTAGCCGTAGGGCGGCTTAGAGTTTCAAACGGTTTTTTTTTTTTCTTTTTTCACGCTCTCCCATGAGCATTTCAGTTCAGCCCTCACCAGAGTGAAATCTGAATTGTGGGGGAAATTCAGCGATCTGAGACCGTACACCCAAGCAGCAAAACAGTGTGGAACCAGGAAAGAGGTAGAGTGGCACGATAGAGACCGATCCGAAGCTACCAAAATGGAAGAGACAAAATGCTTCTTACTACTAACAGTAGCCAGAGAGAGCGAGAATTGCTCTGGAGATTCAGGTGTTGCATTGATCTCAGTAATCTACACCTGCAACCATTAACCCTTTAAGTCTCAATGTCTCTCCATTAAGGTTTAAAGAAAGATAAAGTATATGTACACCTTGTACTACGTCATATGAGATCGGAGTTTGAAGACTACTACATGGCTTTGTTTGTTACCAGGTGACTACTTCTTTCCTTCATATGTCTAAATATTATACTACCCAGCCAAGCTTTCTTCCTATTATACATATATACAAATGTATGGAAGCCACGCTTTCTTCGCATTATATATACATATGATTGGGAACCAGACTTTCTTCGAATATCTCAATAAGTATACGAAAGGTCACTGGTGAATTTTACTCGTGCTAACATTTGTTGTTCCTCACTTCAAATTACAACTTTTCCAAAACATTGGCTCCCTTTCCTTGTTTTCAATACATGCCCCATTACTTCCCAAACACTATAAACCATCACTTTCTGACAGTATTCCTGCTCCTTTCTACCCATCATCTCTTCTACTACCTTAACTTGAATTTCATTATTTCTTTCATTTCTTTCATTTCTTCACCAGTTCCACTCTCTTATTTTTATCAACTTTACCTCTTGTATTTTTTGGTCCATACATCAACTTCGCTCATTATCCCACTCTTCATCTTGCCCCATCAATGCCATCTACCCCTCTTGATAAACTTCGCACATTCTCCGCTACAAAATTCCTTCCGCACCTGCACTCTTTCCTACCCCTTGTGGTTTTTCCTCAGTTTATCCATACAAATGCCCAAATTGATACTTCAACGCTCCCACCAAATTACACAAAACCTTTCTCACTGCAAACTTCATCGATAAAACTTAATTTGCTAAGGGGGTAGAAAAAAAGGGAAGATAAAACAGAAGAAAAGTCCCACATTTGACTGAAACCTCACCATATTTACCTACAGTTGAGAATCATCAAAGTACGGGAGGAATTCAGCGCAGCGAAGAAGGTTGATAAAATAACGAAAACAATTTTTTTAAGCAAAGGAAAAAATTAGAACAATAACGCTCCTCCAACATCAAAGACTGAAAGTATTAAGGAAATAGAAGGATACAAAAAAGTAAAAAAGATACACTTAAATTTATAGATCTATTCATCCTTCACCTTCATCTTTACCATTACCTTCTTCCCGACAAATCTTACAATCGAAAGAAATAAACTAGAGAATAAATCTGTCACAGAATGTCTACTCCCTTTGTATCTGATGAATTGGTGCAATTGCAAAAGGAAATAACTTCCAAGAATCCAGTGGATGTCTTACAATTCTGCGCAAATTACTTCAATACCAAACTAGAATTACAACGCGCGCAGTTATGGCAACAGCAGAATAAAGCCAAGGCTGCCGGAATTGTCTTGTTCCCTAAGACCGATAACGTATCAGTGAATGCATCTGGTAACGGAGCAAGTACTCCTAACGGGAGACAACCTAGCTTCAAGAGTCCATTTGGAGATAATGATCCTCATCTGATTCATGAACAACACCATGACGATGATCCAACCTCGGAAGTTGCCCCCGATTCTGTCAATACAGGTAGTATCTCAGCTGGCATCTTTAGAAGCCAATTTGGCGGAAATGGCGGACTGAGAATTCAAAATCCGGTTGATCCAAGTGATCCAAACGACAGAGCTCACTCACCAGGCCCAGCCTCTTTCAATTCCTTTGGAGCAGGCCCATCTTCCCCATCATCAAAGGGGCCAGATAGCTTAGGTCCTGGCCCTGCTGGAACAGGCTCTGCTGCGCCAACATCAGCTGCAGCCCCAACGAGCGGTAGCAGTGCAACACGCCGTCTCCCTATTGCATTCAACGCAAACAGAAGAACATCGGTCTCCGCTGAGGCACTCAACCCGGGTGAGCTTAAAGCTGAAGACTGGAAACCCCCTACGAACGATCTTTCCCCTTCCCAAAAATCTGCATTAAATAGAACCCTTGCCTCGAATTTCCTTTTCAAGCAATTAGATGAATCCTCAAAGCACACGGTAATTGAAGCATTATCGGAAAAGAAATTCCAAAAAGATACTGAAATCATTACCCAAGGTGACGAAGGTGATTTCTTCTATATTATTGAATCCGGTACCGTTGACTTTTATGTTAATGGATCCAAGGTTTCCTCCTCGGGCCCTGGTTCATCCTTTGGTGAATTGGCATTAATGTACAATTCTCCTCGTGCAGCAACTGCCACTGCCTCGTCTGACGGTGGAGTAACTTGTTGGGCATTGGATAGATCTACATTTAGAAGAATTTTGTTACAAGGTACTTTCAATAGAAGATTGATGTATGAAGATTTTCTTAAGGATGTTAAGGTGTTATCAGGCTTGACTGATCACGAGAGATCTAAACTTGCTGACGCTTTACTGACTGAGATCTATCAAAAGGGTGATAAAATCGTCACTGAAGGTGAAAATGGTGAGAATTTCTATTTCATTGAAAGTGGTACATGTCAAGTGCTCAAGGAGAAGGAAGGTGTACTCACTAAGTTGTCGAAGGGTGATTATTTCGGTGAAATTGCATTATTGAATGATTTACCAAGACAAGCTACAGTGGAAGCTTTAGATACGGTGATTGTGGCTACTTTAGATAAATCTGGATTTTCCAGATTATTAGGTCCAGCAGTGGAAGTCTTGAAGAGCCAGGATCCAACAGCTTCCAAAGATCCAACAGGAAATTGAAATTTCTAGGATGAATCAATGAAAGTAGAACAAAAAAAAAAAAAATGAAAGAAGACACTAAATTTGAAATAAAACCTTGCAAAAAGAAAAAAAATTAGTAATAAGAAAGTGAAAGCAAATAAAAAACGAAAAAAGTAAAAAAAAATTGAATCAAGAGCTTTACTATATTAAGCTAAGACTCTTGAAGCAAATTGAAATCCTAAAAATATAATTCAAACAGAGTTACACTACATGAGAAACCATATTCGGAATTTTTGGGGAGTTTTTTTTGAAGTTAAAACATGATTCTTTTCTAAGTATTTTTGTGTAACACTGTCAGTAATATACATGTTGAACGAGAGATAAGAGGTAGATCACTGTAGAGAAGTTTTGGTTAAATCTTTGTAGATTCGAAGCATAAGAACCATACGATCGTTTGGAACGATTTTGTACGATTTTTCAAATATCGGACTTTTTCAAAATATTATCACCTAACTCAGGAACGCATAATGCTCACGTACTTTCTCTTGTAAGCTAACCGAACACAACATGGTCCCATACTTCCAATCTCTTTTGCCAACAACAACAGCTCAAGGAGGATATCTCCCTCACTGGCTCTTGTTTATATCAGTTGTTTCAATCTTTAATTCTGTTCAAACATATCTGACTCCAGACTTGTCGTTGACCCGCAGGGTCTACGAGCTGGCACCTAGGGACCAGATTACCCCATTGAGTGCTAGAACTTTTGGTACTTGGACATTCATTACTTCCATTGTGAGATTCTACGGTGCATACTACTTGGTTGGTAACAAGCAGATATACGAATTATGTATGTGGAGTTTTGCAGTTGCTGGTGGCCACTTCATTAGTGAGTGGTTATATTTCGGCAATTGTAAGTTAGGTAAGGGATTAGCTGGCCCTTTAATTGTCAGTTCTCTTAGTTTAACCTGGATGTACTTACAAAAGGATTTTTACTTAGCATAACTTAAAAGTCAAAATGGATACTTACTTACACGTGTAATTAAAAGATAAGGATCTTGTAGAGTGTAGTAGGCAATAGTTGCCACCCCCTGTTCGGAACACATTGTGACCCAGTTAGGTGCATAAAATTAGGTTCCGTTTTTTTCTTGATACGTTTCATTAGAATCGAGCCAGGTGTCAAAAAGGGCTAGATATATACATATATATATATGAGTGACAGCAACTTATGATATTGACATTAATTTGCTTATAACTACTGCAGGGATCATGAAGATTACTGAAGAAATTTACTCAAGTAGTAGTGATGGGTCTACGGATTCTCTCGATTCTATTCAAGTCATTGACGATTTTACACCCATTGGCGAAAATGGGTGCAAAATCGAGACAGAATCTAAAAATGTAATCAACCCTTTAGCTATAAGGTAAAAGATATCAAAGAGAACTGGGTTCACTCATTCATGCACTATCCTGTTGAAGGCATCAAAAAGATGCATGAAATTATAGATACAGGCCTACTCTATAGTCCACTTATGTCTACCAAATACGGAATGAATTATATGATCAGCTACTGGGACAATGCTGGTGACTTAATTTCTCTTTACACTGATAATGACATCTATGAGTGTGTCGTAAGTCACCAAAGAGAAAATAAGGAAAGAGCTTCTCTAATTATTCACTCAGCAGACGAGAGAAAGGAACTTATTCAAAAGAACCGCAAGGAATCATTGATATCAATTTCAGTATTTGTAGCTGTTTTCGTACTTGCAACGTTGGGTGAATTCTATGCGAATTCTAATGGAAAGAAATCTACTAAGCAATAAAATTATATAAACATCTATGATTGGAAACTTTAGATATGTCAAATCTGTAGCTTAAGTATTCTTGTAGACCCTAGTGTCAAAAAAACAAATCAGCAACTTAAATAGCCTAGGTGTCAATGTGCCATTGCGAAGCAATGACTTGCCATCAGCCCGATTGAAAAGTTGAGCCGCACCGAGCAGAAATAAGTAGTTGCATATCTTCTATCTAATGGATACCACGCTTGAAAGGTATTTAGCCAAACTTGTCCCCTGTAACAACATAAGTATGTATACCTTCAATATGCTAATGACCATAAATCTTTATTTGAAAGATAGGATGTGTAACTCACTAATTTGCACGGCTCTAACTACTAATCTCCAAAGATTAGGTCCTCTTAGATAAGCCATGCGGAGATTAAAAAGAAAGAAAAAAAATATATTTAACATGTCAAACCCCCTAAACTTCAATCCTTCGCCTTTACACCCAATAGCGTACCCAAAACCAAGCAGCGATGTCTGAAAGCACAATTCTGAAGGAAGAATCCCAACATCTTCTACCACTAACATTTAATGATTTAAGTGATGCAAATAACGATGATACAGATTGTCACAGCGGATATTTAGGAGAGGGGACCGGTACAACTGAGTCTATCTCGTTAAAGGATCGGTTACATAATCTTTTTTATTTCCAAAGGCATGAGGACCTTGATAAGGCTTATCCTTTCAAGGTCAACTCTCTCATAGTTGAAGAAAGGTCATTTCGCTTTCAGTATCCACCTAAAAATGGTCTTGAAAAACTAGTTAGATATATTCTAGATAAAATACATTACTCTACGCAAGATTCATCGGATCATGTTTTCTCCTTGGGTTACTTTGATGATTCAGGTGAATTGATTACAATAACCAGTGATGAAGATCTCTTGGAATGTGTCCATTCCTTTAACTTAAATAACAAACTTTCTAAGGACATCCTTTTAATGGCTTACAAGAATGAAGATCATTTACAGATAGTAAAGGAAATTAAAAGGAAGAAGCAGCTTCAGCTCAACATAGCAAGGGCGATATGCCTTCTGTTGTTTTTAATTATGCCACTTAATTTGTTTTTATCTTGAATATCTAATTATAGAGGTGATGGAGATTGGTTTGGTTTGGATTTAATTTGGTTAACTGGTTAGGTATATTATGTAAATTAGGAATGAAGTATTTAGCAATATACAGATTTTGTTTTCTCACTTGTAGGGTACTTGCCCACTATTTTGTTTTTTCACAGCAACTATTCAATAGTAAGATATCATTTGATTATCGATCATCATTATCCGAACGTATACTTCGTCTATATATATCTTGTATTATATATAAGTAATGCTTGATATTTATTAAAATTAGGCTGGTTCGGTGTGTTGGATCACTCCTTGAGGAAGTCTTCCTGTCTCGTGGGACATGCGCTTAAATTGCAGACCTCCTTGCAGATAGTCAAGATATGGTTGGTACAGAGCCGCATGCATGTCACAAATAGTAGCGTAACCCAAGCCCCACAAATCTTTATTTATAGGAACCTTTTAAATGCACTCAAGCATTCAGTGCAGCTACCTACCATACTCACGTACTGTCCCTACTGTCCATACTTCCCTCAATTTGCAAACTTCCATTGGACATAGCCACTGATATATCTTATTGGGATTCCTTTCAAGGTTTTGGAAAGGAAGAGAGCGTTATAATATGAAATTTTCAAGAAACTACAGATGAAATTTACTGATGAATTTTTGCAACTCCTACATTAACCTTATTTGATTCTTACTTTTAAACCTTGATATCTTATTTTGTATTTTGCAGCTCCTACAGTAAACTTGTTCAGTCCCTACTTATAAGCCTAGAAATCCTGTATTTATTTTTATACTTCTTTATTTTATATTTCATTTGCTTATTATACTCGTCCGGCCATGCCAAATACCAAGTATACACCATTAGAGGATACGTTGGAATCCGTGAATCTTCCTCCTTATGAATTAAATGATTTAAATACCGCTGAAGCTGATCCAGACAAGGCCAGTAGCAGTAGTGATTTCTCTGATGTTGAAGCGACAAATCAACCTACTCCAGTAAGTGAAGATAGTCAAGCCTTATTCAATAGCAAAGAAGACGAATTTGAAAAATCATATCCTTTCAAAGTTAAATCATCAACCATTGAAGAGGGAGTAGTTCGTTTCCATTACTTTCCTAAACATGGAATTGAAAGATTCCGTAAAGTAATTGAAGATAAAATTCAATACATCACTCAAAGCTCAAGTTGCTCAAGTTGCTCAAGTTGCTCTCCCTTTGCTGTAGGGTATTTTGATCAGAAAAAAGACTTGATTAGTATCAGTAGTGACCAAGACCTTTTAGAATGTATTCATTGGTACAATGTAAATAATCGCTACCATCCTAGTGCTATTAAGTTAATTACCTACGATATTAGAAATCACGCTGAAGTAGCTAAACAATACAAAAAGAGAAAAAGGGAAAAGTGTGAAATTATTGTTGCTTCAGTTCTTCTCTTTCTCTTTTTCTTTGTCATTGCAATATGTGCTTATTTCTCGTAATTTTATTATACAATAATCGTTTTTTTACTTGAAGAGTGACTAGTTTGCTTTAGAATAGTAATATATCCCTTTTAGTTTACAAATACATGCTTAGTATATTTAGTCGATTCACACAAATTATATGACAATTATGATCGATGTTATTTATTTACTTTGCACTTCAAGCAGGTGCAGTGATTTCCTCTACATCCGAAGAAGACGAGACATTTTGAGAATCTGGCTCTTACAAATTCAATATTGCTGCTTCATACATGAAAAAGCCCCATTCTGACAATCAAGCTAAACATTTCTAGTCCACAGAACTTCTTTTCTACTTCTGAACAGGAGAATTCTGATACAGAATCTAACATTTCATGAGTTTGCAAATTTGCACTAGTATGTAATAGAACTTATTTCACAACAGTACATAAATCAAAGAGGTGAAAAACCGTTCTTTTGTTAAGGTTCTTTGCTACAATTCGAAAGCCAATCACCATTATCATTGCGAATACTGTGGTATGTATGTATCTTGCTTGATTATGTGGTAGTTCTAGACTTGTTAAAACCAAGCAGCTTCGATGTGCCACTGCTTGGGAATTTCTTCTACTGGGTCTCCTTTTCCCTTTCTTTAAGTTCTTCATCTTCACTGTTGTGTTCCATGCAGAACGTGAAGATATTTTGATAGGAGCCGCATACGCATGGCACTACAAGTGGTGAAACTGTTAAGCCCTACAAATACGATCTTTGTAGATTGCATACCATTTTTATCCCATGCAATGCTCCCTTACTGTCATAACTCTACATACCTCTCTCATTTTGCATACTTTATAAGACATGGCCACTAATTTAATATATCCTATATAGGTTTTCTTAGCTTATTTTTGAAAAAATTATGTGTTTTATAAATATGAAATTGGCACGAAACCACAGCAAATTTCCTGATAACATTTTTTGCAACTACATTAAGCACCCCCTACTTAAAAGCCTAAATGTCCTATTTATTTTCATATTTTCTTTTTTTATATCAATTTACTTTTTGTACCTGTCGATCCATGTCAAATTCCAAAAAATATACCATTAGAGGATAATCCTAAACCCGAGAAACTTCCTCCCTATGAATTAAAGAGCTCAAAGTCGTCTGATGTTGAGACAAGTCAACCCACTACAGTAAATGAAGATATTCTTGACTTATTTAGTAGAAAAAAAGAAGACGAATTTGAAAAATCATATTCGTTCAAAGTTAAATCATCAATTATTGAAGAAAGAGCGTTTCGTCTACACTACTTTCCTAAACATGGAATTGAAGGGTTCCGTAAACTAATTGATGAAAAAATTCAATACACTACTCAAAGTTCAAGATCTACTCCCTTCGCTATCGGTTATTTTGATCAGTATAAAGATTTGATTACTATCAGCAGTGATCAGGACTTTTTAGGATGTGTACATTGGAACAATGTAAGCTATTACTACCAAACTCGCGCTATTCACTTGATTGCCTATGATATTAAAAATCATTCTGCAGTAGCTAGACAATACAAAAATGCAAAAATGCGTAAGTGTGCAACTATTGGTGGTTCAGTGGTTCTTTCAATTCTTCTACTAGTTTTCTCAATCCTTTTAATAGTTGCTTGTTTCAGATAAAGATAATTTAATTACATGAGTATCGTTTTATATTAAAAGTGTATGCTATTTGTTGCAAGATAGTAGCGTAGTCTATCTCTTTACAAAAAGAATTACGTGGTAAGCAATTTTCAGGCGCTTCAGTCAAAGTACTTCTGTCAAATTAGATGACCTTAATTACTAATATTAGAAATGTTTTTGTACTTCATGCAAGCGCAGCTAATTCCTCTACATCTGAAGAAGATTTTGCACCTCGAGTATTGAAGTTCGTATATATTCAATACTGCTGCATCATATATGAGAAAGATGCAGCACTTCAAAATTGAGTTCGTAATGTTGCTGCATTATACATGAAAAAGCCCCATCCCCGAGAAACCGATATGGTCCCAAAATATTTTGGCCCTTCGGTCTTAAAATCGGCAAGGCTATATTACCTGTAGATAATTATTGTGTACTGATAGGGAGTAGCACTAATGAGGCACAAAATAAGTGGCAAATTGGAGAGCTATTGCAAAAACTCTATTTAAAATGCCTTAAGAAACTGCTTTATGGAACTATCCGTGGCATGATATCACCTCATACTTTCTATTCCCCATCAATAAGTCTATTTCCCTAGGAAATCCATATACACCTGTCTTGCCCCTTTTTTTGAAGAGATAAGAGTGTTTTAAACATGAATTTGTCACGAAAGTATAACCATAATCTCCTTAATAAATCTCCTTAATAAATTTTCTGCAGCCTTAACCATTATCTGAACCGACACCTATAAGTAAACCTACGTATCCCATTGATTGTATCTGCGTATCATCTTCATTGTAAAGTATTTGTTATAATTGACAAGCCATGGAAAGCTACGTATGTAGATCAACTCATCCTGGGTCCCTTCCTCCCTATTCAAACCTAAATACACCTGGAGCCTATGCAAATCAGGCTATTCAATTTACTCATGTATCGAAACATACTCTTGATCTTTTTAGTTCCAAGAATACAAATGAATTTGATAAAGCATATTCTTTCAGAATTAAATCATCAATTAACAAAGAAAGAGTGTTTCGTCTACACTACTTTCCAAAACATGGAATCGAAGGGTTCCGTAAACTAATTGATGAAAAGATCCAATACACTACTCAAAGTTTAAGCTCTACTCCTTTCGCTATCGGTTATTTTGATCAGTATAAAGATTTGATAACTATCAGCATTGATCAAGACCTTTTAGGATGTGTCCATTGGAACAACTTGCTGTTTCCTAACAGAATTCGTGCTATTCAGTTGATTGTCTATGATATTAAAAATCATTCTTCAGTAGTTGAACAGTTCAAAAGAGAAGAAATGCTCAAGCGTGCTATTATTTGTTGTTCAGTTGTACTTCCAAAACTAGTAAAACCACTAAAACTGGTTTTACTAGTTTTACTAGTTTGCTCGATCCTTGGAATGTGTGCTCAGTTCTTATTTAGTTAATTTTTTTTATATAAGAATCGCTTTATATTAGAAGCGTATGTGATTTGTCATAATAGTATTATATGCCTTAAGTTTGAAGAATTTACTTGAAACGCAATTACTGGCCCTTCAGTCAATGTACTTCACTCAAATTAGATGACCTTAATTACTAATATTAGCAATGTTTTTGTACTTCATACAAGCGCAGCTAATTCCTCTACATCTGAAGAAGACTTTGCACTTCGAATATTGAAATTCGTATATATTCAATACTGCTGCATCATACATGAAGAAGATGCAGCACTTTAAAATTGAGTTCGCAATATTGCTGCATTATACATGAAAAAGCTCCATCTTCAAGAAACCGACTATGGTGCCAAAACTTTTTAGCTTATGATCTTCTTTCGATACTTCTGTACGTGAGAAGTCTGTGCCAGATGTGAACATTCTTAATATTGAAAATTTGCTTAAATATGCAATAGTGCTTATTTTGCTTACAAACTAAAGCATTTCCATAGAAAAATATGACCAAAATCTGATAATTTTCTTAATACTGCAAATTTGCACGAGTATGTGATAGGACCATTTCTTAATAAAACTGTACAATTTTTAAGAAGACAAAAACGGTTCTTCTTTTTCATTTTTTTTTCAATCTATATTCTCTTTAAGACAATATGACTCGTAATAGGAATATCACTGTTCAGATACTAAAGGAGCTTTCATGGACGGACAGGTTATTACCTTTGCTCATCATCCTTGCGATGATGGTGGGTATCCTATTATCTGTATATGCTCCATCATCAAGAGATGCCTTTAATTCCTCTGCAGAATTGGAAGGTGTGTCGGCACCTTTAGCTGTAGGTTTAATTGTAATGATGGTACCTCCCTTATGTAAAGTTGAGTGGGAGAACTTACATGTTTACGCAAGAAGACGTGAGTTCGTGAATCAGATTGCCATCTCATTATTCATAAACTGGATTGTGGGGCCCTTTGTAATGTTTGGATTAGCCTGGTTAACATTATTCGATGAAGAAGAATACCGTACTGGGATAATTATGATCGGCTTGGCCAGATGTATTGCAATGGTGCTAGTATGGAATGAAATAGCCCAAGGTGACAACACCTTATGCGCTATTACTGTCTTGATTAACAGTTTGTTGCAAATAGTTTTGTATGCACCTTATCAAATATTTTTCTGTTATGTGATAACTGGATCTCTGCTGTCTGCTGGTTCTAGTATTGGTGTGACATACCCATTAGTTGCTAAAAGTGTAGCGGTTTTCTTGGGCGTACCACTAGGTTTTGGAGTCTTAATTAGACTTCTTGGTATACAATTACTTGGCATGAAAAGATATCAGGAACGTCTAATTCCTTACATTGGCCCATGGGCTTTAATTGGTCTCTTATATACAATCATCGTTATATTTATTGCTAAAGGTGATGACTTCATTAAAAACATTGGTTCTGCATTCAGATGTTTTGTGCCGTTGATTGTTTACTTCCTTATTATGTGGTTTGGAACATTCTTCTTCATGAGATTTATGTCGAATTATTTATACACTCGTCAAGCAAAAACTCTCTCCAAAGAAAAAGAAGAAAAGGAACCTTTGGTATGTGGCTGTGAGAAGGAAGAAGGAAAGTGGAATGCAAAGCAATGTAGTGCAAACTATGCAGAAACAATTACTCAAACGTTCACTGCTGCATCGAATAACTTCGAGTTGAGTCTTGCTATAGCAATTTCAATCTATGGATCTGGTAGCAAACAAGCCATTGCTGCAACTTTTGGGCCTTTATTGGAAGTTCCAATACTACTTATTTTGACATATGTCGCTAGAATTTTCCAAGAAAAATTTCTTTGGGTCGACAAGGAAAGAGAGAGTGATGAGATTGAGTAGGTACATTTGTGTGTAGAGAAGGAAAATCGAGAAAGGATAGGAATTTAATGTGTAGTATAGTTTAGGCATGGTATAATATAAGAATAATTTACAGTAAATTTGACCAATCCGAATCATTTTCAATACTACACTTCTTTCGTCTCTAAGTTGGTGTATTCTTGTGAGTCAGTACACGAAAAGTCATGGTATATTCCGCTTTCTACTTTGAATACTCGTCGCCGAATATAGAACGTGTCACCTAAAGTACTATTGGATATATTTTTCGTCCTAGGAAAAGCCACCGGCTTCCCGGTAATAAGATCGCTACCGTCATTCGCAAAGCTTAAGTAGTTGCTAGAGGCATTCGGCGCATTGAAGTACCCCCCAAAAACACACGCACCCGCGGCGCTCCGCGGTCGCTACCGCGGACCGCAACAACATATTCAACATATACAGGACATTAGCTAACCTCTTATCAAATTGCTATCCACTGATAAGCGGCAAAAATTGATATATAAATTGAACACGAAAGCGCCTCAAAATCAAGAGGGAAAATTATAAAAGTCAAAGTAAACAAAAGTAAAAAAATACATACTAAACAACCTTTATACCAAGATGCACTCAACTTCTCTCTCCATAACTCCATTGACTGGAACTCCATTTGGGGCTAAAGTGACATTGCCAGACTACGCTAACAATGATCCAGCAAATTTAAATGAGGAAGATTTCCAAAAACTTTTCGAAGGTGTACACGAAAATTTGGTCGTGGTTATCCCAAATCAAGCAGAATTATTACCAAAGAGTCAATATCTCCTCACTAAGAGATTTGATCCTACTTTACCAGAACCAAAGGGTGATACCGGTGCTGGATATGGTCACGGTAAGGAATTTAGACACGATAAGTCAGTCCTCAAGAAGGATGGTTGCTCAGTTAAATCCCAGCCACAAGTACAAATATTAGGTCAAGGAAAATTTGCTGCTGACGAACCAGGTAATGAAAACGGGGAAGAGATTTCATTGACCCACCCATCCCACACTTCGTTCCACCATAGTCCATTAACTGAAGATCAAATTAAGAAGGAAGGTAGAACCAGATTTTACAGATGGCACATCGACTCTGCCTTGTACGACTTGCTGCCACCAGTAGTCACGACATTGCTTGGTATTAAGGTCCCACCTACTACCCAAACCCAAACTATTGTTTACGAAGACGATACCGGTGACAAATTGGAATTGACTCAAGGTGCTACCTGTTTCACTTCTGGACAACGTGCCTTTGAAATCTTGTCTGACGAGGATAAGGAATTTGCTCTCAACACTACAGTCGAATACGCTCCACACCCATACATTTTTATTTCTCCAGCTGGTGCTACCAGTGATGGTTTGACCATGGTCAGCGAGGGTAAGGAATTTAAGTTTGAAGAATTACCAGAGTGGGAAGAATCTAAGGTTAAGAAATTGCCAATGGTTTGGACAAACCCTGTTACTAAGAAACATCACCTCCAGTTACACGGTTGTTGCTTACACAGACTCCACACCAAGAACGCAGACGGGTCAGTCACCACTTTGGAATTGAAGGAATCCAGAGAAAGGGCACATCAATTGATGAGACCTGCCATTGCTCCAAAGAATGTGTTGGCCCACTCTTGGACCGAAGGAGATCTTGTCATATTCTACAATAGAGGTGTATGGCACAGTGTTACTGGAGAATTCAAGGCCATAAAGACTGATGGTGCCGATGAAAGAAGATTAATGCACCAATGTAACATTGCCAGTTCTGTTGATCCAACCACCATCAAATAAAAAGGCTAGTGAAAAATTATTAAGGGTTAAAATGTAAAAAAAAAAAAAAGAACGCTAAAAAAGCTTTAAATATGGCTAAAAGTATGTTAATATTAGTTTGGGAATTATGATAATACGTTATATATAATAATATATATATATTATGGTGAATTAACTACTGTAGGCAATGGTGCTCCTCAGGTGTTGCACGGTCTTATCATAAAATATTTTGCACCCTATTTTTTTTTTTTTTTTTTTTCTTTTTTTTTTTTCGGGAAATAAATAAAAATGCCAAATTTGATCACAAACTGTTCGTCCTGTATATAAACTTATCTATGATTCACAAGCCCCATCATTGGAGTTAAGTACGGCACCACAAGATAGTCCTGCTTCTTTTGCTCCTTAGCTTATAACGTATATTGCTGCAATGGGACACTACGTTACTCTTGCCACTTGTAACCTTAACCAATGGGCTCTCGATTTCGAGGGAAATCGAGACAGAATTTTAGAGTCGATTAGACAAGCGAAGGCCAAAGGAGCCAGATTGAGAGTTGGACCTGAATTGGAAATCTGTGGGTACGGATGCTTGGACCATTTTGGGGAAAATGACCTTTATGACCATTCCTGGGATATGTACGAGCAGATTCTCACAAACCCTGAGACTCATGGGATCTTGCTTGATATCGGTATGCCAATTATCCACAAGACCATCAAGTACAACTGTAGAATCATTTCTTTCGATGGGAAGATCTTACTAATTAGACCTAAGTTGCACCTAGCCAACGACGGGAACTACAGAGAGATGAGATTCTTCACACCATGGAATAGACCTAAGTACTACGAAGAATTCAGATTGCCCAAGAGATTGGGAGGTGGGTACGTTGCCTTTGGGGACTGTATCATCAATACCTTGGATACATGCTTCGGGGCTGAGACATGTGAAGAATTATTCACCCCACAGTCTCCTCACATTGCAATGGCTTTAGATGGGGTAGAAATCTTTACAAACTCTTCAGGTTCTCATCATGAACTTAGAAAATTGGACACTAGAATGCAACTTATCACCGAAGCTACAAAGAAGTGTGGGGGTGTCTACTTGTACCTGAATCAAAAGGGTTGTGATGGTGATAGACTCTACTACGATGGTTGCGCATGCATTGTTGTCAATGGGGAAATGGTTGCACAGGCAAGTCAATTTTCTTTGGCAGACGTTGAAGTCATCACTGCAACCATTGACTTGGATGATGTTAGAGCTTATCGAAACCAAAAGCTGTCTCAGATGCAATCAGTGGAACAGCCCGAGCAGTATCATAGTATTAAAACAGAAATTGAGTTATGCCCCACTGAGAGCGTTTTTGATCCTGATTTGAAACCGTCAAATCCTCAGCCAGTCAGGTATCACTTGCCAGAAGAAGAAATTGCCTTGGGCCCAGCCTGCTGGTTGTGGGATTACCTTAGAAGAAGTAAGACCGGTGGATTTTTCTTGCCATTGAGTGGAGGAATTGATTCCTGTGCTACCGCCGTTCTCGTTCATCTGATGTGTCGTCTTGTTGTTAAATCTTGCGCTGAAGGTGATCAGCAAGTGATTAAGGATGTTCAGTTTGTTTGTCGTCAGGAATCGGATTGGATCCCCAAGACGCCACAAGAAATCGCTCAAAATATATTTTATTCATCGTTCATGGGCACTGAAAATTCCTCTTTTGACACTAGAGACAGGGCTAAGAAGTTGGCTAAAGAGATTGGTTCTTATCATATTGATATGAATATGGACACCTTGGTCAGTAGTGTTATTACTGTCTTCGAAGTGGCTACTGGGAAGCGTCCTATTTTCAAAGTATTTGGAGGCAGTCAAACTGAAAACTTGGCGCTTCAAAATATCCAAGCAAGACTTAGAATGGTTTTGGCTTACCTTTTCGCTCAATTGTTGCCTTGGACTCGTAATAAGACAAGCGGAGGGTTGCTTGTATTGGGTAGTGCCAATGTTGACGAGTGTTTGAGAGGTTACTTGACTAAGTACGATTGCTCCTCTGCTGATATCAATCCAATTGGTGGAATCTCCAAAACTGATTTGAAGAAATTTATCGCCTGGGCTGCCAAAAACTTTGATATGCCAATTTTAATTGACTTCCTTGACGCAACCCCTACCGCCGAATTGGAACCAATTACCGAAAATTACGTTCAAAGTGATGAAATTGATATGGGTATGACATATGACGAACTCTCTAGGTTTGGAAGATTACGTAAGGTGGAGAAATGTGGACCATTGGCAATGTTTATCAAATTATATCATGAATGGTCTTTACCACCATATAATTTAACAGCTGAGCAGGTCGCTGAAAAGGTTAAGAGATTTTGGTTCTTCTACGCCATTAATAGACATAAGATGACTACAATGACCCCTGCGTACCATGCAGAACAATACTCGCCGGATGACAACAGATTCGACTTGAGACCATTTTTGATCAACCCAAGATTTCCATGGGCTACCAAGAAGATTGACGAAGTAGTGGCAGTTATTACTAAAAGAGAAGAAGAGATTAAGGCAAATAATTTGAGTGTTGAGTAGTTTTTGAGTGCATTCAAGATAGAGGTTTTGCGTCCTTTTCTTTTCTATACAAATAGAATAATTAATTATAGAAGTAGAAATTGTCTAAATGAAAGATATACATATAACAGTAAATATCATCTACTTTTTTATATAGTATCCTTTAATTGGAATATATACAAATAACCAAGCACGCCGAAAATTAACTATATAAGTGCCTTTTTATCTCGAAATTTTCATACGATTGTTCTAACCAACATAACGACGTATGCCTTAACTTTTATTTATCTTCCCACCCCATTTAGGTAAAAATCCTAATTCCTTCTTCATGTAGTCCTCTGGAGAGTCGTTTCGCCTTACGAAGTCCAACAAACTTACTGCAATGTGGCTGGGAATGTCTTCATGAATGAAGTGGCCGGCGTTTGGATTGTTGTTGAACACTATCAATTGATATTTCCCTTGCATTTGGCCTATTATGAGATCTGTATCAAGATTCTCATGGCCAGCAAGGATTAACAACTTAGCGGCTCCTTGACCACAGGTTACAAAATTAGAGGAGAGGCCTTTGAACCACGTCTCCCAATATGGTTGTGTCAACAGGAGGTTGGTAATCCAAGATAAGTGAGATTCGTGTGCTAGCAAAAGATCCGGAACACTAACCTTAGCAGACTCTTCGTTGTGGAGTAAATGGGTTTCCTTCAAATGCCAGTCAATGGCTCTTTGATAGGAGTCAAATATCTTTGGTCTCTTTCTAATGAAATTGGGCATGGCTACTAGCGACTTAACTGCTGTTTCTTCAACAATGTCAAGCATAATGAGTCCCAGTACCTTTATGGCGTCTTCAGACGGGTTCGAGAGATAATTTGTGAGTACTGAGCCGCCTAGTGAATGCCCTAAGAAGTAGATTGAGGATGACAGAGCGTTATGACGTTTTACAAACTCGTTAACGATATATGTAAAGTCTTCAGTTAATGCTGAAAGAGAAAAATCTGTAGCGCCTTCACTCTTTCCATGTCCTCTAGCATCAAAGGTGAATACCCCCGGTGTTGCGTCTTTGTTATTTTCGTCATAGTTCTCCTGTAGATACTTAGTTAGCATAGCAAAAGTCATAGCAGAAGACCCTGCACCATGATGGCAGATGAATATTGGAGCACTGGTATTAGAAGGTGGATGGTAGTATGTCTGGAAAGAGGCATATTTTTCCTGCTTTGGAAATATTTCGTTAACAGTACTTTCATAATTGGATTTAATTTTATCGTTGGTGGAGAAGTACGAGGACGTTGGTGACAGGCTTGAGGAGCCAGACTTTGGAAAGACGGCTGGAGGTATAAGCGGAGATATCTTGGTTGGTAGGCTAGATGGTGGGAACCCATTGAGGGAAGACTGTCTTTCAGAACCGAGTTCCAAGTCAGTGTCTGACTCCAGTTCTTCTGCCAATGGTTCAATTCCTAGAGCCTTTTCCTGTTGACGCACCCTATTCAATAGGAGCTTATGTAGTTCTGACATTCTGTTATAATTGTTTCTACTAATAGCTGAATACGATACGACTATATAAAAGAATACGATATATGAAATTCTCTTCACGTTAACTGGTACGTGTGTGAAGAAGAATGTATCACCTTCTGTCACACTTCTATGCAGATGGAACTTTTTGACATTCCCATGTTGCACCAAAAATTAAGTAGGTGCGGACTTATGTTTGAAGAAGTGTAAGTGTTCTTTTACTTGTGCATAGTACTTCATTCTGCTAGATTTTGTATGGACTTGACGGAACATTTCCAGAGAGTGGGCTTGAGCCTTTTCGTGGCTTTCAAGGCATTATCGATTAATGAAACTCCGGTTGCATGTATACTAGTTTCCAAGAAGAGTTCTAAGGTGATTAGTATAGGCTATAATGATACGAATCGCTCATTGAATGGTACTAGGCATGCAGAGTTCATCGCAATTGACTATATACTAGATAACGTAGAAGACACCTTTCCTGTAGATGACCTAATTCTCTATGTAACAGTCGAACCATGTATAATGTGTGCTTCGGCCTTGAAACAGGTAGGTATCCAGTGTGTGGTGTATGGCTGTGGGAACGACAGATTCGGAGGGAATGGAACCGTATTATCTTTACATGAGAATAACTACGGGATCATCCCTGGAATATTAAGGACGGAAGCCATTCAACTTCTTCGAAACTTTTACATACAAGAGAACGAATCGGCTCCTGATCCAAAGATCAAGAAGAACAAGGAATTGGAAAATAAATTGTATCCAGAGATGGACTACGGTAAGTATATGAATGAAAGCGAATTCATAAAAATATATGGGCTAGAAAGGTTGAATAGCACATATATAAACAAAAAAGAGATTACTCCGGTTATTGGGAAAGGCTATAGAGTATCAGATTTAGTTCTGTTAGATGATGTAATGGGGATGCCTGGCTTGGAGAATATGTACCTGAGAGATAAGAAATGTTCCGGTCCTATGACAAGAGAAGCAGTTGCACAGGATTTGGACTCATTTTATCGTATGTTTTACGCCGTAGATGACGAAGGTGACGTTACTTTTGGAACACACATTAAGATAATCGGGTCAGAGAATAAAATAGAATTCATAAAAGAAGGTTCTGATAGAGATACCAATGAAGTGAAAGAGCCCATAGAAAATGGGGTAGAAAAGAAAAGGCGCAAGTTATCTAACGAAGGACATTTGCACTAAGTAAATACTCTAGCACCCTTATATATAAATATTTGTAAATAGACTGTGATTTCGGGCCCTTAATAGAAGAACTCACCTGCCAAAACTTAGCCATCAACTCAAGTGTACCCTCAATCCTCTTTCGTACTACTCTTCGTACTACTCTTGGCTCTGCTCTTAGGCCCTGCTCTTATGCCCTGATATGGATCGCGAATTTTTTTTTATCGCTTCAGTGAAAAATCCAGAGCTGGATAGGTGGACTGCTTTCTCCTGGCCTTTTCTTGCTAATATAATATAGATCAGTATCGATATGGATGACTCTGATGATGAGTACGTAGCACCTCATTCCAGAGCGGGAACTTCAGAGAAGGAAGATGTCGAAATGGATGACGTTGATGACGAAGATATCGGATCTTCCGATATGGCCAGAAGAACCCGAGGCAGATCTGCAACGCCAGCAAAAGCTAAACCTCCCGGAGGACTAGGAGGTACAGTTGCAGATATGAAAACTGCTAATGGTGGATACTCTTGGGAAGATGTCTATCAAAGATCATGGGATGTAGTGAAAGATGGCGATGATGATGGCAGAACTCTCGACTTACTTGTTCAACAAATGATCGAAAATAGGAAGAAGAAAATCTTGAAAAATTCTTCTACAACACCATTTCAGAGAGGAATTATAAGAACTGTAATTGTAGTCATAGATGGGTCACTGACCATGCTGGAAAAGGACTTGAGGCCTACTCGGTTTGCCGTGATGTTATCTCTATTGGGAGATTTTATTGTAGAGTTCTTTGATCAGAATCCAATCTCGCAGATTGGGATAGTCATGATGAGAAATGGGATTGCATATTTGGTAAGTGAAGTCAGTGGACTGCCTCAATTACATCTAGAGAAAATAAGGCAGCTCAGAGCTAGGCTGCACAACAGGTATGAACCAAAGGGAGATCCTTCGTTGCAGAATGCGCTAGAGATGTCCCGCTCCTTACTTAAAATTAGCTTTGGTAACAATAACAACCGAAATTCCAAAGAAATCTTGGTCATTTTGGGTGCTCTTTTTACATCAGATCCAGGTGATATCCATAAGACTATTGATAATCTCGTGAAAGATGATATCAGATGTAGGGTTATAGGGTTGTCTGCACAAGTGGCTATTTGCCAGGAGTTAGTTAATAGGACCAACCACTACACTACGCAGACACCTACAGGTAGGAAGATCATCCCAGTCTCGAAGGACAACCATTATGGGATTATTATGAATGAACAGCATTTTAGAGAATTGCTTATGGACTGTGTAGTCCCATTACCGGTAGCAGCAGATATAGACGCAGAAGTTCATGCAAATGGAGGAGTTCCCTTGATCAAAGTAGGTTTCCCGCTGAAATTGAAGCCGACCGCTGTAACAATGGGGCTTCCACAATTATGTGCTAACAACCTAGAAAATGAACAAAATGAGTCTGATGATAAAAAATTGGACTCTCTGGGCTCATCACTTGGTTCTATAAACCGTCTTCCAGGAAGCAGCCAGTTGATAGCATACGAATGCCCACAATGTAGTAATAAGGTTTGTCATTTACCCACAGTCTGTCCCGTCTGCGATCTAATGCTCATATTATCAACTCATTTGGCACGCTCGTATCATCATCTCATTCCGCTTATTGACTACAAAGAGGTCCCAGTAGCAGAATCTTATTCATCTACTCACTGTTACGGATGCCTTCTTGAATTTCCACAAGGTACGAAGGGAGTACAAGCTGGTGCATTGGAGCTGTACTCTTCCTCAAGATATCGTTGTCCCAAATGTACAAACGATTTTTGCATAGATTGTGACGTTTTCGTACATGAAACCCTCCATAATTGTCCTGGTTGTGAAAGTAAACAAAAAATATAAACTGCCATATTTCACAGGAAACTATAAGACGCTTGAATATTGCACGAGCTATATTTCATGTCTCAAAATCATACCTCAGTAATACTTATTTAAATTCAGTACCCAATCCTACAGTAGCTTAATTATATATTATATTGTATTATATTATAAACTGATTTCCTTATTTATACAAAAATATTCCTTTCGAATGTAATTTTTTCAATTTTCCGATTTTCAAGATTTTTTGATCGATGATTTGATGTTATATTTATTTGGATCCCCAGGCAGAATTCCCTCCCCAGTTACTCTTACCACTATTCTTCCCCCATGCAGAATTACCGCCATTGCCACTACCCCATGCAGAATTTCCTCCATTGCCCCAGGCACTATTCCCACCATTATCAGCTTCATTGTTGCTGTTGTTTCCTCCCCAAGCAGAACCCCCAGCGTTTCTATTGCCTCCCCAGGTTGAATTGTTGCCAGCCCCAGATCCAGCTCCCCAAGTTGAGGCACCGCCACCGGGTGTTTTACCCCAGGTAGATCCAGCTCCAACACCAGGTGTCTTTCCTCCACCCCAAGCAGATGCACCACCTGCAGCAGGAGTCATTCCACCATTATTTCCACCCCAAGTAGAGCTTCCACCGGCACCACCATTTCCAGCACCAATTGTTGAAGCACCGCCTCTATTCCATGCAGACGATCCTCCCCAAGAACTACCGCTACCAGAAATCCCACCAAATGATGGTCCAGCTCTATTTGGCATGTTTCCAGCTCCAGGTCCACCTGGCCCGGATGACCTTCCTCCACCGATAAATCTCAAGTATGGAACAGGCTCACCTCTTACTATAACACTCAACATATCCTTCCTGACCTTGATCTTCTTACTCATGGTATGTAACTCAATTCTAGCATCAACATCATCTGCGTCTGCAACGTTACCCATAAGACCTTTGTAGTTACCTCTGGTGACAACAACACTTTGGTTTAACAACTTGTCACGACCTCCGGCTCTCGTACGCAATCCTGCCAGTGCAGCAGCACCGGCTCCAAGACCAGGTGGCAATTTCAAATTTGGGTTCATTCTGTTTAAGTCAGGACCCAAGGTCTTAGAAACAATGGATCCCTTGGTAGTGACTGTGCTGACATTTTGAGAATTGGTTACAAATATACCCAAATTCTCCACTATTTCATTCAGCTTAACGAAAAGATAATTTTTGTAGATATGTATAATTGCACCTTCTCTATTTTTACCTCCACCTAGCGCTTCTTTGACTGTATCGCCCACGCTTATAGTAGATCCGTTCTTATCAGTGGCAATTTGTTCTCTCTTCAGCAACTCTAATTTGCCAACTATACCGGAAGGTCTGATGGAGATGAGTCTACCATCTTGACTCAAAACTTCAAATATTCCCTTCTCTAGCTTCACAATACAACCGACATTGGAAGCATTAATTTGAACAAGATCCTTCAACTCAAACTTACCTCCTGTGACATCGACAGCGTGTCCAGTAGTCGAAGCATCAGTAGCCTTGATCAAATAATTAGCAAAGACTCTAACATCTTCTTTGGTCTGGTCACTCAACAACACTACAGAGTCTCCATCGATCTTAATAACTAAACCGGTTTCGTCAGCGTGTTTACCTTCAGTAATCCTGACGTGATCACCAGCAGTGAAGACTTTCCTTAAATCATTTACAGGAACTGTCAACTTTTGATTCACAAACTGAGAGTCTCCTGAATCGGTAACAACAATAGTAACTTCGTTCAATGAAGTACTTATAACCTTACCGATTGTCTTCGCCTGTTCACCACGACGAATTTCAACTTTATCGTCAGGTTGAAAAGCAGATGATTCACCACCATCATTTTCCTTTTTGTTCTTTAAAGAAGCAGCAATAGCACTCAAGTCAAGATCTCCTTCACCATCTTCACCACCACCATTGGTGAACCTATCCAATTCTTCCAATTTAGGATGTACGTCTTTGGTTTGAATGAAGTTTAATTTGAAATCTTTGAACAAGAAACCTTCGTAGTATTCTTCATTTCTGTACACAAAAGATCTTGGACCTCTGCCTGCAGAAACATGTTCTCCATCATACATTCTGGCCTCTTGTTCGTTAAATAAACGAGGTAATGGTCTCAACTTCAGCTTAATTCTTCTTCCATCTGGTCCAAATTCGTCATTCTTACCGTAATCCAATCTAGGGATCAACTTACAACGAACGTCTAACCCATTTTCAGATAAATTGTCAACCATTGCTAAGTCACCCTTGTATTTACCTCTGGTGATTCTGATGTAAATACCTGGGACAATCTCCACATCTGAAGATTTGATTTGCTTTAACAAATCAGGGTATTCCCTAACTGGGACCAAGATTCTTTGTTTGGCATAAACATTGACCATACCTGCCAAAGCTCTTTCAATGGCTTCAGGCTTCTTGGCTTCGATATAAATATATCCCTTGAATGAATCTCTTTGGAAGACAGTCAAAATCTCTAATGGGTTCTGCAGTCTTGCCAAGGTTCTCTTCTTCTCATACAACTTCCTAACAAGGTCCTTTTCTCTACCAGGGATGCACCTAATACCATAAATAGCTGGATCGTTGATGGAAGGCATAAGCAACTTCTGTGATACAGTCCCACTGGCATTGGTATCCCCACGATAAACAGTATGGGTCTTTCTATATCTCTGCTTCAAGGTTTCTGCCAACTTTTCAGCATCTTGGTCTTCTTCCTCTTGTCTTCTACGGTCGAATTGTCTATGGAGTCTGTCGTCGGTAGCTTCTGCTCCTACACCTGCTTCATGACCATCTACACCATCAGATATGAATTGCTCTCTTAAAAGCTCTGCTTCCTCGTCGTCCTCATCAAGCTCATCTTCTTCCTCGTCATCCACTTCAGCTTCGATATCAATGAATTGGTTAGCTCTTCTTCTTCTCTTCTTGGCAAGAGGCTCTTCTTCTTCGTCGTCCTCGTCGTCTTCATCGTCTTCATCGTCTTCTCCCTCGTTATCGTTTTCGTTTTCGTTTTCGTTGTCATTGTCCTTGTCATTATCGTTGCCTTCGTTGGCACCCTGACTTTCGCTCTCTCTGGTTCTCTTCTCTCCTCTCTGATCATCTCCTGCTGTTTCTTCCTTTACTGAAAGAGCAGGATTGCTCTCAACGTTTCCGTCAGACTCCTGAACCTTGATATCAGCATTAGATTCAGACATGGTTGTACGACTATTGCTTGGCTGAATAATTGACGGTATTCAAAGCGTTCCATCCAAAAGTTTTCAGATCTCTCTATTTTTTTTTTCTTTTGTCGTTGATAAATATGAAGGTCGTGCCGTGACCAAATTGGTTGGCCAGGGTATGGTGTAGGGAGAATGCCAGATGAGCGATTGCTGCTTGAGATACTAGTCTGGTGAGCGTCAAATGGGTAGTGATGGAGCTGAGAGATTATGGAGACATAATGCATTCTTGTAAGATAATAGTTGGCTTCTTTCAGATTACTATCCGAATAATCGAAACACCGTATAAGTGTTTATATGCAGGATATATGATTACCTTGGATAAAATGACATTTGATGATAGTGTTTTACATCAACTAGGAAGCACATAGTAGATGCTACTCACGAATGGTAGCTGAGGTAAACATATAAAATTTCGGTATGGCAGATAAGGTAGTCATTCCTTTTCTGGGAAGGAGCTGATAATCTCTTGTTGCTTTTTCAAATGTAGTGGTCACGTGATGGGATGTGCAACCTCTGTATAGCATTTCTATATGCTGAAGCAAGCATACAATAAAACAAACCACTTCTATAAAAGGCCGCTAAATTTACTTCTGTATCTCATAGGACCCCGTAGAATGATCTGCTGGTACTGAGAGACGACAAAAAGTGAAAGACTTCGTTCTTTTGACAATATTATTATGAAAGTGAACCCATTTTACCTATTCGCACTATTCACATTTGCAGCCAGTCTGGAACCAAACCTTGGACTGGAGCTTCGGTTTAACCAAGCTTCGCAGCCTATTAGACTCTTCAACTATCATCTGTGGGACGATGTCCCACTTTCAGTTTTCAAAGATAAAGATGTTGCAATCTCTCTAGAATATGAAGAATCTACAATTTTGCACCATTCAAGCTTGAACACAGCTTCTAGGAGCATACCTAATGGGCTGTTCAACTTTGAATTCCATAACAATAATGACAAAGAAGTAAGAGACTCAGCTGAGGACCACTACTGGTATGAATTCAAAACTAAGAATATTAGACGGTTTACTGATAAAATGAGACCAATAACTGGCTGTTTAAATCAACAACATGGCGATGGGGGCTCGTTAGTTGGTACGTTCACCAAAGAATTCGGGAAAACTTCATCATTTGACTTAGCCTTCGGTTATACGTTCAATGACACTATCAAAGTCGGGCTTGACTACATATATTCTGTATCTTCTTCTATTGTATTGGAAACATCTTATTCCTGTGCAGTACCCGCAAATTCTACAGGGCAGGTATTTATTCAACCTAAGCTTCTTAGATACGAAGAGCCAAAGTACAGACAAATCACTGTGCACTGGAATTCTCCGTGGTATAACCCTATCGTGAAGGAACCGGTCGGGCTAGTCATTGACGATTGGACGACTACGGATACTTTCGAGATTGTCAACTTCAACTCCAAACCGGTATATAAATGTGTTATTGATCCGCAGTTGTTGGAATGCAGCCTGGATATCTATGGGGACAACTGGGTGACCGAATTCACCTAAGATAAAAGAATGAAGTATGAAAAGAAAAAAAAATAAAATGGTTGCAACTTTGCAGGCTGATGATGCACGCTTAATTATCTCAGTTAAGCGAGAAGAAGAAAGAACTTGAAAAGACTAGAACTCTATTGAAACTTGAGGCTCATATTGAGTTATATTGGCCGAATAAAATGCCCATTATTTTCATTTCTAAAGCAGCATTATATCCAAATAGCAAACTGTGGCATAACAGTTTGATAGTAGGAGAGAACAAAGTGAAAAAAATAAAAAAAAAAAAACGTTTTCCATGCCCTCGTTCTTGGTTAACTCACGACTATTCAAGCTAAGTGCATGCTGGGAGCTGTCTCAGATGCTCATCTAAGGAATCACTATTGACGCTCTCCTTCCTCCTTTGCTTTGGCTTCTTAGTTTGTTTGTCTGTTCGTCTGTTTTCCTGATATGTCTGAAATTTCTGCCTTAGCTCAAGAGTTATCTAGCTCCTTGAGAAAATTCCCTGATTTCCCTTCCAAGGGAATTCTCTTTGAAGATTTCTTGCCAATCTTTGAAAAACCTGAATTGTTCAAGAAGTTGTTGAAGGCTTTCAAATTACACCTTGAAGAGAAGGGCACCAAAGTGGACTATGTTGTAGGATTAGAAAGTAGAGGTTTCCTTTTCGGTCCAACTTTAGCTCTTGAGCTTAATGCAGGATTTATTCCTGTCAGAAAGCCAGGAAAGTTACCAGGTCCAGTTGTTTCAGTCGAGTTTCAAAAGGAATATGGTAGTGATAGATTCGAGATGCAGGAAGGTGTTATTCCAAAGGGTTCTTCTGTACTTATTGTTGACGATATCTTGGCTACTGGTGGTAGTGCATACGGTGCAGGTGAATTAGTCAAAAAGAATGGTGGAGAAGTCACTGAGTACTTGTTCGTTATGGAATTGGATTTCTTAAAGGGTAGAGATAAGTTAGGTGCTCCAGTTTTCACATTATTATCTGGTCAAGAAAAGAAACTTGAGTAAATAGATAGACTACAGTAGTTCTTTATATTTAATATTATCTGTATTTTTATTTTCTTTTTACTATTAGATATTCGTGATTTGCGTAGATTTTATATTTTCTCTTACTTCGTGATTAAATTTATTTGTTCATCCAGCCTTGAAAGCTAAAAATGCAACTTCTCCTATATAGAAATAGATAAAGAATCCCTGTTCATGAGTAACATAGGATCCGAAACTCTTTCCTACTATTACGTGCCATGTGGGACCATACGCTTGATCAAGCTCTTTCTTAAGATATGCAGCCAAGTCCTTTTCAACCTTATACTTAAGGCCCAGGATGGCCAACTCAAATATTCTAGTTTGAATTTCCTCTGGCAAATCGGATGCCTTAAGAATAGCTAAATAGATCTGTTAGTACGTGAATTCGACGAACAACTGTAAAATATATAATGCGATATGTGACTTACGTATTTCTTTCTCTGACATATCAAGTACAATTGTTCGATCTGGATCAATAAAACTGGGTACTACTTATTGGTGTGAGACTTACTTAAGAGCGAGGGTCCACAAGTTTTGATGTTTGTGTTTTCGTTTTCGTTCGGTACGCTGCAATGATATTTTTTCACTGGTGTGTGTACTGCACAGTGGCTATATATTTCATACTGGTTCCCTGCTATGCTCTAACTGGGTTCCTAGCTACCTCTTTCCTTCCTTGGAAAATAGGGGTACCAGCTAGTTGTACAGTCTAAAAGAAAATAATCAGCTTGTTGTTCACCCCGTGATTCTTTCATTCATCGAATGATATCGCTTACTTTCGGTGTCTAGAACATATCTGATGTGGCCCTATTCTCGGTATTTAGCAGACTAATTATTAAGCGCTAAAAAAATTGCGGAGTCATCCGGCCTGAATAGGCAAGCAGATAGTAAGCATGGGCAAGCGCAACCTTATTTAAGATGATAATATATTATACTTCTCTTCTTTTCTGTTTCTCCTTTTTGTATAATTAACCTTAATCAGACCAGTTTCAAAATGTCGACTTATGGATTTATTCAAGTGCCAAGGGACTTGAAAGCAGCTATCCCAGCTGTCAATGCCCCAACTGACCAACAGCTCGCAGACTTACCTTCTAGCGAACTTGCAACTTTTGTCTTGAGCTATGCAATGGAAGAACTTCCCCAAAAGGTGCTCAACCACTCTTTGAGAGTCTTCCAGTATAGCGCTGCCATTATCAAAGACCAGTTCCCTGATTGGGATTTAGACTTAGAAGTTGTGTTTGTCACTGCCTTGCTCCATGACATTGGTACCACTGCTAAAAATATGAAGGCTACTAAACTCTCGTTTGAATTTTACGGAGGGCTCATATCAAGAGATTTAATTTTAAAGCATTCCAATGGGAACCAGGATTATGCAGAAGCAGTTGCTGAAGCAATTATCCGCCACCAGAACTTAGGTGACATTGGATATATTACTTCCTTGGGCTTAATTATTCAAATTCTGACCATATTAGATAATGTGGGGAAAAATCTGGAATACATCAACCCTAAGACATTAGCCAGAGTCAATGAGAAATATCTGAGAGAAGGTTGGTTAGGGTGCTTTGCAGATGCCATTGATAACGAGAACAAACAAAAGCCATGGGGCCACACTAGTCAATTGGGTGTTCCAAACTTCAGAGATGATGTCATGGCCAATAAATTAAACTACAAAATCTGATCTATATCTGACCCGAAGACTGATTTCGTATAAAACGAAAAATGGAAAATGAAACACGAAAAAGAAAAAAAGTAATGCAAAACATTTTGTTAATATAGCAATATACAATACTGAATGAAGTAAGCTCAAGTGCGCATCCTGTAGGTAAATTCTTGAAGACTGCTTATATCCTGTCCCTAGTATAGTAGGGGTTCATATAGCTTCAAGTTGCACCCGTAGGTTTTTTTTTCTCTTTAGCATAATTTTTTTTTTTTTTATTTTTCACTCCATTTGGTTTGATAGCGTTACATGCCGCTACTAAAAAAAGTTAACGATTCGACTTCTCCTATCGCCAATACACCAAAAACACTACGTAGAACTGTAATTAAATCTACTTATCTAACAATAGATATCGAATACCTTCTACAGTTACCGATATAATGATCGATCCGTTGAAAGTATCAACCAATTACTATAAATTGGCTCATATTTCTGAGATCTCCTTTACAATTTTCACTGCCAACTCTACAGGCTCTAGCTCAGAGGGAGGAACAGCACTAAATGATCAATCTTTATTGGAGTTGGAGCTTACTATACGACACAATAATCCAGACGTTCTCTTAACGTACTACAATAAATGCCTCTACTACTTCAATTTCGAACATATCAACCAGCATCACACTCAGGAATCCTTGGCTCAGTTCCAGAAAGAGTACCCTAGCTTACACTTGAAATTTTCAAGCGTGGCCAGTGTAGAAGTGTTAACCAACCCACCTAAACCAACCCCTGCTAGCCTCAACCCTAATATCAATTCAAATTCCAATTCCCCAGCTGGCACGGGAACTGGTGCAGGAAACAATAGTACAGCAGGTACTGCTGCTGAAAGAAACGCATACCTTCCATTTATATCACTCACCTTTTTAAAGGCATTAAAAAAATTGATACTATACAAATTATCAAAGGCTGAAAATTTACAGTTGTTTGGTAATTACGCAGTAGTAAGCTGTGATAAAATTGATATGAAGCGATACATAGTTCACATTGATCCGGTTCTTCTTCCCAACGGTGACCTTTTGGTCTGCATTACTCAAAGAAACAATGCTACTCTTTTCCAATCGAAGATTCTAATGGATAAGGATGATACGCAGCTAAACAGCAAACATTTTGCTATATACATCATCCCTTCAGGAATACGATGTCATTTGTATTATCCTGAAGAGCCTAACCATAGCTTTACCTACACCCCACCGAATAATAGTGACGCAATTATAAATTTGATAAAGCTAAGTACTGGTTTAGATTTGAGCAACAAGGGCGATGGCGAGGATGATAAGATATTATGGGTTAAATTGATCCCAAATCTTCAACATTTGAATAATCAAACTTCAAAAATTTCGAAGTTTATCCATCCTGTAGATAATAGAAAGTTTATATTATGGCCATGGAAGCTATGTTTGGTGCAATTTGGATATAGTCAGGATCTTAAGGCTCATGAATTTGATGATAATATCAATGATGTGTCCACTGACCCCTTTCAGCTTATTCTGGAACTCATGGATTTCAGTATAAGCCAAAATATGGTTATGCATCCTAACATTCAACAGCAGCATAGCAGTGGCTTACATCACTTAAGATCAACTGAAATGGTACCTTCTACTGTTGATTATATGCCTAGTGTAGGTTCTGGACTTGAGCAGGTCGCCGGAAATCAACCTCAAGCACCTGAACAGGAACATGAACTTAAGGAAGAAGCAGTTGGAGAGCAGGAAGGTATCAACATTGATCTTGGCGTTCACCAGGCGGTTGCTGAGAATAATATTTCAACACTAGGTGCCTCACAAAGCAATGAGATCTTGATTGAGAACGCTGATATAAGTCTACAACCGAAAAATATTGAAGATGATGATGAAATGGACGATTTGTTTGGAGGAGAAAGTGATGACGGTCAAATTGAAGACGATGTAGGGGAAGGAAATTCTCCTAAGGAAGAAAAAAAAACGGATCAACCCTCTATTAACGAAGAAGAGGAAATTGATATCAAAGAAAGTGATTTCGATATAACTAACGATGATTTTGCAGTTATTGAAAAGGAAGAGTTAGAGGGATATGATACGAAGGAAGAAGTTAAGAATTCTGAGCACATAAATGACGAAGTAATAACTGACGAATGTCAAGAAGACATAGTTAAAGAAGAAGATTCAAACGATTCCAAATCCAATTCGACTATCTCTACCTACCTTGATATTCCAAAAGACCAAATGACCATTCCAATTAAGAATTTTACAAAACAGCTGAAAACTCCTTATAATGATCCGGGAGCCCCGCCACCATTAATGGCGACTCCGTTTATCCAACCTATGTCAACATTTGGCGCTCCACCTCCACCTCCTCCATCTACAGCGGCATTACCTTCAATCTCTGACGGCGAAGAAACTCTGTCGAAATCTATATTCCTGCCCCTTCATTTCAATCCAATTATCAAGAGTAATATAGACAAGAAGTATGGGCGTGGAGGAAAGTTCTTTGTTGAAAAGGAATCCAAAAATGGAACAGATGATACAAAGAAAAAATCAATGAGAGCAACAAGTGTAGTAGGGTATGAGAGGTATGAGAGGGAGAATTCTCATGGGAGTAGCATCAGTTCAGAAAGTAAGTTAGATCCAATAATAGATGGTTCTGGTAACGGAGCTGTGGGTAATTCAAGTATAAGGGATATTTTGGAACTAGAAGATAATATTGACGACTTTGACTATAACAACTCGATGAATGAAGATATTGAAAGTGATGAGGATGAAGATATAGAGATTGCACTGAAGGGAAGGTCTCCACTTTTGAAGTTGAACAATCTTCCTGAATCCCAACTTAAGATCAAAGCCGCTTCTGTTCCTCTAGCTAGCAAACAGAACTCAATCACCTCGAACAGCATGTACTATAATAACCTCGATTATAGTTCTCCTACGTCAAATACTTCTGCTTTCCCTCAACTTGCGAATGCAAAGCTTGAATCTCCATTTGGTAATATCAATGCGTTGGGTATAAGTACAGCAAGTGTACTTTCCTCTCGGGGAAACAATGCTTCTTTGTCACCTGTTGACTTAAACCCTTATGCTTCTTTTGTGAAAGAGTTGCTGGATGACGAACGTTCGAATGAAGACGACGTAGAAATCATCGAAATTGATGATGAAAATAATGATACAAAGGGTAACTCTGATACGACATCACCCACCGCAAACTTCGTTGGAGGTGAAAATGCGGTTGACGTTGGAACAGAAGCAGACTCTGTAAATGCCAGAGGTTCGTTAGCCAGACCTACTTCCGTTCCTCTACTGAATTCTAACACTCCACCTATATCTTCAAGTAACAGTATGTCGGAAGCTAGTAACTGCTTGCCCTTAATCTTGAGATGCATTAACGTTTGCACCATCCCAGACGTATTCTTCTTGAATAATCTTAAAGACTGGGCACCCCCTGTCGTTTCTACAACATTCATGTATGTTGATGATGAAGTTGATTCTTGGGACGATGGAGATGAATTAAAATCGAGCCAATCTATGTCTGTTAAACTATCTGACATTGATGACTTCTTGCACTGGTTGACCCCATCCCTTGTATTTGATATGGGTATGAATTTAGAGCATATGCATCTGACCGTGAAGTTGAATTTACCCAGTACAGATTCACAAGAGATCTCTTCCCATCCTTTAATGGATGGAAAGCTGATTGGATTTGAGAACGACTTTGAGAAAATGTTTCCACTTTGCTACAGAGTTTCACTTAGCGAACTATTGCAAGATATGAAAGATGATAAGGACAATGTGACTGAAGACAATGAAAAAAATCAGAAGAAAGCAAATGACGATTCTGATGCTAATATGGACCTTGAGAATCAATTATCTTTCCTTGACGATATTACCAATGACATAATGCTAAACCCTAAAGCTCAGTTGAGGAGATTAAGAACTTTAGATTGGGATTCTATCTATTCTGATTGTATTGAAAATCAAGAAAATAGTGAAGAGTACAAAACTATACTAAGAAGTACGTTAGGAACTAGAGGAGGAGGAGACATTGCAGATCTAGAACAAGGTTATCAATTAGATTATGGTGATAATTTATTTACTTTACCAATTTCGAAAGTCAAAGTTATTAAGCAAAGGAATAACATTGTGAATTTGAATAGTATTGGGTTAAATTTCTGGTCTCATTTAAATCTCAACCCAATCAATGGTGTAAAGAATTATCAAATGCTCATGGTGTCTGAAATAACTGATACTTATTTGGATTGTAATAGTCAATTTTTATCAGCTTTAGTTTATAATTACAGAGAATGTAATTTGGGTAACATATCTCCTCTCAATATTTCATCAGAGGTTAGACCTGACCTAGAAATTATTTCCAATGGCATGGTGCAGGTTGAAGTTCATGGTGGAAGTCATGATGATTACTACAGACAGGTTAACAAGAAGCTCAAATCGCTAGCAGAATTGATTAGATTGGATTTAATCAATAAGACGCACCGGTTTGAGTTTGGTAGGCCATTGTTATTGTTCTTTGTTAATTTTGATGATTCATTAAATTCTTTGATAAAGATATCAAAATTGTGTCGCAATTTTCAAGAATCATTGCATCGCCATCAAGTCCCATTGGTAGAAGTATTCAATTACGTTATACCTTGGAGCAAGATTTTCAAAGTACGTGGACTGAGTAAACGATTACGGCATTTATCAGATCAGATGTTGTCGAAGATCTCTATGAATTTATACAACCAATGTCCAGATATGCAACATCAAATTCACCCTCTGATCAAATTAAAGTCAAGCTACTCTCAAGTAGTCAAAGATTCTCCTTCGAAGATTGATTTTAGGTTATTGGGCGGTGCAAAGGACAATAGTGGTAGTACTGGTTTCAATGGAGAAGTCTTCTTACATTTGGCATGCGAACGCTCGATAGATAGAAATTGGTTCGTTGCTGCATGGTCTGATCCTTTAGGTCAAGTGGCATATATGAAGTCTTGGTTCTGTTCTCCATCTTTCAAATCCAGTGCATCATCAGGTTCTGGCTATCACGACCTATCAAAAATATGTGATGAGATCTGGGAAATTTCTGATGAATTGTTCAAGAAATTGAATCAGAACATTATTAGGGAGATGTCAGGATTCGGCGGAAGGAAGTTTTTGGTCTTAACAAGAATTAACAGTATTATACCAGATGAAGAATTGGTTCATTGGAAGAGGTTGAGTTCAAAAAATAAAGAAATCTCTTTAATTGTTCTTAGTGTTAACCTGAAGCCCAAAGTACTTTTTAAAATGGATGATGTCGAGAGCCCTAATGAAGTTGAAGGTGACTTCCAAGCACCTTCTGAACAACTGATTCCGCTGGTTCCAATAGATATAGAATCAGCTGGAAGCACCATGAAGACTGAACCTGATTTTTTCAAAAACTTTTCTATACCTGAGTCGACCAACTCCTCTCCTAATGCTGCTAATATGGTTATGGCGACATCTCCGTACACTGGTTCAGGTATGAATTTCCATTCTCCACAGCAATTTACTAACGCTCCGAACAATTTCCTTTCACCGCAAGATTTTTTTACAGGATCATCGTCAACTATTAATAATGCCAACAGTGGGGAACTTAACAATAATTTCTTCGGGTCTCAAAATAATATTGTGAGTGATACAAGAATTAATAACAACAGTTTGGTGCTTACTGATCCAAGAGACACAATAACAGCTGTGCTTCCTAAAGTCCCATTGCCATCGTTCAATTCACCCTCTAGATTAGGGATGAAGATTGGATTTTTGATCAAGGCAGTTAATAACGAATATTTAGTTTATGAGGTTAATTTACTTAGTTGTTCAAATTATTGGAACTTGAATTCGATTATGCAAATTATCTTAAAGCAGTATAAAAAGTTAATTACATTGAATTTCTTATTGGGAATTAGGGAAAGGAGTACAAGTATTCAAGATGAAGAAGGCTATGAAGGGTTGATCCCGTGGCATATTGCTGCTGTTACCAGACAACTACAGTATTTAGTTCATATAGAAGTTGAAGAGTGAAAATCTTCGCAGATCTTTCATTATATAAATCAATCGATAAACATAGAATAAGGTCTCACGAAACAAGTGCTCTGAGAAATTACATACTGTAATCTTTAGGATTGGGCACAAATAGAAGTAGAAGAGATTATCGGTATATATAGAACAAAAGAGACTGGTTTCACGAAGCAAGCATTTTAAAATTCGAAGTTCCCTGTCTTTAGGCGTAAGCATATTAGTGCTTGTGAAAAATCACGGTCCAAGTTTATCAAGACGCGATGTTTACAAAAAAAAAAAAAAATGAAAACATAAACCTTCTGCTTGTACAAGGGAAAGCTTACAGAGAGATTGAAGATATGATTGAATCTACTGAGGACTTGTTGAACGAATATCCTCGAATGAGGGACGTGATAAATTTTACTGATGATAATGAAGAAATACAATTTAATAAAGATATCGGAAGGTTGAACCGTAGAAGTAAGATAGATGATCTAACCGTGTTCAGTGATTTTAACGACAATGTTACCAGTGATAGTATAGACAGAGAAATTGAAAATTTGTTAAAAGATTCTAATGTTCCAGCAAGAAATAAGCGAGACTCTCTTAATTTTGATGACGATCTTGGACTGGACAAAACAGAATTAATAATACGAGAAACGCATAAGCTTATCAACTCTATACCACATGGAGTATTCAGTAGTACACAAGGGGAGAATTATCAAAACTTGCTCACATCTTCCATAAATAAATTAGTAGCCCAATTGGAAGAAGTGAAAATGGAAAATAGAAGGTTACGAAATGAGCGGGCCGAATTGTCTGCCCATGGTAAAGATCAAGTTGCCAAGTTGAATGAGCAAGTAATCAAATTCGAACTTGAGAATCGACAGTTGAAGCTGCAATTGAAAATCAAGGAAAATGAAGCTAGTGCGAAAAGTTTAGCTAGTGATAAGGAAAGGAACCTCTTGAGAAGTAAATTGATCAAGTATAAACAGTTGTACGACAATAAAGTGAAGGAAGAGAGATCTAACCAGCTCAAAGAACATAGTAAAGTGGAAGAGAACAAAGTGAAAATGGATGACGATAGTTTGAAGGAGCTCGTATTGAAAATAATACGAGAAAATGAAAGCAAGCAAGGGGCGGTGAAAAAAGAAAGTGAGCACGATGAAGACAAGGAAAATCAGATCAGTGAGCCAAATGAGAAGCTAAGTAGTGCCACTTCTAAAGTAGCGCTGGAAATCGCATCACTAATTAGTGCCGTAGAATCGAAGAAAAGAAAGGTGAAATTCACCGAGTTGAATGAGGAAGTGAAACTTGACCCACCTGCGGTCGAGCAACTGCATGAGAGGCTGGAACCTGCGGCAGATATTGTATTGAAATGTGTTATAGAGTACCCTTCGGAAAGCGTAAAGGGAAAATGTAACCAGTGTAATTCAGAGGAAGTGCTTCCTAAGGAAAGGTTCATTGATTCTGGATCCGACACGGTTAATTTAATGGGAGAGTACAAGTGGACCATATAGGCTTGGGAATTTAATAAATTTTGTAATGAATCATAATATTTAGGCTTCAGAAAACGTAATGGGGAAATGTAACTGGTGTAATGTAGAGAAAGGCATTACCTAAGTTAAGGCACATTGATTACGAGTAATGTTATATTAATGGGACACGATTTCTTTAACGGCAGAATACAAGTGGACCATATAGGCTTAGAAATTAATCGACTTTCATAGTGAACCACAATATTTACCCTTCGGAAATGCAACCAGTGTAAATCAGAGAAAGTAAATCTCTGGAAAATGCCCATAGATTCCGAAGCGGAGAGTGTAAAATTCAAATGGCAGAATACAAGTGGACCGTATTTTAATGAATTGTAGTGAATTTTGTAATGAACCACAATATTCTCTTCTCAAGCAACAAAAAATAATCTGAAATGAATTTACCGTGTATCTTCTCTCCCGCCGTATTGGTGTGATTGTAGGTCCAACTGTGCTGCATTGTATTCATGTATTTTGAGTCTATTCATGCAAGTGAATCGAGAAAAAAAAAAAGAAATTCACGAATCGGTGCTGAATCTCAATGCAAATGCGGAATATTATAGTGGCTAAAGTGCCAAAGTAGGTGGCATATTTCTGAGTTGAGCAACTGAATATAACACCCTCTGCATAACAGTATTTCTTAAGGTGTCAGGAATGGAACCGCGGTTGAATTGAGATCGCTAACTCTTCAGTGCGAAAGTAAAGTGAACGGCAATAAAAACGCAGGTGGAGGTTGTGTTTGTCTTGGTACTTTCTGAAAATAGCACACTTGAGCTATATTTTTATGGGGTAGGACGGTAAGATAGGTGCAGTGCTTGCAGTAAGTCATCGCCATACTTCGCTCCGACGCGATGCTAAGGGGACGAAGAGAAATAGTACGTGAGATGTTGTGCATCGAATTGAAAAATAAATAAAAAATTTAATTGGGAGAGTAAAATCTGCAGCCCCTTCTCAAAACAATTCGATGCGGAACAAATTGATCTGCATGTTGACTAAAACGTAAACAGAGCACGTTAACAAAACACACAATTGGTAAATTAAAAAGAGACAGGCGACATTGCAAGAGGAAAATGAAGATGGAGAAGGAGATGGAAATAAGATTGAGTTTAACCGAGGATTGTTTGAGCGTTCTTCCATCGTTTAGCCAAAAACCTTAATCCTACGATAAAAAGGTTCAGTAGTTAGGGACCTACTCCACGATAGTCAAAAATAAAAAATAAAAAAGGGCATCACTCTAACTTTCTTTCTTGAAACACACTAGCAAACTAGCCCCAAATTTGCCAATCTGTCAGGTGCAAATTTCACCACATTCATCGAATACATCGAAACGTTTGATTCATATTGTTTATTTTTTCCGCTATAACAATACGGCGTAACCTGCCTGGCATATCACACGTGACGACGACGAACGTGTATCAGATACATCACCCATAGAACAGATGGAAGATGAATGGATTGGTGATTCTCTTTGTTATGTTTATTTTATTTTTCCCATATAGGCTTGTTTTAGTTTTTTTTATTTTATTTTTATTTTTCTTGACCTGCCAGCTGCGTGAGCAGCTTTCGGTGCTTTGATGAGAAACTCAAAGTTGCTGTCTATATTCAGGCTGCCCCAGTTCCTTTGGCCTTCTAGTTCACACGGCGTCCTTCCTCATCATGCCCCATTCCTCCCCTCTTTCGTACTCTCTACTGTTGCTCACCTCTTTTAAGCTCCCTCCACAAACCCTAATCTGCTCGAAAGACACTGTCCTTATTTGTAACGTAGATGGTCGCGATCCCAAAATGTATCTGCAAGGAAACTCCCACTCGCGTTAAATGGTTAAAGATGCAATAAACCGCTGCTGTGTGCACTCTATTTACAAATCTTCTCAATTTGTGCGCGCCGCAGATTTCCAAATTGGAAAGAAGGAAAACACTCACACAAAAATTGAAGAAGTGTGCATCAAGCAGCTGAGCTTTAGAGTGGGATTCCGAAATTACGGTGCAATTAAGGGTTATATTTTGCTACTGGATTTGAGATTTCGAAGTAAGAGAAAGCCAAAACCAGAAGAACAAAAATAATAACTACAAAAAAAAAAAAAAAAACACTGTAAAAGCTAAGAAACAGACAGAATCTTTCAAGCTTTAAGTTAGGAAAAATCTCTATTAGTGATTTTGAACGAGCAAAAAAAATTAGGAAAATCCAGAAGAGAAAATAACAATAATCGGTTTTCTTCCTCCACCAAGCTTCCTTCTTATTACATAGCATATACCAATAAATAGAGCAGGAATTGGTTGAGCACTAGTTTTATAGACCACTGAATCGATTGACACCAGCAGCAGAACAAATAAGCCAATCCTAGAAGAATATATTGACATATATATCTGACTACTCACCTACAAATTACACATTACATTTGGGATTCAAATTTTACAACGCTCTCTCTTTGACCTTTATTGTTTACACAACTCCCTCCCCCCTGTTACTAGTTCATACTCATTCGTTTTCTTTCACAGTACTCCACCCTGCATAACCAAGATCATAACATATCCAATATTCATCACAATCATTGATATTATTACTAACTTTGCCTAACCAATACATCCTACTTTTAGCTACCAATCTGCTATGCCTCAAACAGTTATAAATAACGAAAATGAATACCGATTCACCAGATCTTCTAAAATAGTGCCTCAAGACGAGACAACGGTGAGCACTGGTCCAGCTGCCACCGTTTCCACTAGCACCACTACCACTACGACCACACAATCGACACAAAATTCGCATAAACCTAGCACGAAGAATGCTGACGACTCGTCTATCCAAGTCAACACCAGGGAATACTTAGGTGACCTCTCCAACCAAGACACCGGCCACCCAGGACAGCTCAAGAGGCGTCCGTTGGGTGGTGATGTCCAACCTTTGAGGCAGTCAGCCATTGTTTCGCACAATAACTCTAATACGGGTGGAACCAACGCCAAAGACAAGGAGTTGATACCTCCAAGATTACCTCAGAAAAGGCAAGCAACAGAGTCCTCGACAAATCTCGTGGAAAAGCTTCACATCTCGCGTCACCCTCATCCTCATACAAGTATACAAGTAAATGCTGTTGGTCCCGCAGGAATACAGGATATTGCTGCTGGATCTAGCAGTAGTGTTAATGTTCCCTACAAGAAATCCAAGTTGACTCCTGTAGACTATGAGTGGGAAGATTTGGACGAGGAAGACATGGACGATCCTCTTATGGCTTCGGAATATGTTAACGATATATTCCCATATCTTCGAGAATTGGAAATTAAGTCGCTCCCAGACTCCCAGTACCTTTTCAAGCAGAGGCACCTCAAACCAAAGATGAGGTCTATCCTTGTAGATTGGCTTGTGGAAATGCATCTTAGATTCAGGTTACTTCCAGAAACATTATTCCTTGCTATTAACATAATGGATAGGTTTATGTCCTTAGAAGTGGTTCAAATCGATAAGCTACAATTGTTGGCCACAGGCTCACTTTTCATTGCTGCGAAATACGAAGAAGTGTTCTCGCCCTCTGTTAAAAACTATGCATACTTTACTGACGGATCATACACAGAAGAAGAGATCTTACAGGCTGAGAAATATATTCTAACTGTGTTGAACTTTGATTTAAGCTACCCCAATCCAATGAATTTCTTGAGAAGAATTTCCAAAGCAGATGACTACGACGTGCAATCTAGAACTTTAGGGAAATATTTGTTAGAGATTTCCATCATTGATTATAAATTCATAGGGGTATTGCCTTCCTTATGTTCTGCTCTGGCGATGTACATAGCTAGAAGCATATTGTCGAAGGACCCAGTGTGGAACGGGAACTTGATACACTACTCCGGAGGCTACAGAGTAAGCGACATGAAAGATTGCATTGAAAAGATAATTGCATTCCTTGTTGCGCCCGTGGAACATGATGAATTTTTTAAGAAGTATGCCAGTAGAAAGTTCATGAAAGCCAGTATATTGTGTCGAAACTGGGCTAAGAAGGTAGTACAAGAAAATAGAGACATATTTGTCTGATTCTAATTTCTGATCTACCTATGATAGAAGATGAAAACGTTAAAAGTCGAGATCTGCCACTTGTGTTCCCTTTTAATATCTGCATTTAACTCCAGCATAACTAAACCCCATAAAAGATAACTACTAAAAACTACTAAAAAAAAAGTAAGTATGCAATTATTCTTAACTTACCAATAAAATGAATCAAAAAAGAACAAAAAAATGACAAAAACGACTGCACCTGCGACTACAACTTGGAATTCCATATATGGTTCGTGTTTTAAAACCAAACCCACCATCACAATCCAAACAGAGCCGCCGCATAGCTGGTACATACACCACTACCACTACCACCTACCAACCAACACCTAATACCATTCGCTGCTATATCAGCAGACGAGTTTTTCTTTCTATACTTACTTCCAATGTTATATTTTAATCGACATACCCAATGATAATAACGGTGTAGATGAGAATTGTCCATGAATAGTCCTTCTCTGTTCACCTCTGTTCGTCACGTTCAGCCTTGGAACTCATTTGCAGCCATTATGATGTCCTGCATATACTGTATATGTATACGCGCTTCTCCAGTGTTTTATTTTCAGCTCTTGGACTGTTTACTTTACATCCATCACGTCAAGTGCTGTGGATAAGGGAAAAGGAAGAAATATTAGCGTGATAGGTAGCCTTTTTTTCTCAATGTTTCAAGGTTCTACGTTTTTGATAATCAAGAGCCATTCAGATTTTGCGGATGTGGCAAAAACTGATCATAATAGGAGTCTTGATCTGCTCGCAACTGTGCTCCAAGAAAATGATGCTAACGTTCTAGTTAAAGAAGACCACGCAAACAACGTCAACTACCTTGAAAGTGGTGATAATGACACTGAGATACCCACACACATAATCTCTTATACTACTCAGTTTATAGAGTATCTGTTGGCACTTACATGTATGATCCCAGTGACTACCCCAGAGTGGGTGTGGGACCTGTTGGATCAGGGCCGATTGTTAAATCCGAAGAACTACAACCCAGACCTGAAGTACTTTTTGAAAGATGTTTTTGTATGTGTGGCAGACAATCTACCATCGGGGGACAAAGAGATAATATATGGTGGAGTTAGGGCGTTTGGGGGCCAGTATTTGGATGATCTTACTAGGTACACCACCCATTTAATTGCAATGGATATGAGCAACGATAAGAGTGTGATTGCAGCCAGTGCAGTGGGGGAAATAAATATCAAAATCGTGAAACCCGAATGGATCGATGAATGCTTAAAAATGGGTAAAAAGGTGCATGAAGGGCCATATTTGCTTGCAGGATCAGAAGACAGCAACGGTAATATCAACGGAGCTGAGGATGAGGGCGCCGGTTCTCTTCTTTTCTCTTCCCCTTTGACTAGTTCCTTCCAGTCGTCGTTTCTTGAATCAAAAACCTTTTATATTTCTAACGATTGCAATATATCACCTAGGCTCTTGGACACGATATCTTCGATAATTGTATCCAATGGCGGGTCGATAGCCACCATCTTTAATACTGACACAGTTGACGTCTACATTGGGAACTACAGATCTGGAGTTGAATTTGTGGAAAGCTCCAAATCCAACAGAATCATTGTAGGAACTTTGCAGTGGCTCTATTCGATCATCATTTCTGGTAAGTGGGTATTGCCATTAAATTCCAACCTACTCCATTATCCTGTTCCGTTAAACAAATTATCAGATTTCAGCAAGTTAAAAATTTGCATTACAAACTATACTGGTGAAGCTAGATTTTACTTGAGTAAATTGATAACGATCATGGGGGGAGAATTCACCAAGACGCTTACAAGAGATAATGATTTTTTGATTGCTGCAAGTCCTACAGGTAAGAAATATGAAGCTGCTAAATATAAGTGGCAGGATGGGAATATTAAGATAGTGAATCATGTGTGGTTGGAAGAATGTTATAGCAATTGGAAGGTAATGGACTGGAATGAAAAGTACTATCAATCGTTCGGTGGTGAAGACAGGGGTGTTGAAAGATTAATTGGGAGAATTCACATCAATAGCAGCATACTAAGGAATTGGTGGGATGAAGTCGATGACAGTATGAGTGAGGATGAACTGAAGGAACTGAAAGATGTGAAAGAGTCAAAGTCAAAGACAATAAGTAAAAAGAAAAGTACTAAAAAGGTGAAAGAGGTGAAAGAAGATATAAAAGATGAAGTTAAGTCCCTGGAAACGGGAAGAGATGAGATTAACTCGCTGAAATCATCAAAGGAAAAGGCTAAAACTACGAAAAATCAAAAGGTCGCTACGCCACCGGCAGCTAATGTTCAAGAAAATAATGAACCAGAAACTAAGGATGACAAGAGTCTTACCAGTCCTCAAACTTCAACTTCAACACCTGGAAAAACTTCAGACAAAGAAAACTCGCCATTGAGAGGAGGGAGATCAGCTGCGAAGAAGGCAGCTGCAAAGCTTCATTCTGATATGGCAGACTTGAATAACTATCAACAGATGAAAAAGAACCCCAACAAAATGAAGCATTATCTTGACGAACTTCAAGGCGAAAGCTCCACACCTTCCAAGAAACTGAAGGTGAAACTGAAAGCAGCGCCTCTTATGATTGCACTCACTACTGGATGTGAGCAAGATCTTGACTTGACTCCGACTAAGGTTTCGACGCTTGCTGAGCTTGGAATTACAATATTAAACGACTTCTCTGAGATGCATCCCGTTGATACTCTTGTGGCACCTAGGATCATGAGAACGGAAAAATTTCTCAAATGTTTGAGTCAAGTGAACCAAATCATACATCCCAGTTATATTTCAGGTATTTTGAAAAAGCTCGACAGTCCTACAAGCTCTACAGATTTAACTACCTCAGAAAGTTTATCAAAAGAATTCAAAATTGAAGACTATACACTTGATAAGATCTTAGGGGTTAAAGCAATCAACCAAGAGTTGGGATTCAGTGCCACTTCAAGTGTCAACGGATTAAATAAATTGCTTACATCATCTTTGAAGGGTAAGGTATTCCAGAACATGAAATTTAATTTAAGCACTAATTTGAATGGTGGTACAGCAGTAATCACCAAGATCTTGGAAGCACATGGATGTTCAGAGACGATGGTTGTTAAAAACATTAACCCCAATGCAAAAAATGTTCTCTTATGGACAGATGTAGCAGAGAACGAACAGATTTATATTGCTCATAAAGTCAAAGACGCCAAAGCAATATTGAATTTCAAAAGATCCTTTCCTAAAGGCGTGGTTCTCGACTGGGACTGGTGCGTTAAGCTGATATTTAAGATGAAGAAAGAAGAGTACAAGAAGTATAAGTTGTGAAATGAATACCATGGAAGACTTCAAAAAAGGGACCGAAATGAAATGAAACCTCTGCAATCTACAAACATCAACTAACTCTGATCAAAAGATTCATTGATTCGAACATTAATAAAACAATATATATATATTTTGTGGGATTTATTCGTAGCTTTATAAGATTGCAATTGCGTTATGCTTCGTCCTTTTACTTTAATAATTAGACATAGATTCTGTAATATATTACTCTCTCTAAATATCTATCAAACTAGGGCCAGTTTCACCATTTCTCTGCTGTCCTTGTTGTTGAGGTGCATTACCAAAACCGTATCCAGTGTATGCAGGGTTGATTTGAGAGTGAGCATTAGATGAACCAGCTTGAGCCTGAGACTGAGTACCTTGGTAGCCAATTCCAGTATTTAAGAATGGATTTCCAGTAGCATTTGTTGTCAATCTGACGTCACCGTAACTTGGTTTAATACCTGTACCAGCAGAGCTAATAAATTGAGTCGTTCTAGTGTGTTGATGTGGAATTCTGCTAGCTCCAGTATTACCGAAGGTATCAATTCCTGTACCTTGTGCAAGAAGATTGTTCAATTCAGAATGTGTAGAATCGTTAAACTTGGAAGAGGAAGTGTTTTGTTGTTTAATAGGGGAAGCCTGTTGTTGTTGTGGCTGAGTGAAAAATTGGGGTCGTTGTTGTTCTTCAGCGAGCGCACTGAGTGAGGGCTGCGCTGGCTGTGAGCTCTGTTGGGGCTGCTCTGATTGAAGAGCAAATGGGTTGTTTGAACCTGTCTTTAAAGGCTGTAATGCTTCTTGTGGTTGCTGTTGTTGTTGAGGTTGATAATTAAAGCCCGTAAACTGAGGTTGTGTCTGTTGTTGGAAGAATTGCGGTTGTTGTTGCTGGTAGTAACCAGTTTGAATAGGGTTCTGTATTGGGTTACCGAACATATCGTACTGTTGATAAGGATTGCCAGTATAGAACTGTTGTTGGGGTTGTTGCTGTTGCTGGAATCCGGTAACCATGTAATATTGTTGTTGAGGAGGCTCATCACTCAAGTCAAGTAAATTTTCATTTTGCAATCTCTTTTGCTTTCTCATCTCCTCTTCTTCCATACTGAGCTTCAAAGCTGCTTCCAAATCTGGGTCGGCAGCGGCTTGGGCTTGTTGGAGCCTACGCTGTTCTTCCTCCGCTGTGAGCCTGGAAAGTTCCAACGCTTGTTGGAGCTCGTCATCGTAAGGCTCATCCCTTCCTCCTCGGGATGAATTGGTGTTGGTACGGTTTCTTCTTTCTCTCTTATTTCCTGCCCTGGACGGATCTTGGCTCTTGGCAGCCAATTCTCTTTCGTGCTTCAACCTCTCGTCATCTCTAAGCAATGATACCAACTCCTTGGCCTTGACTCTGATCAAAGCACCTTGGTCATTTTCAGTCTCATCGAAATGTATGAATTCTCTCAAAGTCTTGACAATGTACAAGTTATCCCTTGCCCACATAACACATTTCTCAGATCCGAACCTAACCAAGTAGTCCAACACAGTCAACGACTTGGCCACATGACGCCAATTCTTCCCCTTATCGTTCAATCGACGGTCCAACATATCCATGATCTCCAAGAAGTCTGTCTGAGACAGATAGGTCAACGCCGATATCTCTTCCATATCGTAGGTGGTGGGACCAGTGGAGTCATTCAGGGTAGCGTTCCTCACTAGAACCTGCACAGAGGAGTAACCATTAGCAACGTTTTTGATTGACCTTACAAACGATTTCGACATTTTTTTTTCTCTATCAGTGAAATTATCAACAATCTATTAAAACAGTAGTCACGAAGTAAAATACAAAGCCCAGAAAATGGTGTTTTGTTGCCTGAAAGAGTGTGAACTACTTTTTGCCGGAATTTTCGTTGTAAATCTTTAGGGGTAAAGATTTTTTGGTGAGAGGGAGGGAGGTTTTGTGTGATGTGGGGTTGCGTGCAGGAGCGTGATGATAAGGGAATAGGATGATTTCGGTACCAGTGCACGATGCAATGGATAAGAGAGCTGGGGTGGGGGGGTGAGTTAATTGGAGCGGATGAACAAAGTAGTATGAATAATAGGAACTACTGAAAATGCTTGGAAGGATTCTGCCGAGAGCAAGGAAGGAAAGGTTTTCCAGTTGGAAAGAAGTAGGGCAGAGAGTGGGAGTTCTTTATCTTTTATGTTGTTTGCTTTTAACTTTCTCTCACTGTTTCATTCCCTCACTATGTCTTATTTTTCACTCCACCGTCGAATTCGCTACACTATAAAGTTTCTATGGGAAAAAAAAAATTATGCCGCAGTTTGGTCATCCGTGATTTTTCACTGACTAATGGGCCAAGGCCAGGCTGGATTCGGAATGGATGGAACGCAGACCAGATTTAAGCACAAGACAAGACAGTGGAAAAATGTATACTAAGGGTTAACTGACAAGAAATCGTGAGGTTTTGATTCGTGGTTCGTTAGTATGCGTATCCCACTGTTGGCTTGTTCCCTGCTTTGCTATTTTCCGTTGTGCCAGTGGATGGCCTGGCGATCTGGGGGCTGTTTTTTCCGCACTTTCGGTGATGTACCGGGACACAGCGGTTCAGTGGCTGCAAACCACCGTGCGGAAAAATTATCAGTGGGGAAGGTAATGAATCGTAAAGATGAGAGAATGAACGATCGCAGGTCCATGTACTGGCCACTGTATCGAGTAGGCGTAAGGGAGATACTAAGTGGAATTATAAACCCTCTGTGCTGTTTTGGGGGGGTCCTTGTTCAGACTTTTCTTTTTTTCTTCTGTCTCTGTCTCTCTCTGTCTCGGTGACTTTCCTGGTATTTTCAGGCTCTATTACGGAATATTTTCCTTTTCTTTCCACTCTCTGATGAAAGTAGGTATATTGTAGAGAAAGAAAACTAAGATGCAAAAATTGTCAGTCTGCTACGTCGCTTAAGAGGAGATCACAGCAATTCCAACACAAGCCAAACTCAATCTTCCTTTGCTTCAGCATGCCCTGTCAACCAGACCCTTTCATCGTGCCTTGTCACCACTGCAACCTGCTACATCGAATCTCGTCTCTTCACACTGTACATGCCCTCTACTTCGTTTGCAAAGTTGTGCAACACGTGACTCCACCTACCACGTGATACTACACAAAATATTCAAACCATCAAGAAAAAAAACATGAACAGCAAAAGCCAACACCCGTTATTCAGCCACATATTACTCTACGTATCACACTGTGCATCAATCTTGCTTTCAGTTAATTTAAGGATTCAATTACACTCCCCAGTCGCCTGATTACCGCTCTTTCTATTCACATTCTCCCCTCAGTGTTACAGAGTAGTTTAATTTCTGCGACTTTTCAGACACATTTGTGATACTACGCAGTACTAACGCGCGACTTAAGATAAAGCTTTACTGTAAAGCTAAACAAAGAAAAAATAAAAATACATAAATCTTGCAAAAGGTATAGAGTAGGTCCTTTTTGCTCGTTTAGTTGTTGTATTAGAGCCCCATTCCGTTTTCTTTGCCGCTAGCAGGGAATTAATTCTTTTTAGAAAACAAGGATACTGGTCGTGCACGGCCCGAAAAGTTGGTATTAGTAACTGCCAAAAAAAAATCGAATAAAAAAAATTACTTAGGTGAAGTATAGGAATAGTGTAAGTTAAACTATTCATTTAGACAAAACAACAGAAGCCGAACGTCTACAATGTCATACTATTTGTCGCCAGAATCCAGAAGGTGTCGTCGTTGTAAGAGAAAGAGACTCGACGATGAACCTCCTGAAGTACGCCAGTACAAGACCTGTGCCAAGTGTAGAATTATTGAAAGACAGAAGAAGAAGCTGAAAAAGCCATTGGCTGAGGAAACCATGGTTTATGGTATGAGACAGTTACAAGAACAACAACCTGGAAGCTGGAATGAAGATTTTTTCAGCCGTGACGATGCTTTCGAGGAAAGTAGACCTAAGACTAGATCATTGAGAGAACCTCAATCTCACTCTTCTTTGGTAGCTACCGCTGCAGCTGCAGTTTCTGCAAGCAATGGGGCCGCTGGAGATATTTATCTGATGTACGGGTATGAGGTTGATCCTAGTTACCACTATGAACAGCAACAACACCAACAGCACCAGCACGTTCAGCAGCAACAACAACAGTACCAACAGCAGCAGCATGTTTACAATCCACCGCAATCCAGTATCGACTACTCCACGCCAGTGCCCTCAACTCCAGACTTAGCCTCCAATAACAATATCAGTAATAGCAGTAATGTCAATAATAGCAACAATGGCAGTAGTAGTGTCAGCAGAAGTTTGGGCAATGGCAACGCCAATAACAATAACAATAGTGGTACCAATAATGCCAACTATATTGCTTCAAAATGTGACGTTTGTGACGCCAACACCACCTCGTCGCTCTGTTCAGACTGCTTTACTGACCCGTACCGAATTTCTCATGTTTACTCTGACTTTACGAAATTTCTCCAGGAAATCTCGCCAGAAAAGAATCTTGAGACTAATTCTCTTACATTTATCAAGGAAGTTGTTGCTGCTACAGACTTTAATGAAAACTTGGACACGAATAACACTAACCCTGCCAACGAAAGACAGTACAGAGACCTTGTTTTGAACAGCATCAAGCAGATATATCTCAATCCAGTGATGGCAGCCACCGGATTTAAGTTTAATAGAGTTTCATCAAACCTTGCTTCATCTAGCTCCAACTCCACGTCAATTGATCCGATAACAGGCAAGTACACTCACAAGGGTAGTACTCCAATCAAAGCGATCTATAAATGCAAGATGGGAGACGAAGTAAGTGGGATCATCCCCAATGTTGAATTGATTTTAACCTACAATTTAACATCGAATGTTATTGTGATTAAGTTGGTTAGAGACGTTGCGGAAATGAAAATGATTGCTGAAGTGAAATTGAAGAAGAAGGAGGAGAATGAAAGAAGATTGGAGCAGTTAGCACAATTAGGACAGCCCGGAACTACACTGGTTGATCGAGAAGTCATTTCTGAGCTGAAGTACCCACTTAAATTTGTCAATTTGTGTGATCGAATTCTTAAGACTCTTATTTTAGAGAACAGACAACCACAACTTCAATTAGGATATAATCATTTCAGCGGGGGGTTGATATTCGATGTATTGAAGCAGAGGAAGGACGAATATCCAGAGGATCTCCAGTTATTGATTGGATCGTTTAAAGAACCGAACGAGTTTGTGAATGAGTTTCTTAAGTTTGAGAACATAGTAGGAAATAAGGTTGTGATTGAGGGAGGTCTCAGGCAGGCAGACCAAGTGAAGGACGAGGTCAGTGAAACTGTGGCCCCTCAAGTAGAAGGTGGATCCGCGGCCGCTTTCAGGACAGTAGGAGAAGAAGGAGCTCACGTAGAAGGAGAAGTTGAAGGTGAAAGAAAAGATGACAAGCTGGAGATCGAATCCAATGAACAGGTACCAGTCGTCGAGGGAAACCAGGATGGAGAATCTGAACTAGCAAAAGATGAAGAAAGTGCAGAAGGTACCAAAGAAGTGAACGATATTGAGACTGTACCTGTGCCTGCACCTGCACCTGCAACAGAATCTGTATCTGCGCCTGGGAACGAATACGAGCCCCAAGGAGAGGAAGAGGAAGCTGAAGTACAAGCGAAAGATGTGAAAATCGATACCGCTGACGCTCCAGGCAACGTATCAAAGCCACTAGGAGACACGCCAACTGTTAACGTTGATCCGGTGTTTGGGCAGTAGACGATATTGAATATGTAATATAAAGTAATAAAAGTAATAGTAGCAAAATATGCATGGACCATCTGTAGTGGATGTAAGGGCGCACACCAGTTTGAGGAGCACCATTATTTCAGTTGCAGCTAGCTTCTGCACACTAATATTGCGTCAGCAGCACTCTTCTGCGCACTGTACTCACTCGCCTGTAGCGAATTTCAGCGGCCCAGCATGCCCATGTAGCCTTGGCTATTGGCTAACACCAACCTTGAGTGGTTGCAATGCACCGCGTATTTATTTTCAATTTATTTTTTTTCTTTTTTATTTTTTTTTTTTTTTTTTTCGATCTCCAGAAAAATCAAACCCAAGGGAGTGGCCCTGGTTATTTATAGGATAGACTAATTGATCCAGAAGTACAACAAGAATAGTTCAAGAATAGCAGGGATCTGACAGTACAAGGATGAAATTCTCTTGTATCATTCCTTTGCTTTTAAGTTCGGCGGTATCGGCCATTTGGCTTGATACCAACAACAAAACCACCATAGCCGAAGATACGGCACTCATTGCCAAGGGGTTGCTTGACTACTACGAAGGATATGACTATGGAGGAACGATTGGTATGTTTACCTCGCCATACTATTGGTGGGAAGCTGGTGGAGCATGGGGATCGCTCATTGACTACACGTTTTACTTGCAAAACAATACTTTGGTGCCCTTGATCAAGGATGCCCTTCTCTATCAAACTGGTGATGACGATAACTACATCCCATTGAATCAGTCCACGACTGAAGGTAATGATGATCAAGGATTCTGGGGCATTGCGGTAATGGCTGCCGCAGAAAGAAATTTCTCTAACCCAGACGAAAGCACTGGAAAGTCGTGGTTGGCATTAACGCAGGCTGTGTTCAATACTATGACTGCTAGATGGGACACGGCCACTTGTAATGGTGGGTTGAGGTGGCAGATCTTCCAGTGGAATTCTGGGTATGACTATAAGAACTCTGTCTCGAACGGGTGTTTGTTTCAAATCGGGGCTCGTTTGGCCAGATACACGGGTAACACCACGTACTCTGACTGGGCCGAGAAGGTGTGGGACTGGATGGAAGATAGTGGTTTGATTGTGGATATGGGTGGATACTGGACCGACCACGGTGGGCTTTTGACCCCTGGTGAACCATACTACTACATTTATGATGGTGCATACGTTGACGGAAACTGTACCAACGTCACCAAGTATGTGTGGACGTATAACTTCGGGTTAATGATCGCCGGAACTGCCTACTTGTATAACTTTACAGAAGACGAGAAATGGTACAACAGAACTGCTGCGCTTTTGAGAGGTTCATCTGTATTCTTCATTAACAACTCCATTATGTACGAGGCAGCTTGTCAGGGTGCTGGTAACTGTAACAATGATCAAAGATCGTTCAAGGCATACTTTTCAAGATTTTTGGCTTTGACTTCCATTATGGTACCAGCCACCAGGCCAACAATTTACCAGTGGCTTGTTGACAGTGCCAACGCTGCAGCTCAGCTGTGCCTGGGAGGTACTGACGGACACACATGCGGTCTTAATTGGAATGCTACAGGCTGGGATGGTTACTACGGCTTGGGTGAACAGATGTCTGCCTTGGAAGTGATGCAAAACTTGCTTGTGGAGGACTTGCCTGGTCCATACACTGCGGAAACCGGGGGTTCTCTGCAAGGTGACCCAGCCGGTGGGTATGCCACTACAGCTACAGACCAGTCGCCCTTGGACTTGGACGCTGGAGATAAGGCAGGTGCTGCTATAATTACCGCTGTCATAGGTATTTCGTTAGTTGGAAGTGCGGTTTGGCTACTTATCTAGACCTGAAACAAAAATCAACTGCCCTACAATGGTAATGTGACATATAAAAGAAGGATAAGATACCTAGAAGAAATGAGATAAAAAAAAAAACAGGAGAAAAGGGCTGAAAATCGATACGCTAGTTCAGATTGTACAGAAGAACGATAAAGTGTGTTGAAAAGGAGGAAAATGGGGAGAAAAGCATCTCCATGGCTTGATTTAGTATATATGTTAGTACCTCAATAAAAGAAAGTAAACTGTTCCGCTTATGTTAGATAGCGCACGTCTGTATGCAGGACATACTTGGAGAGAAAGCAGCACTTTGGCAGGAGAGAGCCTGTGTTGTCACAGAGGGGGTCCCGCCACTTCGACTAGTATTCAACTTTATGTATTCAAATACAGGGTGGATGAGTGGCATCTGCCAGAAAAGCTCTCTTCCGTGCCTTTCTACCCTTTTTCCGGGCCTATGCCGACCACACACATCACCCCTCTGACCCACCTTGGTGACCTGCATGTAAGCGAGGGCAAACATCCCCCAACATGCATAATCGCACACCAAGAAGAAGTGACATCAGGGCGATAGTGTTAGGAATTACCGGTTTATAGGTATATTTATATACATATCTGTATCTATAGTGGAAGATTTCCATATTTTGTTATGTCAGAAGACCAGTTTACTTCAATTCAATTGGATAGGGACGACGCTGAATCGTCGGACCCTCCTCCAACATATCAACCCATTCACGAGGAGGAAGGGGAGGAGGAGATAGATGTGAAGGGGAAGGATCAAGAGATAGGTGTCGACGACGATCCCTCCAATAGTCTTCTAGTGTCTCATAGTGGAGAAGAGTTGGAAATTGGGGGCGCTAGCTCAAGTTCTGGAACTGGGGCTGGTGGTGTCAATGATGGGAGTGTTGCTCAGTCTGGGCATGAAGCGGTAGACGACGAAGGGGATGACTCCGCAAGTGTTAGTTCTTTGATTTCCAAACGTAAGCCAATTGATGAGCAACAGCCCATCCATACAGAAGCAGAAGCAATTGTCTATTCTATAAACACCTCCGTTACTGAACCCCAGCGAGAGATGGACTCCAACGGCAAGCCGTTCATTGCATACCTTCTAACTACCGTCACCGACAGCCCATCGATTGCGAAGCTTTCCAACAAGAAAGTGGCACCTCTGTCCGGTGCTCATGAAGGCAATTCCATAGCAGGCAAAATCGTGGTGAATATAAGAAGGCGGTACGGCGACTTCAAGTTTCTTTACGATTGTTTATGTAATGACTACCCGCAACTATTGATTCCACCCTTACCACTGAAGCTGAACTTCAAGTACTTAACTGGGGACACCTTCAGCACGGAATTCGTACATAAGAGATTAAACTCATTGAATCGATTCATTAAATTCATCGCACAGCATAAGATCTTGAGCCAGCTGAAGATCTTCCACTTGTTCGTTAGCGATTCTCACGATTGGTCCACATTCCAGAAGAACCTCAAAATCAGCAGAGGAATACTGGATGAGTCCGGGAACAGTAGTGGTAATACGGGTGATTTACCCTCTGTTGTTAACAAGGTGGTCAATGAAGAACTCCTTACAGAAACCATCATGAACTTTTTGACCCCCTCCAAGCATAAAAGAGAGAACAATAAAGATATTCTTGAGATCACCGACAAGTTAAAGAAGTTATATGAGAATTTGATAAAATTGGACAGAATTTTTGCCAAGTTAAATAAGAAAAATTATGATTTATGCTTCGATTATGAGCAGTTTCTGAACCAGATAACGAAATTGTCGCTTCAGCTGCAGCTGATTCCTACCAGTAATGGTGAAAGTGGTGAAGTAAACGGGGATACTGATATTGAAGCAAACAACGCAGTCACTAATAACTTTAAGGTATTCGCTTCTTCCTTATCATATTTCTCTGAGAATTGGTCTAACTTGCACAAATACATCGATGAATCATTCTTGGTATCATTAAAGGACTGTGCCAAGTACATCATCAGTTTGACTAACTTAATTGAATTACAGCATAATAAGAAAATCGACTTACAGGTGCTTCAAGACTATTTATCCAAGGCTAGACTGGAGCTTGCAAATTTGGGAGGCGGTGGTGGAGGTCATGGTGAGGCTCCCAATCCAGTGATTGGGCATCAGAGCAGTGGTGGCGGTGGTCTCGTGAACAACACTACTCAATTGATCAAAGACACTCTTTCACCAAATTCGTCTGGGTCTATAGGCTCAAGTCATACGGAGAATAAGAAATTGAAGTTGAAAACTAAAATCGAACAATTAGAAAATGAAATCCAAATCCAATCAACCATAGTAAATGATTTAACAAATAGGATTATACATGAGGAATATCCGTTCTGGGATAAGTTCAATAAAAATGAGTTGAAGCTGTCAATGCTAGGATTATGTGATGAGCAGATTTTATTTTACTCAGGACTAGTTGACAAGTGGAGCGAAGCAGAATTGAAGTTGATGAATAGGCTAAAGGAGTTAAGTTAGATGTAGCGGCAATATAAGTACTGAAATAACAAACGACATTACTGTACTTGACTTAATTTGCTTAATGTGAATAGCTTTTAGAACTTGTGAGCATAAAGAAGGCATTCTGTAGATCTAAAGTGCTATTCATCCAACATCAACCTTATACCCACGCCACTTTTATATCTTTTTGGTTTCTTACTTAGGGATTCTTACTTCTTCTTGGTATGAGGTCATGGTAGATCTTGTTTACTTAATATAACGTGTATTAAAATAATTTGTTGAAGTATATATTAAAAGAGTGTAAATGTATTCTTTGCAAGAATGAATTTTAAGAAATAAATTATCATCAATATTGATGTTTGAGAAGAAGAAATCAAGAAGCGAACGTGGTGAGTTGCATAGAGCTATTAAAGCAAGAGGACAACCAAGGAAAATAAAATTGGAACAAATGCACTTGCTCTAGTTGCAACACCGCTGTTTGGGTATGAAGTTACGATTGTAGATTCAGTGGAAGATGAACTTGAGCCAGACTGGGAGCCAGATGTAGAGTCTGAAGATTCAGAGCCACCGGTAGCATTTGAAGCTGAAAGGCTGGTACTTGTTGCTGATTCTAATTCGGATCCTGTATCACCAGAGCCAGAGTCTGAACCAGATCCGCTGGAATCAGACCCTGATCCCGTTGAAGTGGAAGTGGTTGTTGCTGTATTGGATGCTGATGCTGATCCATTTGAGCCTGAACCAGAGCCTGAGCCTGAGCCTGATCCACTGGTACCTGAACCTGAGTCTGATCCTGAACCAGAACCAGAGTCTGAGCCAGAACCAGTTCCAGAGCTTGATCCACTGTTGCCTGAACCTGAACTTGTAGTTGTTGCTGTATTGGATTCAGATCCTGATCCACTTGAACCTGAACCAGAACCAGAGTTTGAACCTGAACCAGTTCCAGATCCAGATCCGCTGGTACCTGACCCTGAACCTGTAGTTGTTGCTGTATTGGTTTCTGATCCTGATCCATTGGAACCTGATCCACTCGAACCTGAACCTGAACCTGTAGTTGTTGCTGTACTAGATTCTGAACCTGATCCATTTGAACCTGAGCCAGAGCCTGAACCAGATCCCGATCCTGATGTAGTTGTTGCTGCAGAAGTTGTTGTTGAAGTCAAAAGAGTTGAGCTTGGGTTTGATCCTGGACCGCCAGAAGTAGAAGTTTCTGATCCAGACCCCCCTGATGTGGTCACTGATCCTGAAGTTGATCCAGTTACGGAACCTTCAGAAGTAGTAGCCAATCCTGAGCTGGAACTTGGAGTAGCTGAAGTTGTGGAGATTGTTGATGATGAAACGGGTGTCGAGGAAGACAAAGTACTTGCAGCGGTAGATGAACTGGAACTGCTTGCAGATTCTCCTCCATTGAAATGTACAATAACCTCGGCGACAGTTTCGGTTTGTCCATCTGGTCCTGTAATAGTTAAATCGAAGGTCACATCTGTAACTGTATCAACATAGACTATTCTTATTGGATAATAGCTGCCTGCTACCACATCTATGGTGATTTCACCACTACCGTTAGGGCCAAGAATGATTAAACGTTCAGCTTCAGCCCTCTTTGATAAAGCTGTCCCGCATGGAAATGCATCAGATCCAAAGTATAATGCTGCTCCGATAGGAATTCTGCTCAATTCAAATGTGTAGCTTCCAGTAGAAGGTGGGTGGAAGTATCCTTCCAATTCTAAAGTAAAATTGGCAGTTAATGTTAAATCGACGGAAACAACGTTGTAAAGTGTTCTTATTAAAGAACCAGACTTATAACTACCTCCAAGAATTAAATTTATTGCTGCTGATACATAGGAATAGTACTTGGCAACAAAACCTGGGCTCGTTGGCCCGTCATATTCACAGCTTGCTACTGTTGGTGTGCTGCTAGATAATGATGATGGGGTTGCTGAAGTTACAGAACCACTTGGAAAAGTTTCTGAACTAGATCCAGAGACAGTGGATGAGCCAGATCCGGAAGCAGTAGAAGAGGCACCTGTTCCAGAACCTGTTGAAGATGCTCCTGCGCCAGAGCCCGTTGAAGAAGCTCCTGTTCCAGAACCTGTTGAAGATGCTCCTGTATCAGAACCTGTTGACGAAGCAACTGAACCGGATCCAGTGGAAGAGCCGGAACCAGAGCCTGTTGAGGAAGCATTTGAGCCAGATCCAGTAGAAGAGCCAGAACCAGAGCCTGTGGAAGAAGCATCGGAGATTCCAGATGATGCGACAGTACTGGAGGTAGCCGATGAAGAGACTGTTGAACTGGAACTTGGAATTGGGTACAGTGGAACAGAATCACAGGCTAAACAAGAGCTGGATGAGGTACTGTCGGAGGGAATATCGCCATTATACTTGAGAGATCCTTTAATGACAAGTCCAAGTAATCCACCGAAATCATAACTCACAATTTCAAAGTTATCGACGTTATATCCCAGACCAATTTTGAAGTTTTGGTGTTGAAGTCCGAAAAAGTAGTATACCCTAAGAACCCCTTCGGTACTGTCATAACTATATGAAGTTATAAGTTGGTCAATACCAAGAATATTTCCTCCACCGAATCCAGCAACAGTAAATGTTTGAGTGGCTGAAATGGTAGCTACCCTAATAGCAGAGGAGGTTGTTGAAAGATAAAGAACTTGTTCTGCTGCAATTGGAAGAATAGAATTTGCAACCCAAAGGTTTGAATTCTTCCCAACATCTATGCATCCACTTCCCTTGATTGAAGTAATTTGCTTAAATACTTGTTCGACTAAACAAATCTGACCATCATTAGTAATCGATCCAAGGAGATTACCTAAAGTAAGGAAACTATCACATTGAGTATCCAGTGTAAAGATAAGCTTACCGCCAACGTCATTTTTCCAATCACCTGCAGAAATTTGATAACTTGAACCAGCGACAGTACCTTCAGTACTGAAAAATAATGAGCCACTGTTGTAGAAAGTCAGGGAAATAAGATGGTACACTGGGCCTGTTAATCCATTAATAGAATTAAAAATAATTGTACCTGTGTTTGAAATAGAGTCGAAGAGGGCAAACGTGCTAACATGCAATGAAAGAAGGTGATCTGATACAGTTATGTACAACTCACCATCGACCTTAAGACCTCCAAAAAAACTATCCGTAGCAGAATTCAAAATAGACCAGTATGCACCGTTCTCGACTTCAACATCTCCAACGAATACGACACTACCGACAGAGGTGGTATCCAGGGAGATAGTTTGAGAAGATACTATCAGAGAAAAGAGTGTGAGTGCAGTTGCTGCAATTAATGCAAGTCTGTTTGTTACAAGCATTGTTGTGATGATACTTATGATTTGCAATTATCGAAACTAGCAGGGAAAGGTCAAACTTTTATATTCCAGCATTTTGAAGCAGATTTGGAAGTATCTCCAATTAAGAGAGTGAATAATAAGTTAAATAATCGATTTATACTACTTCGGTTTTGTGTTAAGCAGCCATAATCACATCATGCATGCTGAGCCGCTCCATGTGCATGAGCCTTCTGAGTTAGAATTTAAAAATTAGGAAAGAACGGGGAGCAATTGCAAAATACCGATCAAATTTCAAATTCACTACCTTAGTACTCTATTATCTAACGATCGATGAATTACAATGCACAAAATGGAATTTCTTGATTTTTCCTCATCATTAAGGACGTTGCATGCATTTTTTTCACCATGATTAGATGATACTTCATTAGGTTTTGGAGCCTCCCATGTGAAAATATTTAACCAAAAAATAAACCTTGAGTGTATGCTGCTTCTACAAAACTATGCTTTATTTTACCAGAACGTGGATTTCAGAATTTGGAGAACAATTACTACCAAGTTATCATCTTTTTCACACCTCTTGGAGTTAAGTATCTGTATTGGATGGGAAAAGACAATCGTAAAAATTGCAAGCCATATACGCGCTTTCCCTGCTCTATTGTATTCGGTAAAAAATATGTATGCAGTTATACAATTAACAACTACTAAAGTATATTAACAAAGCATGTGCTAAAGTCATCAAGTAAACACACCAGTAGATCTAAATATAATTTTATCAACAACTTCAATGTGGTATACAACAAATTTGGATAACAATGTGTCACGAATAATTTTTATTTTAAGCTGGGATTTGATGATGAATCAAACAATAAATGATGCAGCAGGTGAATTTTCACTCAGAAGCCACGTCCCTTTTATATATTATTATTTAGTAGTTATCTTATTGCATAAGGACTTGATTTGAATGCAAATTCAGAAGCATTCGAGTGTAGCATAATTTAGATTTGGAATTTCTAGAAAGCAGGTCAAATACGTGGACATTTTTTAAAATAGTCTTATTTGATTGAATCTATTTGCAAATTAACTCATAGTAATGATAGCAGCCCTCATTATGTTGAGCTAGGTAGACCAGCAAATAAGCTTCTTGTGTATCTCCAAAGTTCGTATTTCATTATGAGGAAATATTACCTATTGTCTGGGAGGTATTCAAATCGGAAGGATTGGAGCTGATTTGGAATCCCCAATCTGCAAGTTTCCAAAAGAGTAATAATAATATTTGAATTCGGAAAGTGACTGGTCAATCATTTTGGGGTAGTTCGAAAATGGATTGTCGTTTTTGTATTTCGAACTTCGACTTTCTACTTCCTAGGTTGGCAACAAAGAATGAAGTTGAATTGCCGGCAGCTCTATCACCTACTGCCTAATAGTGATAAACCTTCCTTGTCAACTACTGTTTGAGTAGCAGCCTAAATTGTATGTAAATGCTGTAATTCATTTTTTCCTAACTGAGCCTTTGACTTCATTGTATACTCCATTGTTTACCTTGAACTTAGTCTAATGTGTCTCGCAATCTTAATTATGAAGAATATAAATCTGGTGAAATTTTTTAACGTGCAGAAATACGAATAAAAAATCTCAAGACTACCATCAGGACGGAATAGCTATGAGGTATTTCGCGTCTTCCATATGCACCGTAAGAGGTCATGCTTACAATTAAATATAGAAGGATGGTGATGCCCAATTTGATATACCGAAGGTTCATTGAAATGACATAAACCTGGAAAATAATCTACTTCAGTGAGGCTCAGAGTACAAAGTTATGGGTCAAAATCATTATCACCAATCTCACTCCAGCTCTAACTCTCTTGGAAATCAGGTAAGCCAACTACTGCAGGCAGTGAGCTTCTCAAATGCTATATTATTTCTGGTGCATGGAGGTGAAATAATTTGACGAGCAATTTGCCCTAATTCATCGGATATGCAAAAATATTTGGCATTAATTGAACAATAGAATAATAGCCTGTATTTATCGAACAATAAAGTCTTCTTTTAACAATGTTGCTCCTCTTTTTAGCTTATATTTTTAAGGCCTACACTACACTAATTGCCACATAGTGTGGGACACTCGTCACTCGCATAATACTACGAAGCATAAGGAAAGTGTCAGGCTTGAAAAGAAACTTAGTAAAAGGTTTATATTTTGTGTGGTTTTGGAACACAGGATGGATGGCCTCTTTTCGTTAATACGACATCGAGCTTGCATTTCAAGAGGATTTTATTTATCGCTGGCTCTTTCTTTTTGAGAATAAAGTACCAGGTAGTGATGCGCTGGTGAAAGTCAAGATAGATATGAACATAGACTCACAGCTCTCGGCCCCTTGTAAGCAATATCGAATAGAAACTAATGGTTCTCGAGGAAGAAATACATCGTATTGAGCCGCACTATTCGACGCGCGCACGCTTATTGCATGCTAGGGCCTGCGTCAATGATGCTGTGGAACATCCGCATTCAGGGCTTATTGTCTCTCTCACCTGCAACACCTTCTAGCAAAGTCCTGGAGCATCAAAGTGAAGGTAAATATAACCCTTTGTTCAGGAACAGCATTTCCGGTGAATAATAGGGAAATGAAAATTTTGAATTGAAATTTAGATTGTTCGAGCTACGACCACAAACACGTAGTTAATGGATCTTTTAGGAATAACTCAATAGGCAGAATGCTTAAGTATAAGAACGCGTTAGTGTAGGATGTAAAGTGCACTACATGCTCTTTTGTTGTTAGCCCAATTATTCGTATTTCAAAAAAGTGGCTTTCTTTCTAAACTTAGAAACAGAATAATGTCAAGTCTCTACACTGGTCAACTAGTCTTTTTTCTACATTCGTTTAAACCCCCCTCTGATACGACATGAAGCTCATAATTTATCGCTGTATGATATGTATATCTTCTGCTCTTTCATTGATTTAATAGTGTATTTCTGATTCATTTAGGCAGAATGCGGTCTTTGACCATTTTAAAAAAATGTGCTCGTTCAAATTCCTCGAGAAATGAGTCTGAATGGACCATCAGTAAATCCTTTACATAAAAGCAAGTCAATAGATGACTGTAGCACCTCGATCTTCTCGTGTAAGTTACTAAATACACGTGATCGTTTCTACTGGCCTTGTCTAAAAAAAATTATCTCATGTATTTATATGAAAATAGATAACGTAGTATAAACTGAAATTGAAGAAATTGTAAAATATATGGCCCATTAAGTATGGAAAGGGTATTGAATTTAAATTGTGATCAAGGAGTCGAAAAAATGTCTCCTTGATGAAAGTCGAAAGAATATCAATTGACCGCTAGTAAATAATCAAGCTTAAAGCAAGATTATGAAAAACGTCATGATAAATGGTAGGTATTTGTTAGCTCTATCTGAGATTGCACTATTCGCATAGGATGTAGTAATACTGGAAGATGGATAACTGGTTGAAGTAGATGCTGATCCACTTGAACTACTGGAACTACTGGAACCACTTGATCCTGATACTGATCCACTTGAACCACTAGATCCAGTGCTTGATCCTGATCCTGATCCACTTGAACCACTCGAACCACTGGAACCACTTGATCCTGATCCTGATCCTGATCCACTTGAACCACTAGATCCAGTGCTTGATCCAGTTCCTGATCCAGTGCCTGATCCTGATCCTGATCCTGATCCTGATCCTGATCCTGATCCACCTGAGCTACTAGAACTACTGGAACTTGATTCTGATCCTGATCCACTTGATCCATTTCCTGATCCATTGCCTGATCCTGATCCTGATCCTGATCCACCTGAACTACTAGAACTACTGGAACTTGATCCTGATCCTGATCCACTTGAGCCGGAGCTTGATCCAGTTCCAGATCCATTGCCTGATCCTGATCCACCTGAACCACTAGAACCACTGGAACTTGATCCTGATTCTGATCCTGATCCACTCGAACCAGTTCCTGTAGAGCTTGTGGTTGATCCACTCGAGCCAGTACCTGATCCAGTTACTGTGGGGCTTGTGGTTGATGTTATCAACGTTGTTTGTTGACTTGATGATAAAGTGGAAGACGATATTGTAGATGAAAAGGTAGACGATGAGGTTACACCTGCGGAAGAAGAAGTCGTTGATGAACTTGAAGCAGAGCTGGAACTTCCTGTACCTGTATCGCTGACAAAGTTTAAGATAGTCTCTTGTATTGTTAATGACTCTCCATTTGGACCGATAATTGTTAAAACAATATCCTCATCTCCATTTGTGTCAATGTTGACAATTTTGATTGGGTAGTAGGCATTCAGCTCCAAGTCAATTGTTATTTCACCGCTAGTTGTGGTACCATCTATTATCAAAGGAGAAATTTCAGCTCTTTTAGTTAACTCACTTCCGCAAGAGAAAGCTTCGGTAGCTCCAAAATACAACGATCCTCCACTTGAAACACCGCTTAACTGCAAAGTGTAACTACCAGCTGTTGGAGGTATAAAATACCCTGTGAGTTCTAATACTGTGGTGGTACTATATTGGATATCAAGGTCAATAACATCATGTAATGTCTCGAGAACAGTACCCGATGCGTACCCGTTGTCAAGATAAGTAGCTAAGTCAATTGGAGCTTCGTATGCATATTCTTTGGCTAAAAACCCTACTGAGGTTGATCCATCATATGCGCAACTTATTGCCGTTGGTGAAGAACTAGCTGAAGAAGAAACTGAACTACTGGTTGATGCACTTAAGGAACCAGTCTCAGTTGATGTTCCACCAGTAGAAGATCCGCTGGTTAAAGTAGATGATTCACCGGTCTCAGTTGATGATCCGCCTGTTGAAGATCCACCTGTTGAAGATCCACCAGTAGATGATCCACCGGTTTCAGTTGATGATCCACCAGTCTCGGTTGATGATCCACCAGTAGATGATCCACCGGTTTCAGTTGATGATCCACCAGTCTCGGTTGAAGAACCACCTGTTGAAGAACCACCTGTTGAAGAACCACCAGTTGAAGAACCGCCAGTGGATGACCCACCAGTCTCGGTTGAAGATCCACCTGTTGAAGATCCACCTGTTGATGATCCACCGGTTTCAGTTGAAGAACCACCAGTTGAAGAACCGCCGGTTGAAGTAGATGACCCACCGGTCTCAGTTGATGATCCACCTGACGACGTAATACCTACAGCAGACGATGACTTGATACCTGTGATGGAACTACTACCTGATGATGATGAGGCTGACAAAGAATAAGTACTAGATGATGCAGCCACACTTGAATTGCTCCAGTAAGCACTACTTGACAAAAATGATAAAATTGGGATAGATGAGCTATACGTTTCGGAAATAGCAATACTAGACGAACTAAAAGCTGTTGAAGATCCACCGGTTTCAGTAGAAGAACCACCAGTTGAAGAACCACCTGTTGATGATCCACCTGTTGACGATCCACCAGTTGATGATCCACCAGTCTCAGTTGAAGATCCACTGGTTGATGATCCACCAGTCTCGGTTGAAGAACCACCTGTTGATGATCCACCAGTCTCGGTTGAAGAACCACCTGTTGGAGAGCCGCCAGTGGATGACCCACCAGTCTCGGTTGAAGAACCTCCAGTTGATGATCCACCTGTTGATGATCCACCTGTTAATGATCCACCAGTCTCAGTTGAAGATCCACTGGTTGATGATCCACCAGTCACAGTTGAAGATCCACCTGTTGATGATCCACCAGTCTCGGTTGATGAACCACCGGTTGAAGAACCACCTGTTAATGATCCACCAGTCTCAGTTGAAGATCCACCTGTTGATGATCCACCAGTCTCGGT